GCTAATATGGAATTCAAAGGTAAAGCAAGTCATACCATAAAAAATAATGACCCGCAAAGAGAATTCTATTTTGCATTTTATATTGATTCTGGAAACCACCTACTTAGAGATTCCCATGTTGGCCCATGTAAAAATGTTCATATATTTTGCTTTTAAATGCTTACCTATCAAGTGAATATGCCATCAGGATTGAAACACAATTGGTGGAAATTGGGTCAATATGAGTAATTTATTAATGTAATTTTCTCCAGCTGGATACTCTCCAGGTAGCCCCTTTCTGGGAGCTGAAACCTACATGTCTGAAGTGTGATACATTGGGGAATGACTAGCTTGATGGCTGTCTGTGACTGAAAGAGATACAGCTTTCCAGTTAAGATAACAGTTTTCTGTAAAAGTATTTTATGAAATTTTGTACATTTCTCTACTGAATGTTATACAGACTTCATAATGGTCCTTCTTCTTGCATGTGTGTGTGCAAGTAATACCCTCCTAGGACAATAAATTAAATTAAAGGATAATTAGGACCAGTCTTGATCTATATAAATCTCACAAACTTTGGCTCTTTCCCAGACAGTAGAGCCATGTTATATCCTTTTCAGAATATATTTCTGAAAAACATTATAAAATAGGAATTGATGTGTCTCAACCAAGAAACTGATTTTGAAATTTCTTCAAACCACAAGTCTCAAGGAACCACAGAACAACATTCTTTAGACATGGCAAAAAAAAAAAATCATAATTCCATCATCAGAAAATATAGGTTGAAAATAAAAGTTGGATTCAGGGGAAAATAGCATAATAGTGGTCATTAAGAACATCAATAGTTATCTAAAGTTTGCCTAAAAATATCCAGATGACACATCAGATTCTTTTAGAGAGGGCAGCAGAAGGAATGCCCTCAGGATTTGATGACATGCCAACTTTGAAGGAAGAATGAATTCTGCTTTGTATCAGAATTAAACCAGAGAATATCAGCCCAGCTATCTGTCAGCTGAGGTTGTCGGTTATGTAACAAAAACAGTAATAAACATACAAGCAGATTTATGAGAGAATGGATAAACAATAAATTCAGAGTTTTGAAATGGCCAAATCAAAGTTTAGTCTAAACACCAAGGAAATGTTGTGGTAGGACCTGAAATGACTAGTTGATTTAATATTTATTTATCGGATAAATTTATATAGCTGCTCGTCTCACATAAAGGTAAAAATACAAAAATGACACTACGAAATAACCCAAACCATAACAAATGTAATAAAAAAAACCAATAAAACTTATTAAAAACAGAATCTGCAAGGGAGTGCACTCAGTTTGCACTTTGCAGGTTCCATACCAACATTACAGGATGCCCAGGCCAGGTGGCAAAGCTACATATTTTCATGCCCTTCTGGAAGGCCAGCAAGGTCAAGACCAATCTGTTTTGGGGGAAATGGTCCAAAGATGCTTTTCTTTGGTTCGTTACATGACATTCCTTTGTGGATGAGACCTGTAATATGTCTTTCTTTACCAAACCTGATGGGATGAGTAGATATGAATCAGGAGATAGAGTCCCTCAAATAACCTGGCCCCATGCTAAGTTTTTCTAGTTCATACTAGAAAAGCCTTAATTGTTAACTAAGCTGAAGCAGTTTACAAAGGAGGAATGGGTCAGAATTCATATACCGATATATGAGAGACTTTTCACTTATATAAAGCATTTAGTTGCAGTTATTGCAATAAGGGGCATTATCTAAGGGGCACATCACGTTTGTTGATGTTATGAAATAATGACAATATTTCATTGTGGTCAGACTCCTTTTCTATATTGGTAAGATCGACAGGAAGCTCTAATAACATTGAGTAGCAAAATATGCAAGAACTGAGAAGATCCAAAAGATGGTGGGCAGTTTTTCCCCAGGAATTACATTCTGTTCATTTGTCAAATCTGCTATTTGGGATGGAGTAACAACTAAAGAGCCAGATATATGTTTATCGGTGCTTCTTAAACTCCATTACAAGGTTCTTTTACATAAATATAATTTTAACTATATGAAAATCAACATGCTATAGAGAGAAGTAATATTTTCATGCAGTGATTGAAATAATCTATGCAGAATACAATTGCTTAGGAGTAAAACTGCAAATTAAATGTGTCTTCTTTAGTTTTGAAAAACTCAAAGATAAAACTGTCCTTGCTTTCAGGAGAACAGCAGTAAAAAATTAACCGACTTTTAAAAATAGAAAATGTATATGTATAGCAGTATGGTTACATGTTAACTTCTGAAAATTTAATTACAAAAGTTAACTTATAAAAACAATTTGCAGAATGATTCTAACGTATTTAATGTTTAATTCAGAACAAAGCACTTTTTGATAGATGCACTCAGGGCTGCAGTCTGAAGTGATTTATCACTTTTGAAGGGGCTCTCCTGTGATTACATGTTTTTATTTATTGAAAAAGCAAATTTCATGTGTAAAGTTGGAATCATTAGTAGTTGATCGTAAAATTCATTGATGCACTTGTTTTAACTCCAATCTCCTTCTAATGATTATCAGTATATACATAAATACCGCCAGCCAGCGTTATTCAAATAGTATTCAGCAGCAAATATACTAAAATTTGAATTCATTGGCATATTGTGAAAAATTGAATATGTTTAGATGTGAGAAACCTCAGTGAATAATAAATTAGTCAGTTTTGTAAGTAACAAACAACTTTTAAAGAGTTAAGAGCTATGAACCATTTGGGGAAAGGGTGTGTTCATTCTTCCTGAATGACTGTTAAATCATAAAAGTATATCATTGCAATGATATACTGCATAACATCATACAAATGATGAATACCACCACAAATAAGTGTGTGAGTGTGTGTTTTAAATTTATCATCTTCTTAATTTTGAATATAATGAACACTGTTTTTGAGGGATATCTGGATGGAAATCTTGTTTCTTGTTTGTTGCATTCAAAGTTCATGAAATCAGGGTTGCTAAATTGAAATTTCACTATCTAGTATTGGAATAATCTGAAACGGTCCAATTAATCTGAACAGTTTAGAGTGCAGATTTGAAAATTTCTACTCCATAAGAAAGCTTAATAGGGCTTAATTTTAGATGAGTTTGATTTTACAGTATCTAAACTAGTCCTACCATCATTAAGAGAGTTAAATCCTTAACTCTCCTACTAACTTCAAGGGACAAAATGCTTAATTTGTGGGATGGGGGTTAGATAGAAGAATATGTTACTAAAACCCAATTTAGCTAGCATTTATATTTAATTGCACTCAAGCACAAAATATAACTTTACATTTATTTTGAGTAGTTGCTTATACTTCTTTTAATATTTTTTCCCTCTATCTCTTCTAGATATAATTATTCCTGAGAATGGGGAGCCTATAAGTTCTAAAGACATTAAGTGCTGTATTAAGCAAATCCAGGAATTGATAATCTCAAGGTTAAACCAAGCAGTAGCTAATAAACTGATAAGTTCTGTGGACTACTTGCGAGAGAGTTTTGTAGGCACTCTGGAAAGATGTCTGAAGAGTCTGGAAAAATCTCAGCAGGATGTTTCAGTACATATTACAAGCAATTATTTAAAACAGGTAAAGTAATACAAAACACTGAGATCATTTTACAGAACTGTTTCTAGGAACATTGGCTGATTGAGAAGCAGTGTGATGCAAAAACAATTTGATTTGGATTGGGGAAACTTGGGTTGAACTTACAACCCTTTGGGTATGACTGGGTCAACCACTATCCCAATATCTGCCTCACAAGTTTGTTGGGAGAGTAAAAGTGCATGTGTTGAAAAAAGAAAGCCTCTTTGATCACCTAGAGAAAAGGTGGAATATAAATTTAGTAAACAAAGAGTGTGTACACACAAAGAAAATTAGAGTTTTTCTCCTAATAACCACCTATTAATTGGGAGACTTTGTCCTGTGTTTGCTGAGAAAATGCTATTGGAACATTATGCTGTTGAAAATGAATAAATGGCAGAAGGATGGCAAGGGGATGAGTTGTTCCTTCAAGGGAAAAAGAGACTATTGTGGAACTGTCTTGATTGTTCATGTGTGGCACCTGTTTCCCATAGAAACCCCCAGGTTCCTTGTACCTGGGGGTTTGTAATACAATAAGGACTCTTGGTAATAGGATCCTCACTCTGCAGATAACCTCCATAGATAAGAGATTTCTCAGTACAGATATTTGGCCTCAGCATCTGGGATGGAATGACAGTGATTGAGCAGGAATGAAGTCCTACGTGTATTTACTTGGGAGTATCAACCATTGAAATAAACAAAACTTAATGTAGAGTAAGCATGCAGAGGTTTCTTTGTGCTTTAAGCCTAGCACAAAGGCTGTATTGATTTATTATCTCTTTGTAAAAAAATGAGGGGAAAACTCCATATTCTAAGTATTTTTCCTCAATTTTCACCCCATTGTATGTGAAATAAACTGAGTGATAAAAGTCATTCTATCAGCATATATTATGCTTATGTAAGTATGCATAGACTTAGATAACAGTAAGTCTATGCATACTTACCTGGGGATATGAGCCACTAGACTTAATGGAATCTAACGCAGAGTAAGTATGCATAGATGATACTTATCAAATACAGATTTCGTCAAACTTTCTCTGTGTGAACGTTTGTGTATGAGAGAATTATGCATGTGTGTGTAGATTGTGACCAATTAATTTTACATATGGGTGTATCATATTTTATGAGCAATTAGTTAATATTGATTAAAATCAATCATTGATTTTTTTAAGTGCGACCTCTTGCCATCGTATTTGTATGCATCCTATGTTTCCAGCATAATAGTTGGATGAGCAGTTCATCTGCAGAATTGATTTCAATTGGAGTAAGCAATTCTAATTGACATATTAAGGAAGTTGGGCAATGTACAAGATTGTGTATGTATATTGTTTTGATCTATATGTCCTCTAGGAAATGGGTTGCCTTAAATTCAGGCTGTTCTGACCCTTGGTAAATTGGGAATGGACTGAATTCATACACAGACTAAAACAGTTTGCTTTTTGGCACAGAGTTGATTTATTGGAATTTATTTATGAAGCTCTTTCCAAGCTACTCAGTTCTTTAAATATAGTGGACAGTTCTTTCAATTTGCAGATATATAATTAATCTATTTTCTGTTTGAAGATATTGAATGCAGCCTATCACGTAGAAGTTACTTTTCACTCTGGTTCAACAGTATCACGGATGCTGTGGGAACAGATCAAGCAGGTATTAAATATTTTAATAGCATTGATTCATTGTAATGAAATTTATCTTCAGTACATTGTCTTCTATTAATTCATATCACCATCTGCATAGTTGGAAAATAGCTACTTCTATTATGCATTAAGATTCAGAGGCATCTTATGTTGGAATAAAAGATAATTGATTTAAAAAATGCAGGGAATATGGCAAGTGTGTTGGATATAACAACAACAATAATATTTATCTAGTCTCATCCATTATCCTAATTTATTTGTGCTTGCCAGGTCCAAGTTAATGTTGGCTAAGATGAAAGCAGCACTTTAATACTTGAGTTCCAACAATAAGATACATGTATTTTTTCTTCTTTAGATAATACAACGGATCTCTTGGGTGAGCCCACCTGCTATCACCAGGGAGTGGAAAAGGAAGATAGCTCAGGATGCCATTGAGAGTCTTAGCGCGTCCAGATTGGCAAAGAGCATCTGCAGCCAGTTCCGAACAAGACTAAATAGCTCTCATGAAGCTTTTGCTGCTTCTTTGCGACAGGTCAGTTTGATGTAAAAGGAGCTGCAAAGAACATAAATTAGCAAATTGAATCTCAAATTTTCAAATAACATGAAAGATATCTATTGCTCATCTCTTTACTCTTTGGCAATGTAAAGAACATTTGGATACCATTTTATCTCCCATGGTCCTTTTAACAATTGGAGATACAGCTATAAAAACACAACTGTGCTAATTCCATTGAACTGGAGGACTGCATTGTGTTACAGCTATTCTAGCCATTAAAATGTGTGAAATGGAAGTGATGATAGCATAGTGATCATTTGCCAACTCTTAAAAATTACTGGGGAATAAACATTGTTGCATTTGATATCATGGATTGTATCTAGAGCTACATTAAAAGAGTAGATAAACTAGCTACAACTGTTAGACATGGGCAGAAGCTGGAAATCAAACCAAAAACAGCAGAAGATGCTGCTGCTTATCTGCTGCTCAAGGGATAATTATAGATAGTCCTCGAGTTACAAACATTCTTTCAGTGACTGAAGTTACAATGGCACTGAGTAAAAGGATTTTTGATTGGTCTTATTTGATTTTTTAATATGGAAGGAAGTAGAATATTGTGTGAGTAATCTATCTGGATATTATCCAAAGGATGGCACAGATGTACTTATATTTGATCAATTTTGTATTAGCTAGAGGCTGGCCATTCAGGTAGGCTTGAAAAAACAGAAGATCTTTGGCTGAAGGTGAGGAAAGACCATGCCCCTCGCCTTGCCCGTCTGTCGCTGGAAAGCAGGTCCTTGCAAGATGTTTTGTTACATGGTGAGCATTGCCACATCTCTTTTCTTATTTATCAATGGCTTGGCTTCATTTTCTCCTGCAATATTTTCAATTTTATAAGTAGAGAGTGCTTTAATTATATTATGTACGCACAGTGACTGGAATGATTGGAAAAGTTAGAGGTCACCATAATTTAGAAGGCTAATGTTTTAATTCTAACTCTAGATAGTAATAGCAATAGCGCTTCAACTTATATACTGCTTCACAGTGCTTTACAGCCTGTAAGCGGTTAACAGAGTCAGCATATTGCTCCCAACAATCTGGGTCCGCATTTTATTTACATCGTAAAGATGGAAGGCTGAGTCAACCTTGAGCCGGTCAGAATCGAACTGATGAATTGCAGTCAGCCGGCAGTCAGCAGAAGTAGCCTGCAGTACTGCATTCTAATCACTGCGCCACCATGACTCATGATAATAGCATTCATGCAATTAGTAATCATATATTTTAAATAAACCACATCCCAAATTGTCATCTAAGTTGAGCCCATGGCTTGAATAGTTGCTTTAATCTATGTTTGCCAATGGTAACTATTTGTGTTGAGCAACTAAGTCCCTTAATAAAGGGACTCAAGTTACAACTGTAATGGAGCCTGTCCATCATGGTTGTAACTCGTGATGGTTATAAAATAGGTCAGTCATATGAAAGGCTGAATTTTACTATCTTTTGGGCAGTCATTAAGTGAACCAATGATTCACTATGGTCATGGGTTTGCCAAAAACTAGAAGGAAAATACGGTTGTAAAATATGGTTACATGATTGTAGGACATTGCAAATAGCCATAAATGCAGCCTGGTTGATGAGTGCCTGAAGTGTGATTATGAGACTGCATGGGACCCTGAACAGAATTTTGAATCCAGGTTATACGTACTCCCCAGGTAGATCCATCAGTAGTTCAAATGGTGGCTAAGCGACCATTCATAAGTTGAGGACAGGATACAGCATTCAGATGAGCTATACAATTGGAGTTAAAGACAGTGTCAAAACTTCAGCATAATTCAGTAGACATAGTACGAAGCAACATTAACAGAACACAATTCTTTAATGTTTGAAAGATTGAAGAAAAATAAATCAATTGTATGATTAGGTGAAAGTTGCTGGTAGAATAAGTTATGTAGCTGTAGCTTATTCTTATGACAACAATTACACCCAAATCAAGTGATCAGAAAATAAGGTTTTAAATGTTTTACATTTTTAATTATCCTATAAGTTAAAATTGATTGATTTGAAATTAAAATTAGGAATTTACTTTTAAATACAAACTTCATTTAATTTACATTAAGAAACATAGGTAGAACAAGCAGCAAATAAAATACTTACTTTTGAATATAGAGTGCTTATTAATGAAACTTTACTCTTAGGTTTCTTTCTATAGGATTGGGGAGATTGCGTTTTTTCTGCAGTCTACTGTTTCATCTGAAAATAAATCCTGGAAGGGTACTGGCAGAAATCAGAAACATCACTTAATCTCTCTTCCTTTAGTAGGCTGCATTGTGCAACCAAAAGATCCCTTTAGTTTGTAAAAGAATAACTCTAGACTTAATACTACTACTTTACTGTCCTAAGACCTGAAAATAATAGTGAAAGCAAAGTAGAAAAAGAGCTGAAATATTGTACATATAGCTTGATATAGTTTTACTAAGTTTCAGAGCAGCTACTGAAAATGTAATAAATCTAAAAACACAGCCTTGACTTAATAAAACAGGAGATACATTTAAAATTCAAAGCAAATAATATTGTAGCTGCCAGGAAGCAAATATCGTTTACATTATATTAATATAATATTTGACTAAATCTGATTCAGTATGGTATTATCAATTGTATACATTATACAATGAAGAAGTACATTGTATTAATGAATCTATACAATTAATTAGTAGCATAGTTGTAGCATTAAAGTTAATAGTTAATAAAATTTGAAAAATACATACTATTAGAAAGAACCATAGAAAATACTTTACTCTGATAAAGTTAATATTTGTTTCAGGCAAACCAAAACTAGGCCGTGAATTGGGCCGAGGGCAATATGGAGTGGTGTACCTATGTAATGCCTGGGGGGGACACTTCCCATGTGCGCTCAAATCTGTCGTTCCACCAGATGAGAAGCATTGGAATGATCTTGCACTGGAATTTCATTATATGAGGTGGGTACAATTACATTTTGTTGTTAATGAACAGGAAGCCTGCCAAATTACAGGTAGTCCTTGAGATACGAAAGGTGACTTAATGGCTATTTGAAGTTATGACAGACCCACTACATGCAACCTAGTTTCGAAGTTATGGCCACTGCAGTGCCCTGAACTAATTCGCCCTTACCATTGATCGTAGGTATACTCCAGCAACCCCCTGCCTCTCCTCCCCATCCCAACTGTACAGACGGTGTGCGTTAAGGCAGCAAAACAGAGCAGTTTATCCATTGGCTGCATAGCATGATTCTGGAAGTGGCAGTGGTACCAGAATGCTCCAGAGGTTTCCAAAAAGCAGGACACATTAGCGAAGGTCATTTTGTCCCTCCACTGCATGATTCAGGAGGTGGCCACCATATTTCTAGTAGCCAAATTACACTTTGGTAGCGGTAAATATTGTTGCTGCTTCCAGAATCATGCCACAATGCCACATGGCTGCACAATGAAGCAATCCATTCCAGTCTCTGAAAGGCCTTGGAGCTCTTCAAAAGGTAAGTGATGAGGAAAGTGTTTGTCCTGGAAGGGTAGGAATTAGGCCTAAGGCCTGTGGGGTCCCAATGGGTGTGAAGTGGAGCACGAGGTGCCTCAGGAGGATGGGGGAGACTTTGGGACGCCTGAGGTAGGTGGACCTTGGCATGCAGTAGGCCTACAAAAGCCTCCCTCACCCACCCTATGCTCCATGTAATGATCTGGTTGTTCATTTAATGGCCACATCAAGAAGAGCAGGGAGTGAGGGTCATTAGCCGAGCCCATTTCATTTAACGTCTGTTGTGACATGTGACTGTAATGAACAAGCCTCATTATGGTCTCATCTCGAGGACTATTTATATCAAATCAATAGAACTTGGCAAAAAGAGGCATCACATCTTCTAGCAGATTTGCTGTAGTTTGCATATTTTCATAGTTAGAATATTTATCTGTAATCTTTTCATCTTAACACTTTTTAAAAACAATATTTTAAACTAAGTGCATATTTCTGGAAGTAGAGGTTAAAGAAAAATAATCTTGAAATGTTCTAGGTTAGAAAAGCTGCTTTTCCTTCTTTTGATGGTAATTGTCTTTTCTTAAGAAAGCGAATAGGCAGAATGACCACTTGGGTCTTATTTTGACACACTGTCTAGGTCACTGCCAAAGCATGAGCGGTTGGTAGACCTTCATGGATCCGTAATAGATTACAGTTATGGAGGAGGTTCCAGCATTGCTGTTTTACTGATAATGGAACAGCTACACAGAGACCTCTATACTGGATTAAAGGTAAGGAGAAACTGTTTTAAAACAGGAAAACCTGTTTTAAAGAAAATAAAATGCCTATGTGACTAGCGGCCCTATGTGGTAGCTCTTTGTAACCCTTTCCACTCAAAAGTGTGATTCTGATGGTATGATTTGGTTTAATTTAGATTAGATTACATCACATTAGGCTAGCATCTCCATGTTTCCTGTTTATGTCCAGCCAATAAGGAAATGGACATTTAATAATGCTATTTAGGTCTCATGTGAGGAATGAAAAAGCAGTATTTTTATTTGCTAGTTCCTATATTTCCCCACCCCATTTTGCTAAATAAATATTATTATTTATTGAGAAATGGAACAGAGAGGAAAAAAATGCCTTTTTTTCTTTCTTATCTCTGGAACCTTCTGCTAAGTGCAAGGAGGAGACCATAATTTCCCCCACACTATTGTCTTAGGGATTCCAAAAGAACAATTAACTCCCAACTTATTCAGTTGCCATGCTCAATATTCAATTGCTTCAGATGTTGTTGAGAATGCTGAGTTCTTTGAAAGCCCTTTGAAACTTTTTCCTTCCTCCTTTTATTACAAATATAGACTTCCGTGTGTGTCTCTCTCTCTGTGTGTATTCCAGTTAGCATTCTTATATTCAGCCTAGCAGAATGAAATAGAATTGAACAAGCAGAACTGTGCCGTGACCTTTTCAATTAATCTTCTGAGAGGAACCATTTCTCCTAAGGAACTTTTTCCTGAGAAAACCTCTCGACATATACAAGACTCACTTCTTAATAGTTGGAACTACTAATCACATTAAAAGATTGATAAAATAAAGTTTTCTTTTCACTTAGGCTGGCTTGACACTGGAGACAAGATTACAGATTGCACTGGATGTAGTTGAAGGGATCCGTTTTCTTCATAGCCAGGGGCTTGTTCATAGAGACATCAAACTTAAAAATGTACTGGTAAGGGATAACTTTGTGGCTGTAACTTTATATCCTTTGCTGAAGTGAAATTAAACATCAGTAGGTAAAATAAGGGCTTTATTTAAGTCATTCTCTAAAAAGATGCCTCTGCTTTTACAAATACACAAATAGAAATAATTGTGATTGTAAAATGGAGGAAGGTCATCTTGTTCTGTTGAAGCAAAAACATAAGTTTTCTATATATAGAAAATTAAAGAACAAGAGAGGTAACCCTCATGCTAAACAGAAAATCTCTGGTTTTCAAGTGATTAAAACAATACAATAGTTATTAATTGAATATAATATGAAAATGGTTAATGGTTAAAATCTGGTGGAAGAAATTAACTTTTACAGATTTTATAAAAGCTGAGAGTAAGAGCTAAATATAATTTCTAAGGGAATGCATTCCATAATGGGAATACCCTCTACTCTTTTCAGATAAGAGAGCCCCGTGATGGTGGACCTTTCCTATAGATCTTAGACAAAGTCATAACTGGAGATATAACTTATAGATAGATAAATAGATAGATAGATAGATAGATAGATAGATAGATAGATAGATAGATAGATAGATAGATAGAGACCCTAACTTTTTAAAAGGTTAATACCAACATTTTGTGACCAATTTATTATTTATTTATTATTAATTCAATTTATATGCCGCCTTTCTCCGGAGACTCAGGGCGGCTGGTTGGTATAAGCAGTTGGTAACCTTTTCAGATTTGTGATATCTGTATTTTGCACTGGCTAACTGCAATTATAGTTTGTAATATAATCATTAAGAGAAACTATGTACAACATGTTGCAATAACCAATATGTGATATAACTAAGTAATGAATAAACTATCACTATATCCAGTTTCCTCAGGAAGAGTAACAGCCCATAATCCCTTTCATGCAAAATAAAAACAATTGTATCAAATTTACCTGATGTTTTTATTTATTAGTTTGTTATTTATATTTTCCCTTTTCTCCCAAGGAAAACCTACAGGGGTCCTTCCTTCTCTCCACCCCCAAACAATAACACTCTTTGGTAGATTGAGTACGGAGACTGTGACTAGGCTAACGTCACCCAGTAAATTTCCATGGTTCAGTGTAGATTTAAATGTTAGTATTCATGGATCTCCAATATCTAAATCAATTTATCTTTTTGGTTGTACTAGTAGTAAAACTGAATGCATTTGAAATAATATTTGTTTTGTTTCATAAGAAAGTTCTATCTAGTCAATGGTTAAGATTACAACTGTATATCACCTTGTGTTGAATTTTTTTTGAAGAACTTAATGAGGTATGAGACTCTATGTAGTTAATAAAAGCAGAAGCTCCAGTATCAAATCTGATCTGATCTAGGGTAATAATAGGAACAACAAGGATGGCTACTTTTAAAAAATATCCTAGCTAATTATTTCTAGGACTATGTATCTGGTGCCACTGGACAAAGTATAAGACTTTATTAACTTTGTTCAGCAAAGACACTTTTGAAAATAGGGATTGTTTGAAGAAGGTACTGCTTGATAAAGAGATTTGATAGCAGGACATTTTTGATAATCATTGTATTGTGTGTTGTACAGTCATTGTATATTACATTTTATATTCTTTATAGCTTGATAAAAATAATAGAGCTAAAATCACTGACCTGGGATTTTGTAAACCTGAAGCAATGATGTCTGGAAGTATTGTTGGGACACCTATACATATGGCTCCTGAACTCTTCACAGGTGAATTTATCTTGAAAAACTTACTGTTAGTGATGAAGTCAAATCTTAGTAAAATAGTCTGTGTCCAAGAAAACCAGAAAAAGTACTGTTTCTTTCGGGAAAGTTCATGTGTTTATGATAAGGAGAAGTCAAACACATTGAACTTTCTGTTACATAGATCTCAGTCTTGCAAAACTTTAAAAAAGGAATTAATTTCAAGAACGACAAAATTTCATAATTTGGGGCCACTAGAGAGATTCTCTCCTTTGGTCTCTAAAACTACCAAACAAATGAAATAATTGAAAGAACTTGGGGTAATCCTTGGTACAAATATGAAACAGTTTAATGTTAGCAGTGTATCAGAATGTGAAAATATAATCCCTGAATAGTATTGTTAATCTAATTTTCATTGTGTTCCGACTAGCTGCTTGTGAATACTGTGGGTCTAAGGAGATGGGGGAAGGGAAAGTTAAAAGCCCTTAACCCAAATGCAGTTCTCCCAGGGAAAACACTGACTCAGTTAACCATTGGCATTGAAGTAGCCAACTATCTCATTTCACTTTCTTAGGAAACTTTCTTAGGAAACTACACTGCTTAGTCAGACACCATTTAAAAGGCTAAGGAATGCAGAATGCTAGGAAAGCAAAGTAACTCCTTAGAAATAAACTGTTCACAAAATACTTCTCTTTGTACTTTCAGGCTACCACCCACCTCCATCTTTGTAGTCTTCTCCCATTATCTCATAGTTATACCCTAATAGTCTTCTTCACTTTACTGGGCACATGATTGGTTATATTCAGTGAAATACCTGATCCAATCCCATATAAATTCTAATTTGCAAAAGTTTATAAATATGGTCTGTAGCTCCATCTCTCTTTAGGCTTGTCTTTGCTTCCAGCACTGTAAATAAATCAATTTGCACTTCAATGTAACATTTCCTGGTTCTGGTTCAACTGAACCTTTTTGGGGGAAATGTTTCCTACTTTATAGCCAGAATATTATAAGCTTTATATCTCTGAATATGGTATGTAGATTCTCAGTATACAAATCCATGAAATCACATGATCAGTGAAGTCAGTGCTTCACGCTCTAAAAAAAAGCATTTCTGATTGGCTGATTATTACTTGTTCCAAGAGAGCGATATAAAAATACTTAAATGTGTGTGTGGCCCAAGTTGTCACATTTGTGGTACAATGGTTTGTGCCAGCCTCCATTCTTTTTGCTGCTCTTGCCCTACTAGAGTATCTAGTGGAGGATGGATACATGTAAGTAGATTTCAACCAATATTTCTTGTTCATATTTCACAGGGAAATATGATAACTCTGTGGATGTGTATGCATTTGGCATCCTATTCTGGTACATCTGTTCAGGACATGTGAAATTACCAGAGGCTTTCGAGAGATGTGCAAGCAAGGATCATCTTTGGAACAATGTACGAAGAGGTAAGCATAGTTGCAACACAAATAGATTATATCAAATTATGAAATGATGGTGAATGCATAGAAATTCCTAAAGTGGAGGTCTGCTGGCCAGATTCAGCCCTCGTAGTATTTCCGAATGTGAGTGAAGTCCAAACCAGAAAAAGATTAGTGGGTAAATATTTTTAAGTATTGGATCTCTTTCCTTACATCAAATTATGCTAAAGTTATCTTAATGGAAGCCTATTTTAACAAACCCAAAGGGAACAGAAGGCTCCATAGCACTCAGTATGATGGCAACTTTCAGTAGGTCATATAATATTGTATACTTCATTTTAGTGTCTTGATGTTTATAGGAACAAACCATGTAGATTGTTTTATCATTCTTCTAGAAATTTGTACCAACTACAATTTGTAAAAAGTTTAAAACAATGCTGCAGTAATAGAATGTTCTTGCATTTCTTGGTAATGCTGCCTGTTGGTCTTTCAACCTTCCATCAGGACCCTAAATCTGGGAATGATTCAGACAAGCTACATAAATTTCTCTTTAGAAAATGAGGGAAATGTCATTCAAACCTCATTGTATCTTACTGGCATCCAATTCCTCGGGAACTTTGAATCTGAAGCATTCTGAAGTGTTGGAAATGTCAACCAGGCAGGAAGGAAGAATCAAGCAGGGAATTTAGCCTTGAGTTGAGATCTAGGACTAACCTCCGCCCCTCCGCCCCCCAAGCTCCAGGGAACATCATTTATTTGGTCCCAAGGGAAACAAGCAGTCTGGAGAGATTCCTGTGTTACAGGCAGAATACAATAAAACAATTAGCTTGAACCCTACACATTTGGATCTGGTTGCTTGTACCTGACATTAAATACGGTTTAGATTGCCATTCCTAAATACTATCCTGTGTATCTGTACAATGGCCAGAGAGATTTGCTTCTGTTGCATGTTCAGGATGGGAGCTGTGTCATGTTTCTGAAGACAGAGATATAGATAGGGATACATGTGCTAAATATGAATATATTTAGTGTAAAATATTTAATATTGAATATAAAATATATTAAAAATGAATCACAGTAATATTTATTCATGTAAATGGTCCACTAATATGTACAATACAACACTGAAAAAGGCTACTTAATCAGAGCATCAGCAGCTGTATGTATAAATCTATGTATAAATTTCTATGCACTAGGAAAATTCTGTTTCCTTTTGCATTCTGTCTATACAAATTGTTACTGTAATTTTAAGTAGACTACTTGTGTAAGTCTTTATTCATACATATTTGAGAATATTCATAATATTTCTTTATGTTTTTCTCTTTCTCCCAATTTTTATGGTTAGTTACTTGTCAAACAAATCTGGGATGCTAATAGAGGATTAAAAACATCAAAATACAAGTAAGAATCAATAAAAACTGACACCACTGGGGTAAATAGATGACATGAGTAGCACACAAATCTAATAAATAAATGTAAAAACACCTCACATAGCATACACTAAATTGGGCATGTAAAATACTGCCTCAATGCCTGGGGGAAAAAAAATTAAAGCCTGATAGGATCAGGGCCACCTGAATCTTGGCAGCAGGGAAATGTTATTCACAAGACAGTCAAACATTGTGCCATGCAGGGCTTTATAGATAACTACCAACAATTTGGATTGTACCCAGAAATTCAAGTCAAAGGTAGCAGTGTTACACAGGCCAACTAAACTGTATCCTTAACAACTTGTATTGCTGCAGTTTCGGCTAACTGAAGCTTCCTAGAGGTCTTCAAGGGCAGTCCCATGTAGAGCACATTGTCATAGGCAAGGTGAGAGGTGACTGAGAAATTAGTGACTGAGAGTAAGGCCTCCTAATCCGGAAATAGGCAGAGTTGGTACATAAGATGAATTTGCACAAAGGCCCTACTAACCATGGCTGCCACTTGCTCTCTGCACAGGAGCCACAAGAGTAGAGGAGTTTGACATTCTGCAATAGTTTTCTGGGGAAGTGCAATCCAGTCTAGGATTAACAGAAACTCTCTAGAACACAGTAGCTCCCAAATCCACAGCCACTCAGTTTTGTTAGCGTTGAACAAACTTCAGTCTTTTATTCCCCATCCAGATTTCACAAATCCTAAATAATGCGTTATCTCAAAGCCTTTTATTATAAAACTTTGGATGAAATTTATTTCCAGAAATAACAGAACAAAACTGTTGCAATTTTTTACCATTATAATGAAAATTGATATAGATCAAAGGATTAACTTTGCACCTTCATTACATTACCACATTCTTTATTCTCTTTTAGGTGTTCGCCCTGAACGTCTTCCCATTTTTGATGAAGAATGTTGGCAATTGATGGAAGCCTGTTGGGATGGGGATTCTTCTCAGCGCCCTCTCTTGGGCATAGTCCAACCTATGTTGCAGGGAATAATGGATAGACTTTGCAAATTGTACTCTGAGCAGTTAAACAAAGGACTCGATGATTCTACTTGACATAGTGAATTTGTTCAGTTATGTAAGAACCCGGGTCCCCACTTTGCCACTGACAACTCAGTGGCTCTCTGGAACAAACCAGCCAAAAATTGAGGGTTCAGGTGAGATAATTGAAATTCCACCTTTATATAGTAGCCAGAGACTTCTGTTTTCCATACACACTACTAATGTAGCTTGACAGTGCTTCCTTCTTTCTTAAAAATAAATTAGGAGACTGGGACCTTAGATCCCAGTCTGCAAGGGGTTTTACTTATCTGTTCAGGTCAAGGTAGAAAGCACTGTTAAGCTCGGAAGTCTGGCGGTCAACACAACTGCATCTTAAGCTACAGTTCCTGCTAACTAGATGCATGTACATCAGCCTTTCTGAATGTCACACATATGAATGTGGATGATTGGAAGAAATAAGATGGTGTCCCTTCCAAAGGGAGGGCAATCTTCTAATTTTTGCAGTTCAGAGAGCTGTGAACTAATTTGAACTTTTGATAATATCTGGTATTGTTTGCACAATGGGATCCAAGCTCATAATGGGAAAGTCTCACTGCAAGAATATCCCAAAGTATAAGCTCACTGTCATTTATGAACCAAATTGTTTGGGGAAATTGACAAATAGGTGACAATGGCCTGATTTTATTATTAACCATTACTTTACAAACTTTAAGACAATACTTCACCCAAAGGTTGTTGATATATTGAAATAAAAAGACAAGTAACAACTATTGTCAGTACCCAATGGACAACCAAATGTTTTTAATCATGGCAGATTTTGCTTTTCTGTTTTCCCTTTGAATCTAAAGAAAGGCAATGACTGTTTTAAACTCTTAATGTTGACTGGCTATTTTAAAAGATTTTGTCAGCTTTGTATTTTTAAGTCATTCCTTTGAAGACTAAGAGAAACCTGTCGCTTTTCTATGGCTGTATCTGACCATCATTTTCTTCTTTGGGTTTTATCATTTAATATTTCCCATGTAATTTACATGCTCCAGCACAAACATTCCTTTTCATTTGTTTATACACAATTTAGTTTCATAGCACAATAATATTTTAAGAACGTGTAGGCTGAAATGCAGTTTGTCTGGCACAGATATCGAATGGGACCAACTACCAGTGTTCCTTCAGCTGTTTGGAGAATGAGAAATATCATTTTCCTTCCTCTGTATACCAGGAGACTGGTCCCAGTGACATAGGACAACCTGTGTGCTGTGCAAACCTAATCATCATTTTTTCTAGGAGGCACCTTCTCTCGTACAAAGCCTCTTAACCCTATTTATGTAAATCACTAAAAACAAAAGTAGCCCCACTGTTACTCAGTACCAAAATAAACCTTTGTATGTGTGCAATAAAATCAGATATCATGCTTTTAAAATGACTGCTTCTTACTTAGTTGCATGTATTGTTCTGTAGCAGTCTGAAGTTGTTTTGGCACTTCTATCCAAAAATTGTAGCATTTGACAAATTTACCAAAATAGGCAGCCATAGCTGTGAACTTTACACAAAAGCACCTTTTCTTGAATAAGAAGTTCTAATATTGCCACAGATGTATTTTTGGACGATCATTCCAGTCACTTGACAGTATTACTTATTTTATATCTTTTGTTTGTGCTATGGTGGCTAGTGACCTTGTTTAGAATTAGGAGCATCTCGGTCAGTATTTTTGGAAGTATAAAAATAGTTTATGTAATATAAAATGAAGCTGTTTTTGAACACATTGTGTATAGCTTTTACCAATCAGTTACTTTTTCACTGTTTATCTTGTGCCTTTAAAAAAATAATAGCCGTCAAACCATGCTCTTTTGGGGCTGTCTTCCCCATTGGCATAAAATTGGCTGTATCACTTCTCAGTATAAAACATGCATGCACTTTTCTGCTGGGAATTTATTTTTATTTGTGCTGTTATCAGCCCCACAAACAGATGTCATATCTGCAAAAACCAGATGAATGTTTTTTTTCCTAAAGATGCTACTAGTAAAATACATTAGGTTTGAATTTAAAAGATACATTCCATTTCTTATTAGAAAGTTTGTGAGTTTTCCTAGTGTTATTACTACTACTGTAGCATGAGAAATGCAGCATATATTGTAAACACTAAATATTTTCAAAGATGAAAGTATAGGAACAAAATGTGGTATTATCCATATTGTGATGGATGATACCAGCTGTCAAACCAAGAGTCAAAGAGATTTGACAAAAGTATAGCATCAGATCTCTCTAAGATCTTCCAGTTATGATTGCCTATAACTGCTCTCCCTGCTTCCATTAAAACTTGGTTAATTTTATCCCAATTATTCCATACTCAAATGATACTTTATTTATTGAACTGTACTACGCAAGGTTTACATGTTACTATCGACTGAATGGCTAAAGCAGGTGCTCCAGAAGATTTAGCTTGCTATGTATGCAGATCAAAGGAAATCCAGCTAGTTTACAAAACAGATATAACTGCAGAAATTACAGCTGGCAGGATCAAATTATTTACATTGGTGCTAGTAATTGATGTTTCATAGGTGAAACTATCTGAAGTTGTTTCATTGTTTGGATAGTCCGTTTTGATTTGGGAACTGGCCATATAAGTTCTGGACAAACACTACATAGGAGTTACATGAGCTACATTTTAGCTTATAAAGCAAGGCTTGAATTCAGGGTAAGACTGCATTGTTGTAGTGCTGAAGTCCTAGCCTTAGCTTGCTGGTGCTTTGCTACTACCAGTCACATTGCTATTTAAGTGGATTGTGGCAACTGACATTTTTTTTTGTATCACCTCAAACTTTTATTGCTTATGGCTTGATTGTGCAATGCACACTGTTCTAGCTTTTCTAATTAAAAAACAAGCTCTACCATTTAACAGTTTTTATAAGCACTTCCTTTTTGTTAGTTCTTTTTTCTGTTCCTTCCCCTACTGTTACCAGGATTTGGAAAGTCAGGAGAGATACTTGAATCATCATTTTCTTCTTCATATTTCCAGAGTGATAGACTTAAACGAGGAACATCAGCACTGCTTCTTTATTTAATGTGTTTTTAGGTTGAGCTTTCATTTTTAGAGATGTATATAATGCTTTGTCTCTATCCACTATCTTTTAGTCAGAAGATATCCTTTAAAATTTTTTATTATTTGTTTATTTTTCTCCAGAGAGAGAATAAGAGCATATTTGCATATGAAACTCCCTCAGGGGCTTAAACAGCACTGCATTTCTTTAACATTTTCATTTAGGTCTGTTACATTGATGGTCAACTGTCACACTTGATCAGGAGCAGATGAAACATGAGAGATTTGTATAGTTCCAATGTAATGCCTGTAGATTTTGTACTACTTTTTATTTTATTTTTTAAAAAAACTGATGTATTATAGTGTTAAAGGCAAGATAACAAACTTACCAATTATATAGGAAAAGTGCAATAACATGGAAATTCAAGATTTAAGGACAAGTATTTTCCTTGTATTGTGTAATACTAATTACTTTTCCACTGCTATCCTCCTCCATAACATGTATTTTAAAATAACGTGAGAATTGGTTAAGACTTCATTTAATGCGATAATGAAGCTGTGTTTTAATAGGTGATAGAATGCACTGAAGTGCTGTTACATAATAAAGAATTCATTAACATTTTATGTTACTGGTATGGTTTATTCTTTCAATAATTGTTATAGTTTTATCTGTGACATCACCAGCTGTGGTGAGGAGAGAGAGACAAATTGCAGTAACACTGATGACTAAATTGACATTTTATTTACTTAAGCTTTGTTGCTTCCATTAATAGCATTTTTCCACTTGACTGCTGGTATTGACATATTTTGTTTCTATGCTTATAACTGTAAGAAAGTAGCTACCCTAAATCAATCAATCAATCCATCCTACTTTAAATTCTTTCCATTTTTTTATTGTAAGCTTCTTTACATGATGTCTTCCAGGAAGACAGAGTGAAGTCAACTTAGCAAAGATAAGAGCCTTCATGAGGACTTACCTTGTAGTACTAGGGGGCTAAAGTACAATTATTTCTTCATCCTTATTGCACCTGCAGATTGGAGAACAAAATCCTGCCTGAGATACCTACAGGCAGCTGTGAGGAATATTTTCAGCAAGAGTTCAAAGCCTAGGTCCCTGCAATGTGAGGTGTCTGAGCTGCCTCTTTTCTTTTTTAACATCTATATGAAACCTTGGGTGAGGTCATTTGCCAGCAGGGGGTATGGTATCATCAATATGGTGATAATACTCACTTATATCTCACCCCTGGTTGGGCAAGTGATGCTATTGAGGTCCTGACTCTGTGTCTGGAGGCTGTGTGGGTCTGGATAGGAAGGACCTTCTTCGGATTTGACTCTGGCAAAATGGAGTGGCTTAGGGTTTCTGGTCCCAGGGTCTGGTAACATGCCACCTTTGATTCTGGACTGGATGACACTTTCTTGGATGGACAGGTTATGCAATCTGGGGATCCTTCTACATCACAACTCCTGCCCAATGAACAGATGACAGCCATTGATAGGAAAATTATTGTGTTCCAGTTACATCTTTGCCTAGATTGGGAGGCCTTGTTCATGGTCACTGATTGCCTTAGTTGCTCCCCATTTGGATTATTGCAACATGGTCTACATGGAGCAGCCCTTGAAGGCAATCCAGAAACTATAACAAGTCCCAAATTCAGCGGCAGCAGCAGCACATAGTTTTGGGCACTCCTAGGTTCATCTATTACACCCCTGTTGCATGAGCTGCACTAGCTCCCAGTTTCTTTCTGAATGCAATTCAAGGTGCTGGTTATCTATTAAAACTGTTGTGTCTGTTTGATACTCTGTAACCTTCAATTGGGTAAAATGGTGCATCATAGAGCAACAATTTTTGAATTGACATACTTTAAGTGGGCTAATTTACAGAATGTGTCCAAAATCTGTCCAATCTATTTCTGCTTCCTTCTGTCAGTTCCCTGTGCAGTTGGATGGCAGCAAGGCCCAACAGATGAGTGGTCATTAATTGCTTTGGAACCAAGATGCAAAATTGAAATCTTTTAACAGTGATGGCAGTCAAGTGAGAGAAGAATGACTAAATGATTTGGATGCCTGCTGGCAAAGTAGAGATGACTAGGGCAGGTGGGTGGGTGGTGGTTGACAGGTGAGCCCTTTTCCTTGGGGACACATTGGAATGGGAAGTGGGTGTGCAGCTTTTCCTTGGTTTGTTCCTCCTCCCTCCAGTAAAATGGCAGGCAGTTCCCTGGAAGACTAAGCAGAGGAGGATGAAGCTGCTTCACTGCTGCTCTCCTGAGAATTATGAGAAGAGAAAGAGTACAAGCCTATATGTGGAATGAGGAATATATGGAATCATATATGGAATGAAGAAAGACAAAGGAGCAACTTGGATGGCTGACCAGAGGGTGGCAACAACACATCAGCTCTCTTCTTCCCTGGAGGCAGGGGCCCTTGGAGAGACACCGTAATGGGAAGTGGGGGTGCAGTGGTCTATTCTTTGTTGTCCGCCCCCCCCCCCAGCAAGGTGGCAGGAAGTTCTATAAGCCAGAGGAAGAGGAGGAGTAGGAGGCTTCACTATATGCCACCCATCTCACTATCCAGGGAGATTCTGGGTGGCTTACAAAGGCATAAAAACATAAATATAAAAGCATTAAAATTAATGACAAAGGTTAAACATCAATAACATAGTGAGGCAATATGGGGTGGACTTTTGTTAATAGATTGGATAACCATTTGACTAGGATGGTCTAATGTCTCCTGTTGGACTAATGTCTGAGGTCCTTTCCAGCCTTAGGATCAGGGGTGAAATCCAGCAGGTTCTGGAGAACCAGTAGTGGAAATTTTGAGTAGTTCGGAGAACTGGCAAATATCACCTCTGGCTGGTCCCAGAGTGGGATGGAATAGAGATTTTCCAATATCCTTCCCCCGGGAGTGGGGAGGGAATGGGAATTTTGCAGTGTCCTTCCCCTGGAGGTGGGTGGAAATGGAGGTTTTGCAGTATCCTTCCCCTGTCACTCTCACCACTCCCCGCCCACATAACGGGTAGTAAAAAAATTTGAATTTTACCACTGCTTAGGATTCTATGTTCCAGGACTCTCCTGAGGAATGTGAGGGAAAATGGCATAAGCCTAAGATCCGATGAAACACTTCCCTTAGACTACCTTAAGCATATGGTCCAATTTTTTAAAAAGCTAACTTTTTTGAGAGACCTGAATACAAATATTAAGAAAAATACAAACTTGGCTGGGAAAGGGGATCATATAACCCATAAAGTTTCCACTTGTGGAATGTTGTCTAATGCTCATATGTAATGTCTTCTATTGTTTGATTTGTTGCTTTCTGCTGCATCACATATACCAAATGTATGTATTACTTCCAAATATAATTATTCAAAAATGTGAAATTAAATAAATAAATTCTGTATGCTTTTTTGCTTTGATTGAATTACTTGTGATGTGTGCTGTTGATAAGGGCAGAAAAATCACTTTACAACATTAGTCTCTCAAATTTAGGGATTGGGTTTTTATCAGTGCTACACCAAACTCAAATTGCCTGAGTTTCTAGGCAGCAGGTCCTGCTGGACTTGTAGTTTCTGTTTGGTCATAGGTGAAAATCATAACGAAAGGGATCTTTGACCAGCTTTGGCTAGTACACAATTATGGCATTACCTAGGCTAAGAGGACATGGCTATAATGACTCATATCTTGTCCCAAATCAGACTATTGCGTTTTTATTCCCCACACATTCATACTTGACCCCATCTAACCTTGGTCTACCACACAACGTATATATCCCATTCACACCAAATTCGACTTACTATTTTACTACAGCATAACATGCAATTATCAACAATCATAAGCTTCCACAACAATGCCTATTCAGTGTTATTCTTTCACAACGGTATTTCTTTGCATTTATCAAATTTACAGACCGCCCCCATCTCACAGAATTAAAACCTACACCTTCTTTCCCTGCATATATTCAATTCCATTCTACAAAATCGGGCAACTTTCATTTAGATCTGTTGTACCTCTTCCCGTTTTTTTTAAAGTACCTACACAGTAGCTACGATTTGATTTATTATTCATGCGTTACTTATGCTTCTTATATTTTAAGCCAAATATTAGGTCCATAAATAAATACTGGCTGCCACTGCTTAGTAAGGCCTTGTTCAATGAAACTTCCTTATAGCGCTTTTCATTCATTAAACCAGAGGTCTTCAAACTTGGCAGCTTTAAGACTTGTGGACTTCAACTCCCAGAATTCTCCAGCATAGCATAGCTGGCTGGAGAATTCTGGGAGTTGAAGTCCATAAATCTTAAAAGCTGCCAAGTTTGAAGACCTCTGCATTAAACAATAGACCAGGTTTTCAGCATTGTCTGTAGCAGTGTCGCATGTAGCATTCCTTGCTAAGTCTACATTATTGGCCCGTTTGGGCAGTAAACCACAAGAGTGGCACAACCCCACGTTTAACCAAAGCATAATCAGCATTGTTCTGCACAAATTAAGATTTCTACGGTAATATTGTATAGAGATTTACTAGCAAACCGACCTTCCCTCCGGCTCTTGCGAACCTGCACAACCGGAACTCCTCTCACCTCGCTTTGTTTCAACCCGGTTTATATTATTGGAATTTTTTTTTTTTTTTTGCGGACGCCGGTCTGTCCACGGCGCTGCCTGTTTTTCCCGGTCATCCCAAATGGTTTCTCGCCACGTTGCTCTCCGTTTTTAGGAACATTTTGGATATGAAAACGACGACCGATTATTTTGTGCGACGCAGCGAGGGATCCAAGCCGTCAGGAAACAGAAAACGTTTTCATCAGGCAGAGTTAGGGCGGCCACCCCTTCGGGTGGGGGCCTTTGGGCCTTTGCGTCCGAAGCGGGATCGGACGGAAGAAGAGTGCGAGCAAGATGAACCTGGAGCTGCTCGGTGCGTGGGGAGGTGGGGGGGGGGGGGGGAGGGAAGGCGCTTCGATCGCTGCTTTTTCCTTAGGGCTGCGGGTGCGTGGACGGGGCAAGCGGGGGACGATGAGAAGACGGGCCCGTGGGATAAACCCGGGAAGGCGCGTTTGTGGGCGCTCAAGCAAAGCGGTGTTGGAAGTGGCTCGGGGGGTGGAAGGGCCGCTGGGTTGCTTCTTGGACTGGAACGCGGGAAGTTTCGGGGTTTTGGGGGGGAGGGGGGGCGTGCGTTTTCCCTCGTCCCGTTTGCAAAAGCTGCCCAGCGATGCGAAAACGGCGGGAGGCTGCCTCCCCGTCGCTCCAAAGAGGAAAAAAAAACCCATTTGTTTTGATTGAAATGCAAAAGAGTCCAGGCAGATTTATGCCACCGGCGCCTACATCGGACCCCGACCGACCCGGTTTTCATTGGTTGTGAATTTTGGGGATTGTTGTGGATGGGCCGGGCGATTTCATCTTTCCCCTTTTGCTGCTTACACACCCACCCAGAAAAATCCATTATGGGTAGGAGGACACCCACCCTTGAATGTAATGTCAGATTACTTCATTGAAGTAATGATTACTTCAGATTACTTCATTGAAGTAATGAATGAATTACTATGAATGTAAAAGGGGGCGTGCAGAAGCGCACCGTCGTGCCTACCGTCCCTGTCCTACCGTCCCCGTTTACTTGTACTCATTCCTAGTTCATGTCTGTGTTTATACGTATACCTGTTAACTGGTACATGTTCGACAAATTAAATAAATAAATAAACTTTCGAAGTATTGTGTGCATGAGTTAAGAAATGATTTGAATAGTATAAATTTTGGCCGCCACGATGTAAAAAAAGATGTGGAGACTTTAGAAAGAGTGCAGAGAAGAGCAACAAAGATGATTAGGGGATTGGAGGCTAAAACGTATGAAGAACGGTTGCAGGAACTGGGTATGTCTAGTTTAATGAAAAGAAGGACTAGGGGAGACATGATAGCAATGTTCCAATATCTCAGGGGCTGCCACAAAGAAGAGGGAGTCAAGCTATTCTCCAAAGCATCTGAGGGCAGGACAAGAAGCAACAGGTGGAAACTAATCAAGAAACAACTTAGAACTAAGGAGAAATTTCCTGACAGTTAGAACAATTAATCAGTGGAACAATTTGCCTCCAGAAGTTGTGAATGCTCCAACACTGGAAGTTTTTAAGATTGGACAGCCCTTTGTCTGAAATAGTATAAGATAGTGGTGACTAACCTTTTCTGGAACGAGTGCCCAAAGCGCGCGCACGAACCCCCAAAATGCAATGCACACGCACCCTCCCCCCCTGCATGCACCCTGCGCATGCCCAGCAAAGACCCGAAGACCAGGTCTTCGGGTCTTTGGCCGGCGGGAGGCACACATGCACGTATGGCGGAGCTGAGCTGGGGCGACGGTTCACATGCCCACATCGAGGGTGCTGTGTGCCACCTCTGGCAGGCGTGCCATAGGTTCACCATCGCTGGTATAAGGTTTCGTGCCTAAGCAGGGGGTTGGACTAAAAGACCTCCGAGGTCCCGTCCAACTCTGTTATTCTATTCTATTCTAAAGTATGTGATAAAGGAATATCTGGTAAAAGCCTCGGCTTCCTAACATTTTGAAACAGACAGTACATCTTTTTCTAGACTAGTTAAAGCAGTCCTACTGTACATGCCCATTTCAACTGAGATGAAGTTACAGCTAACGGATTTGGACGATAAATGAGAATTAATGGACTTTACTGGATAATTATTTCCAAAATGGTCTGTCAAAAAAAAATCTTTGTATGTTTCTAGATTTTTTTCAAAAATTATATTATTAATTGCTCCCCCTTAAGGCATAACAACATCTCATTTTTGAAGATTTCTAACTTTTTTTTTTTAAAATTAGATTTATATGTCGCCCTTCTCTGGAGACTCAGGGCGGCTTACAATGCGTTAAGCAATACTTTAAGAAGTACTTTAATTTTGATGATGATATGGTTATTGGAATCCAAAGAGTAATTTTGAATATAGTTTTGAGATTCCTGCAGCAAGGAATTTATACTTTGCTCTTTCAAAAATAGTAAATATTGTTTAATTTTACCAGTATAAGATTTTCAGATTTTCAATTCGAAATATATTAAGTTACTTGAACCTCATTGCTAAAACTTCTTTCAGTTGGATAGCATATATAATATTGTAATGCATGCTACTGATTCATAGGTCAGATTTATTATTTCAGCACATGCCCCTATCATTAGATCTTCAGTAATGCAGCATGCAACAAAAAGGAGGGTAGCATTTTTGAATTTCCTTCATAATTTCTTCTTCTTTTTTTCAGAATCCTTTGGGCAGAACTATCCAGAGGTATATATGTATATGCATTTACCCTTGTATAAATATTTTGTACTCTTGTTTGTTTGTGACTATTTTACTGGGCTAGAAAGGAGAATTTTTGGTATATGCTCATACACATGAAATAGACTGTCTTAAATCTTCAACTTATTACATGAACATTGCGACAAGTTATTTATTTGCATGAGACATTTCATGGAGTGAAGTAACATGGTTATGTAACCTACACATGAAACCTCTCCATTTTTTTTATCCCTTTTTTGTTTTCAGGAAGCTGATGGCACGTTGGACTGTATTAGTATGGCTCTTACATGTACTTTTAACAGATGGGGCACTCTTCTAGCAGTGGGTTGTAATGATGGCCGAATTGTCATTTGGGATTTCTTGACAAGGGGCATTGCAAAAATAATAAGTGCCCATATTCACCCAGTTTGTTCATTATGGTAAGGAATTATCCTAATACAAATTTATTTTGCTTTGTGGATGATACGCCTGCAGTTGAGCTCAGAACTCTGCATGCATTTATTATACAATGTTCATGCATTTCAACTTTTATTACTAGAAGCTACCGTTCAGGGATATGCATAGTTGACAGTTAGGCAACTCAAAACTTTGTGTGAAGCTTACATCAGCAGCTGCACCAGAAAAATGAATTGGAATGAAGTGTCCAGTATTTTGGGTAGTGAAAGTTGTTCCAATAAAAATGTCAGTGACCGCTTCAGCTGCAATTTGATTCTCAAACACATATGCAGTAGTTTGTTTTGATACCAGCTAATAGGTGATACATAAAGATGTGTTAAGGCTGTAGTGTGTGATTTTTCCATTGAACTTACAAGGCATTTGGTTCTTTAAATGTTTTTGGAAATCAAATTTAAAGTTGGAGTGCTGCAGAAAGCTTGTCAACATGAGGGGACAATGAGGTCTGTATTGAGAGGCTATTTAGATCTTTCTCTTTCAGTTGGAGTCGAGATGGTCACAAGTTAGTGAGCGCATCAACTGATAATATGGTGTCTCAGTGGGATGTTTTGACTGGTGATTGTGATCAGAGGTTTCGTTTTCCTTCTCCTATTCTGAAAGTCCAGTATCATCCCCGTGATCAGTAAGTAATATTAACATCTTTTTTAAAACAGTAGTAATCTAGGTAATTTCTTTGAAGTATATTCAAATTTATAATACTTTTTTGTGGGTTGTAGTAGTCAAACCTTTTTTTTTTTTACTATGCAGCTTAACAACTGAACAAAAACAAAAAATGGCTAGGTTGGGCATACAGTGTTATCACCACTGTAGATATATTGGCTCCAGAAATAAAGTTTATCTGAAAAACTGTGGGTCAGTGCATCAACAGATTGATAACATTGAGGTCTAAGGTTCTCAGAATTCAGTATTGTTTAGATGATAAAGATCTTGCTTTTCATTCCCACTATCAATATCTGTGTTTCTCTTGGTAGTGAGTCTAGATATTGTTCTAAACTTTGTGCGGAATTTTCCTAGGATTTTTTTTTTCAATATACATTTTTCTTAAATACATATGGAAATACAAATATACAAAATTTCTGAATCTGGCATTTTGAGGAGATATGAGGTTCCCTGCAAGGTTCACATTGCCCTCATTTTGCTGTTGTTTTATAATAGCCGTGAAAGCCTGGGTCTTCATCTAGGCCTTTGATGAGAGAAAGTAAGACCCATTGCTTCGTTCCAGTTGGTCTGTTTGCTTGTCATCTTTTATCTTTATTGTTCATTAAATGTTTTGTAATTTCTCTGATTGTAGTGAGCCATATGGAGTTGAGAGTCAGGCAGCATACATTTAAAAATTATTAAATATACTAAATAGCTGTCCACCTGTTTATTATATTTAATACATACATTATTAATTATAATAATTATTTCCTGTGCTGGCATGCCAATCTACCAGGAGGCACATTAGCAGGCATGGAGTCTTCTTCAGGCCTGAGATAAATAGGCTCAGACTCTATAACAGCAAACTGTAATAATACAGCCTTTGAAAAAAATCCTTTTGCTGCATCTTTGAGGTCAGACCAGGGTGAAATGCTCCCGTTTCGGACCGGATCGCCTGATCCGGTAGCGATGGCGGCGGGTGGTTCGGAGAACCGGTAGCAAAAATCCCTGTGCCCCCCCCCCCCATCATGCCCAGCTGAGCCGCACAATCCTCAGAGCTTTTTTTTTTTTTTTTTACTTTTAAAAGCATTTTTTCTACAACCTCTTCCAACGAAAAAATACTTTTAAAAGTTAAAAAAAAAAGCCTCTGATGATCGTGCGGCTCAGCTGGGATTTTCAGGCTTTTCAAAGCATTTTTTTCTGCAACCTCTTGGCTGAAGAGGTGGTAAAAAAAAATGCTTTGAAAAGTCTCTGACGATCCCAGCTGAGTTGCCTTATCATCAGAGGCTTTTCAAAGCATTATAAAAAATGCTTTGAAAAGTTAAAAAAAAAAAAAGTTTGCCACGCCCAGCCAGTCACATTACCCCCCCCCCCCCCCCCCCCCCACACACACCAAGCAACGCCCACAGAACCGGAGTAACAAATTTTACATTTCACCCCTGGGTCAGATTCATGGTCAAACAGGAAAGCAGGGTTGGAAACTGGTAAGTTATCCGTAGGCAGTAAATCCACAGAAGATGCAAAAGAAATCCAAGATGCAGCAATGCCGGATATTCATATGATATATTGATACATTGTTCTTACCATTGCCCAAAGGGAATAAGTACATTAAATAAACTTTGTTGAACCTTCATTCAGTAAACAGAGGAGACTCATTAAAGAGAAGCTACAGAGTTTGTTCTCCTGTTAGCACTTACATGCTTTTTGACTAGTCTCTCACATCTGTGAAGCTCAATCCCTAGTCCTGGATTTTCATTAAGCACCTTTTCCTATAATTAAATAGCTAAATCTCTGATTTTGAGTTATTTTCAACAGATATAAGCAAGGGGTTCTGTGAATTTACTGAGTTTCTCTAAGAACAGGATCACTATTCAATATTATTAGAATCATGAGTGACAGGAATACTATCACTTAATTGTTTTTGGCTCCATTTCTCCTCATTCTTCTCATCCCCTAGCCAGATCATATCAAATATCAAATATCTTTACTGGGTCACTATTCTGCTGAATAATCACTGTTACATTTCATGGGGGTCTAACCATAAACTTTCCTCATTAGAGAATGTCATCTTTGTCCTTTTGTTTTATTGGTTTCTTGGATGACAGGTAGAATAAAAGTGAAATGAATGAATAACTGTGTATGGGGAAACGAAAACAAATTTACCAAATATAAGAATTGTATTAACTGTTTAGAATATGAATGATACTGAATTAATTTATTAATCCTGCTTACACTTGTTTATGAGTACAAAATATGATTCTTTTTTTTTTTCCCCAGAGGTAAAAACATACTTCCCTTGTTGTGTTTTTCATGTTTTTGATGATACATTGCTTGGTGTTTGAAAATTTATTTGTTTCTTGTTTTTCTATTTCTTTAGAAACAAGGTGTTAGTATGTCCGATGAAATCTGCGCCTGTAATGCTAACATTGTCTGATTCGAAGCATGTTGTCCTACCGGTAGATGATGATTCTGATCTCAATGTGGTAGCTTCTTTTGATCGACGAGGAGAATATATCTACACGGGGAATGCTAAAGGAAAGGTGAGAAATAATTATATTGTATTGTTTGTTCTATAACCTAAACCTGTCTCAAAGGTAAACCCCATGGAAGTAAATGGAATTTTTATCTGGTAAGTAAAACATAGTTCTGCAGCAGGGATGTAGTCCTTGCTCACTTTTCTCGTATTAAATCCCATTGAATTCAGTGGAGCTTTTCATTAATCACAGAGGATTTTGCTTCAATGATGAGACATAATGTGTACTTTGGACACATTATGCATAGACTTAACTCTCTGGAGAAGTATATAATGCTGAGAAAGATGGAAGGAGAGAAAAGAAAGGGATCACAACAGTGGTGGGTTTCAAAAATTTTTACTACCGGTTCTGTGGGTGTGGCTTGGTGGGCGTGGCATGGCTTGGTGGGCGTGGTTTGGGTGTGCCAGGGGAAGGATACTGTAAAATCTCCATTCCCTCCTGATCAGCTGGGACTTGGGAATAGACTTGAGACTTGAGAATAGATGGGGGTGGGGCCAGTCAGAGTTTTTACTACCGGTTTTCTGAACTACTCAAAATTTTCGCTACTGGTTCTCCAGAACTGTTCAGAGCCTGCTGAAACCCACCTCTGGATCACAAGCAATAAGGTGGTTGGACTTAATTACAGCAGTGATGGGTAAACCATTGGAAAAGTTGGAGACAGATCTATCTGTCAGTAAAAGTCAGCATTGAGTTGATGAACCATAATCATTCCATGTCTTTAGCCACACTAGTCACCAGTTTGTTTAAACGTGTGTTGAATTTGCAATATGTCCACTAGATGTTACGCAATTAATATTTTATTGCTCAAAGAGATATCACACATTCATGAACAATAGATCACATGCAGAACACATATACTACCCTACTGCATTGATCAAAGATTCTGCATGACTACTGTCTCAAATGTTTAGGTTGGGCTGTGTCTTGTTCCAGAGAATTCACAAAACAGTTAATCTGTCTGTTACTTGAGGCCTCTATAGTAGAATTATTAGATGAAGGTCTGCTCCAAAACAGATATGTATATCAACAGTTCAAGAGTTTAAGGGTAGTGAATATGGTGACATAGGATAACAGTCAAGCTTTGCATAAAGTCAAGTATGGCTTAGGGCAGATTATTAGTTGAAGTATTTTTAGCACTTTACACAGAGACTATTATACTTTAAGTTGATAGTGGGAGCTATTTTAATCAGGTACAATAGCCTAATCCCAAAATTGACCATTACACTCAGTTTGCTTTTTGAGGCAACCTGGAAATCCTTTGCCTTTTGGTCCTTTGATTCTTGATCTGTTGTCATCACATGTTCTCACTGTCATGGTCTGAACAGTCGATTATATGTTTAGGATCAGAGCTAGGAGTTATTTTGGTCTTAGGATATAGCTTTTACGTTTCAGTTTGTATTGTCTAATTGTCTGCTCCTTTTTACCACAGGCACGGAGCCTGAGAACTCTTGCTTTTACAATCTTCAGGTTTTCACAGGAAAATACATACATTGGTTATATTTAAAAGGGAGGGAGAGAGAGAGGAAGGGCTAGTAATATTGAGAAAAGATACAGTGTCACATTGTGATAAAATATCCATTGTGATCAGTTCCAAGGAAGATTCATCTTCACTTGGTAATATATTAGATCAAGGTATCTTGTACTTTTTAACCGGATATTGACCAGTATTCTTAAACCGATTTGAGGATCAACTATATATGAAATGTTACTACAATTGAGAGTTGTTGCCAAACTAGCAAATGGTGTTATTTACTGGTTTTGACACAAAATACTGATTATCCAATGATGGGGTTCCTCCCCTCATTTTCCTTATCAGAGGAACAGGAAATATTAAATTGGTATAAAATAAGCAGATTTGAAAGTAGGTTGCATAATCTATTCCAGGGGTGTCAAACTGGATTTCTTTGAGGGCTGAATCAATATTGTCCTCTGCGGGCCAGCCAGGGGAGTGTGTGGAGATGGGACAAACACCTCCTTCAGCACTCTGCCGGCAAAAACGGAGCGCAGGGGGGCCGTGCACCCCACCCAACCCGTGCCCCATTTTGGCCGGTAGAATGCTGCAGAGGCTGTCCATGCCGAAAACAGGGCATGGGGAGGGGCATACACAGCCTTTCTGTGTCCCATTTTCACCAGCAGACGCACCGTGGGCCCATCCGTTGCTATTTCCAGGCCAGTCCCACAGGCCAGATCTAAGCACCCTGCGGGCCGAATGCGCCCGTGGGCCTTGAGTTTGACACCCCGATCTATTTAGCTTTTTCAGATATGCTTTTAATATTGAATTGCATCCTGTGGGTGATAAAAGAGAATATAGAGATACATAAGTATGTATAAATAGTGTCTCAGAAAATGTTTTATTGTTATTTTGGTATCACCCCACTTCCTCTGGATTTAAGGCATATTAAATTCCATGCTTCTAAGCAACATTTATTTCAGTCTGATGATGCTTGAACTTTTAACAATTGAGTTTTATGATATAAAATGTAATATATCATGCAGAAAAAATTCTAGCTTATTCAGAAGTGAGGATGCTTGTTGACATGTGACTGGTAAAGATAACTGACATTGGACTACATGAAGGTCATTTTATCATTCCTTGTGGACTCGTAAAAAAGCCAAAAAAATTTGGGTTCAAAAACATACAATGATACAAAGAACGTTTAGATCAATATTCAATTGAAATTTCATATAGTAGTTGTAAAATGTTTCTGAATGAAGCTGTTCTCATTTGGAAAGATATTAAGATACAAAATGAAATCTGTACTGTTGGCAGCATACGTTGAGTTTTAACACCTACTGTAATATTGCAATGTTAAATGTAAAGCTTCTCTCATTTTTAATTGATAACATACATGTTTTAAGACTCTTGCTTACAGTTTCATAAGTAATGGAGTAAAATATAATTGGGTGAACTGTATGCCCTTACAATTCATTGATTTTTCTTACAAGTTTTAGATAGAAAGATTGTACCCAGAAAGACATTTTTTCTTACTTTTTTAGATCTTGGTGTTAAAAACAGACACTCAGGATCTTGTTGCTTCCTTCAGAGTGACAACAGGAACCAGCAACACTACTGCTATTAAATCTATAGAATTTGCTCGAAAAGGAAGGTGAGTTGAAGTCAGTCAGAGCTTCAGAATTTATTCACTGAAAGCATAATGGTGAAAAGCTTCCCCCCACCCCAGTACCATTTGTGTAGACAATTTTAAATTCTTCCCACCTGTGATTTGGAGTGGAGTTACTGAATATAATCCTGTTCCTCTCAACACACATTCTGTGAGTGTTCTTCAATGATAACAATTATTCATTTCAAAAGGAGATTAAATGATGAGAGTATCTGGGTTTATCAGAAAAGCGTAGGAAACTGCCCGACATGCCAGATCTCGTTTTCTAGGCTATTATTGTTTGTTCTGGTCAAGCTCATGCAGTAGTCTTTCTATCACTTAGTTCCTTATCTTTTAACAGGAGCTTGACTTTGAAAGCTTCTTTACACAAAGCATATATTGTAGAATAGAGCTATGCGCCTTCCCTAATTAATTACGTTAGTTCCCCGGATGTCCTGATTGGTACCACATGCAGCTAAAGTGCACTATTTAAATTCATTTTTATCAATGGATTAATATTTGGGCTTATTTTTCAGAATGACTTTCTTTTACCTTTGGAAATGTTTTGAGATGTTCTTTTAGATAAGGGCAATTTTAGAATTTTGAGTTTGCATTAGATTGTATGATCTTCAGCCAAGTTTGTTCATACTAGGCTAATTGGGAGTTTGGCTTATTGACTGTTGCTTTTGACAGTGATTTTTTAAAAATCAAGTATTTGAAATTAGGCAGATACTTCAACATTAGCTGATTTAAGGAGCAACTATCATGATAAAAAGAATTGTTGGTTAAATACTGTGATAAAAAGCTAAGCAAATAAAACATCTAAATGTAATTGCACATGCCTAAAGAAGGTTTAGTATAGTTCTATGATAATTTACTTTTGAAACCGAAGAAGTTTTGAAAAAGCAGCTTACATCCTGACATAAAAAGCAGCCTTCAAAAACAAAATATATTCTGCTGTACTTGAATCTTCGGGTGCATCTAAAGGAAGTCTTTCTGACTTCCATATTATTGTTTAACAGTGGTATTTGGGACCTGCAATTCTGTTCTAAACGGCACAGATGTAAATCAGAAAATCACATGATCAAGTGAATTTACAGCATTAGTCCCTTTTATTAAATTTATATACCACCCATCTCATTATTTGCCATCATTAAGCAAATTGCACATAGTCATTAAATGTGATCCAGTTGCAACTTCCTGCTGGATTCCCTGTTCACTTTGCCTGTGGGAGGCCAGCACTGAAGGTTGCAAATTGTGATCATATGACCACAGGATGCTGGAACCATTATAGTTGTGTGCTGGTCCACAAGCACTCGAATTGTGATCATATGGCTGTAGATACGCTGCAAATGGCCAGAACTTCAAGGACCGGTTATAAGTCTTATACATTCAGTGCTGTCATAATTTTGAATGGTCACTGAATGAGTGGTCATTAAGCAATGACTACCTGTATTGTAAAACAGTGGATCAGCAATGCATTCGAGAAAGTTAGTATCATCGTAGCATGTTAATATATTTCCATCTTCCAGTTGCTTTCTCATAAATACTGCTGATCGCATAATCAGAGTTTATGATGGCCGAGAAATCTTGACCTGCGGTAGAGATGGGGAACCAGAACCAATGCAAAAACTACAGGATTTGGTGAACAGGTAAACTATGTTATGTAAAGTAACTAAGTATTGTAAGGCATCAGAATATGCTTTCTTTGCAAAATTCACTTACTTTTGAGTAATCTTCATAGGATCAAGTTGTAAATTTATAAATGTAAGTTCCCCTTAAGTCAGGCTCAGCTCCTAGTAATTACATGGATCTATCCATGTTGTTTTCTTAACAATAAAATGAAATGGTTTTGTCTTTTTTTCAACTTCCTGGTTTGGTTTATAGCCCTAGAATTTGCTGCTAGTCTCCCATCCTAGTCCTAACTAGGTGAATTTCTGCTTAGGCATTTTGAGATCGGTCAGTCACCTGGATCATCCTATTAGCTATTGCTTTATTTGAAACATTTATATAGTGCCCATCTTGCAGCAAGCTCTGGGCAGCTCTCAATCAAAAAAAGCTCTTGGGTAATTTTGTACAATATATTCCCTAATATAACATCCTATCGTTTAAAGTGTATTTGAAAAGTATTGCTATTACATTGGCCAAATTATGTATTGCTTTGTGATCTCTCTCTCTCTCTATATATATATATATAGTACCTTCCTACCAGAGTCTTTAAAATGGGATCATAAATTAAAATTATGTGATACAAAAGCTGAACAGACTAAAATAAATGGAAATGATATATCATCACCTATACAAGACCCTTCTGTAAGGAGCAAAGCTAAGAGACAGATGATCCCATCTTGGTTGAGAAGATAATTTTCTAGCTGCACCTGCCTATTTAATGTTGATAAATTATTGATGCAGACAATTCTGGGACAAGATGAGCCAACATATGATTTTAGCCAGATTTGCAGAGTTGTTCGCTTTCCTGTCTATTTTCATTCATATATTTTTAAAGGCATCCCTTTGTAGAAATAGAATCTTCCTTCTGTTATGCTCGTGGAAGCCAAGATCTGTCCTGAGCAGAATGTTAAGAGTCTGGAAAAGTACAGTTGAAAGGCTAGTGTTGTGCTGCACTTTATTTTTAAATTTTCTATTACGTTTTGCAATAGCTATTCTAAATAATCACCCAAGGATCAATGGTCCGGTTAATCAATTTGGGAAATATAGCTTGGCTTGAATAGTTACATTTATATTGCGGAATTTGCAATTTGCATTTTTGGAATAATATGTCCTTCTCTCCAGATAAAGTATTTTTAGATAAAGTATTTGGGGTTGTTGGGGGGTGGGGGTTGTTTCTTTTTAAAACCTTTTTATTTTCCCTGCCCTTGAAAAAGTCTGTTAACTTTTTCTGCTAATACCTTTCCTGTAGGACACCTTGGAAGAAATGCTGTTTCTCTGGTGATGGGGAGTATATTGTTGCAGGGTCAGCCCGTCAGCATGCTCTCTACATATGGGAGAAAAGTATTGGCAACCTTGTGAAAATCCTGCATGGCACCAGGGGAGAGCTGTTGCTGGATGTGGCAGTAAGTGCTCCATCTTTCTCTCCGTTCTATTTTGTCAGAATAATGGGCTTGATTTGTTTTTATATATCTGCTACTTTTCTCCCTCTTCCTGCTGCAATTCTAGTGGCATCCTGTCCGACCAATCATTGCTTCTATTTCCAGTGGAGTGGTATCTATATGGGCACAGAATCAAGTGGTAGGTAGAATTCGGCTGCATTTTATTAGCCTTCTACATTTTGATTTTGAGTGGCAGCTCTGTTTTCATCTATTCTGAATATTTTACAGTATTTGCATAAACTTCATTAGGGGTTGTATTCTAAATAAATACAGAATGTAGAATAATAGAAAAGAATGCAAGAACCATCCAAATGTTTTTAAATCCTAATATGGAAAGCAATTTGACAGTAGAAGCAATAACACACAGAGGTGATAGACTCCCTTTCATTGGATGTGCTTAGGTGAAAGCTTGAGAGCTATTTGTCTTGTTGCTTTAATTTTGATTTTTCCACTGAAAGGGAACTTATCCATGATGACTTAGATGACCTCTCCTGTTCCAGATTGATCAGGGGCACCCAGAGAAGTTGAGATGCTAGACTTTCACTTCATATTTAAGCAAAAACAAGCACCAGCAGGCAGGGTTTTGTGCAAGCGTACAAAAGTTTAATCAAACAAATTCAAATTACAAGAGTCCAAAGCAGCAGGCGAAGACATTATTAGGTTATGGGAGAATGGCAGTTTTAGGAAGCAGGAGGTTCCAGACTTTTGATGCAAAGACCAGGATAGAACGGTTGTCCCCAAACTGGCTTTCAAGGAGAACCCCTTTATGAAGGGGTCACAATCAACATTAGAAACACCCTTGTTGGGCGAGGCGGAACATAGAGTGAGTTTGCTGCTCAGTATATAGCATGGTGTGATTGAAAAGCTGTTGCTCATTGCTTACATGGTGCTTCTCTGCTACATGGCGTCACAAGTTTGAAATGTTTTTGGGTGGGGGGGGATTTATGGTTTAGGAAAACTGGAGTGCCTTTGCACCTGATTTTAAAGAGCTGGATGAAAATGTAGAATATGAAGAACGGGAGTCTGAATTTGACATAGAAGATGAAGATAAAAGTGAGCCAGAACAGACAGGTAATGAATGTATTATTTTAAACTTATTTTAAAACAAGAACAACCCTGCTGGAGATGTCAATGCCCATTTGAATCCAGCATATATTTTTTTTTCTTATCATGGCAAATTGGATACCTTTGTGGCAGGAGATTAAAACATACTGCTTTCTTTGAATCGTCCAATCAACAGATGATGGTTGTCTTCACCTGCTGACAGCCAGTTGCCAGCAGTATGACTGGAGGCCAGCTACCATAAGAAAGCCATGTGAAGCTTCAGAACTGGGGTCCATGCTAAGTAAACGTATGTGACCTAACCTAATCTTTAAAATAGTAAAGTTAGTGTAAAATTAAAGAGATCCTTTTGAAGCTCTGCACTGCTGTGCTTTAAAGAATGTGTGGTATGAGTCATCTCACATTTATAAGTAGTGCAGTTTAATGTATTTTTGTTAATATGTTACAATTGACAGAATTTATATTTTATAAAATACTTTATAAGAATTTATACTTTATAAAATACTTTATAAGAATTTATACTTTATAAAATACAACATATCTTTGCCCATACAGGATATAGCAAATCCCAATTATATCTTATAATCATAACTATATTATAATTATATATTATATTAATTATATTTATACACACACACACACACATATATACACAAACACATTGTGTTTCCCCGAAAATGCGACATTCAAAAATTAAGGTCTAGCCCAATTTTTGGGGGGTACGCCTAATAAAAGCTGTACCCCAAACATAAGCCCTATTGAAGTGGGTGGGCATGGCCAGCCTTGCAATTTTCCTGCCGATCGGCGAAAAGGCTACCCCCCACCCCCCACCCAAGCCTTCAGTGTATCCCAGGATTGCAACTCGGAAGGCTCGGCAGGAAAATTGAGATGGGGATTTTCCTGTCTGTACTCCTTTTCCTGCCTGTACTCCTGAAGCCTCCCCACCACTTGGTTTGGGGCGGACACCTGCGCGGCTTGCTCGAGTTGCAAAAAAGGCTCCATCCTGAGCCTTCAGCATTGCAATCCTGGGTTACCCTCAGCTTCTCAGCGCTACTCCAGGGCTTGCACAGTGCCGGAGGTGGGCAGGCCCTTGGAGGAGCTTCCTGCGGTCCCCACCTGCTTCTGCTTCTTCGCCTTTGCCAGGGCGGCAGGTGCTAGAAGGGTGCTGTCCTCGGCTGGGCAATCCCAAGTGTCATCCCAAAGCCTCCCTGCTGCTTGGTTTGGGGTGGATGGCTGTGTGGCTCACTCGAGTTGTAAACAACCCGTGGATTTGGGCGGCCTTTTAGTGGCCAGTATACCTGCAAGATCCCTGGTTTCCGAGGCTGGCGAGGGTCAGGATTTGGGCTCCGGTGCACTCTTCTCCACCTGGGCGGTGGCTGTGCGTGTGCGGCGCCTCCAGGTCATCGAGTGTGGCCTGCTGATCTCGGCTGGTGGCGGCTCTGACCTGATCCTGGCTGCCAACACTGCGGGAAAAATCAGCCATGCCGATCCCGCTTCATGGCTGCGCAGACGGAGCCCGCATCAGCTACTACTTCACGTGGGATAGGAGACACTATGAGGAAGTGCCCACACAGATGCCAGGCCTCAGGGTGCCACCCTGAGCAGGTACCGAGCTGGAGGCAGGGGAGGGTCAGTCCCCTTACCTGATTGCCTGCCCTCCACCATTTCTCAACAAATGTCTGTGTGTATGTGTGTGTGAGAGAGAAAGAGAAATGGCGGACAGGAAACCCTTTCAAACAGCGTTGCCTGAAATTCCTCCATTGTTTCTCTTCTCTCTCTGTCTCTCTCACACACACACAGACATTTAATTGCTTGAAAGGGACAGGCTGCGCTTTGCTTTTACTGTAAGGCTCCCCGCCTTCAGCCCCCCTCACTGGAAGGCCAGCGCGAAGTGCGGGGGGCGCATTGCTTGTCCTGCCTTTGTGGCCACCATCAATGGCAAAAGTGGCCATGCTTGCTGGAGGTGGCAGCCTGAACAGCAGCTGCAAATCAGCTGTTTTGTGAATGGTGGGATGGCCTGCTGCAGCCCTTTGGGAAGCTGGCACAAGGGGGCGCTCTTCCCCCCCCCCCCCCCCCCCCCATACCGGTACATGGAAAAAAAAAATAAGCCAGTTTTTCGGGGGTCAAAAGAAAATAAAACCCAGGCTTACTTTCGGGGAAACACTGTGTGTGTATGTGTGTGTATAGTATGCTTGCATTAAGATGATTTAAAAAAAAAAAAATCCCTCTATAAAGCATGGCATTTACGTGTCTGCTTTGTTTGTTGTTTTCTTTCATTATATAAGTTTACTAATATAGAACTAACACTAGACTTAAAACTTGAATGGCCTAATATCTTTAACATGTTTTTCTGACTATCTGATATCCCTCATTCAAATCAGAAATATAGAGTACAGCCTTGTTACTCAGCTGATCACAATATCTATAATTACAATATGTAATACTAACTATTTTAGTATTAATTATTGTAATCCCTGCAGAATAATTTTTTCTTGGGTATATTTGAACGCACATTTAAATACCATCCTGTAAACTGCATATTAGGATGGTTTATCTGTAACAATCTTTTCTGGGAAACCAGAAACATTGATGGGACTTATTTCTGATAATACTCAGGACTTCATCCTTCTAACTGAAAACATATATACCTTATCCCAGGGCTTTCTCTTTCTTCCTTCCTTCCTTCCTTCCTTCCTTCCTTCCTTCCTTCCTTCCTTCCTTCCTTCCTTCCTTCCTTCCTTCCTTCCTTTCTTTCTTTCTTTCTTTCTTTCTTTCTTTCTTTCTTTCTTTCTTTCTTTCCTTTTGCTTTCTCTGTTGTTTATAATTTCTGAGCCTACAGTCTACAGGATTGTTTTAAGCTGAACAATTAAGTGTCTACTTTACTTTGGAATAATGAACATTACAACTTTGTTGTGATTGTTTCATTGCATTTTATTGTTTCATTTAATTTCATTTTTAAAAAAATGATTCAAGAAACGTTTAATGTTTAAAAGTTTATTATTTTATTAGACATAAAAAGTACGATGCACGTACAAATATGGAATTAATGATCAATATCATTCTGTTAATGATATTGTACTGAACCAAACCACATTACATGAAACTTCTATTAAAAGCATAATAAAGTTGAATGTATTACTTAAAAATACAGCTGTTGTTTAAGTAATCTAATAAATCTCTCAAGGAGATTGCTAGAGGATAACAAACATTGCCAATGCCTATTTTTATTATAAGTTTTCTTAAATGCTTTTGCACCCAAAAGAACCCAAAGCAGTATACGGGAAAAATAATAAAGAATGATTTTAAAAAATCCAGTAATAAATTTCCATAAACAAAAGAGTAAAAACAATTTGAATGCTCTAATTTAAAAGAGAGTTCAATTAAATAACATTTAATTCTGGACTCCTTGTTACCTTGCAGATGTTTATATGAGCGAGTCAGTGTTAATGATATTTGAAACAGAACAGCATCTGAATTAATGGTGCATCCCTTAGGAGGGCATTCTATTAACTAGAAGTAAGAATAGTATGTATTTATTATTATGGTTTACTATCATTTTATCTCCATTAATTTGCTAGTGCAGAACAGCACTTATCAAGTAAATGCTAATGGTCTCCTAATTTTTTATTCTGACTTTCGTTACTTGACAGGTGCTGATGCTGCAGAAGATGAGGAAGTGGATGTAACTAGTGTAGACCCTATTGCAGCTTTTTGTAGCAGGTAATTTGGTAATGGCCCAGCTATTACAAGGCGATAAATAAATTTTAGTTGATTCAAATGATGAGTATGAATTATTTGTGTGTGTATATTTCAGAATCAAGTCCTGCCCATTCAGTAATGTTTACTGTTTGTTAAATCAGATTTATCTTAAAGCTTTAACATATCTGTGATGTGAGTAGGATGCTAGTTCTGATCAAAAATACCCTAGCGCAAGAGTCTGTTATAAATAGCATCTCATTTAAACCAAGAAATTTAAATATCCCTATTCCAAATTTTTGAAGAATGCTTTTCTCTTATAACAGTTGTGTGGTTAATGTAATTTGTGGTGAAACTTATTAGGAAACCAGACTGTTGTTGAGTTGTTGTTTTTTGGCCATATGTGAGATGCCTTCACAACATGCCTTTGAATGGTTAATGTAGGGGTCATGATAATACTCCAGGAGAGGCAAGAGTACAAAATCAAATGAAGGAACATTCTTTCCTTCCCTCAGGAGCTGTGTGTTGCTAATGAAAAAAATAAATGATTTCTCTGACAGTGATGAAGAACTGGAAGACTCTAAAGCTTTACTCTACTTGCCTATTGCTCCTGAGGTGGAAGACCCAGAGGAAAATCCATATGGGCCTCCACCAGATGCAGTTCAGACCGCTTTACCCGATGATGGAATAGGCTCTGAGAAGAAGCGGCCATCTTTGTCCGATGGACCTCAGCCTCCAAAGAAGAAACCTAAAACAACCAACATAGAACTGCAGGGAGTACCTAATGATGGTGGGTAGGGATTCCTTTTCTTTTCTTTTCTTTTCTTTTCTTTTCTTTTCTTTTCTTTTTTCTTTTCTTTTTTTAATTTCTTTTATTAATTCAACAATTAATTCTTATGTACCTTTTGTGCACAACTGTGACCATTTACATATTTTAACACTACGATTCACCTATACTCGATACATTTTTACTAAAATTACTACTACTTTATCTGGTTTTCCTCCAGGTAGGGATTCCTTTTCATTCCTGTATAGTTAGTTAAACTTATTAAAGAATCATGATCTGTCCTTTAGTCCATACTGCCAACATGATTAATTTTCAGTACTCTGCAGAATAAATGGGGATATACAGCTATGTTCACATTTTTTTCTGAACTACTTGACATTATGATTCATTTAAGAAATCAAGTGGACTATATATTTACTTTTAAAGACAGTAATTCTGACATTTGTTATAGTGCTACTTATTTTCTATGGGACCAGGTCATCACCCAGAAAAGAATGCTTTTGAATTGGACATCTTCCCTACCTTTTACTTTATTACATAAATTTTAAAGTTCTTCCATATGTTACTTCTCTTTACTCTGTTTTACACAGCCTTTAGCAAGCATTGTGGGAGCACTCTGTTTGCCTTCTCCAGATTGTTCACCAAAAGCTCCCTAAATATCATCTCCCTAAATATTGACCAATGAAGGCATATAATGCCTCCTCTGGATTGCCAAAAGGTTGCAGGAGTGCTTCAGTGGATGCAAATGGCTTATCCTCCACAGCACTCACTAAATCTGAGAGAAATTTTCAGCACATGGCGCAGACCATGCATTGCAAGAATATAGTGCTTTGGAGGGTATGCCATTTAATTCATCTGGATTATTTGCCAAAACTGACTGGTGACTCATCGAAGGTATTCAGCAGGTCTTGCCAGAAAATAATTATATTCAGAATTCCCTTGCCAAATTCCAAAGAAATGGCTGAAGTGACTATAGGGGATGGACAAACTTTTTTTTTTTCTTTTCTTAATCACATTGCATTGTCTCTTTGCTTCAGTGAAGAAAATTCGGTCATCTCATCTTAAGGTGGTGATGAAGTTGCTGAAATGCCTAACTTCTTTTCAGGGATAGATTAGGTACAGGGGAAAGGAAGAATGGCTTCAATTAAAATCATCATATCCTAAAAGCTAATGTTCCACAATCAGGTAAAAAAAATGAAGCTGAAAAGAGGTGCCTGTTTCAGCAAGACAGTGATCTCAAATCAAATATAGTTTTAATTCATCTGAGAAGTACTTACAAGAAAGAAAGGTAAAGGCTTTGGAGTGGTCTTCAGAGCCTCCAGACTGAATATTGTTGCAGATTTGTGGGGAGAATTTAAACATGCAGTGCATACAAGGAGACTTGTGAATGTTCCTGCAAGGATAATTGACAGAAAAAAAATCAAAAAGCAAGAAGGAAAACCCTCTTAGCTGACTACAAGAAACATTTGGAGGCTATTAATTCAGCCAATGAAAGTATTACGACACTGTCCAAAGTTTTGCCACTGGCGCATTCACTGTTTACTTACTTTGCATCTATAAAGAACCATGCATAAATTATATGTAAGTATGTTTGCGGAAACGTGTGCTTGACTTTGTACCATGGTGCCAGTTTTTGCTCCTTTAGTTCAATTCATTGAAATGTGACCAGAGATGCCTAAACTTTTACATACAACTGTGTGCCTTGATTTGCACAGATTTGGAAAATAAACAACAGAGTGAATATATGAATGAGCCTTAGTGGTGCAGCAGACTAAAGTGCTGTTAAGTAGCACTTAGCTGCGAGCTGCCTGCAATTACTGCAAGTTTAATTCTCACCAGCTCAAGGCTGACTCAGCCTTCCATCCTTCCGAGATAGGTAAAATGAGGACCCGGATTGTGGGGGCAATAAGCTGACTTTGTATAAAAAAGAACATTGCTAAGGGGAGGCCGAAAGCCCTACTAAGCAGGTATATACAAAAAGTATGAAGGCTATTGCTTAATGTATTGTAAGCTGCCCTGAGTCTCCGGAGAAGGGCGGCATATAAATCGAACCAATAAATAAATAAATAAATATTAGTTTCCTCTTTTTTTTTTTTAAAAAAAAATGAAAATACACACTTTCTGTTCTAAACTTTTACAGAAGTCCATCCACTGCTGGGTGTAAAAGGAGATGGTAAATCCAAGAAGAAGCAAGCAGGGAGACCTAAAGGATCAAAAGGTAAAGAGAAAGATTCTCCATTTAAACCGAAACTCTACAAAGGGGACAGAGGTTCTTTACCTCTGGAAGGAGCAGCGAAGGGTAAAGTGCAGGCGGAGCTGGGACAGCCTTTGCCAGGTAAGGACCCACCGTGAGCATCTGCTTGCTTGGTGACCTTGCTTTGTACAGAAATGGCCTAATCTGAGCATTTGAATTTCTCAAACACTACCTGCTTGCTAAATGTTTAGTTGCTGCGCTCTCAAGGATAGACAGAATTGTACTTTTTGAATTGTAACATTTACTCTTCGTCACAAATATTAGTAAGTTCTGTAACACACATTCTTCAAGAATGTAAACCCTAATAGAAGAATGTAATTTTACCACAAGGAGAAGCAAGCTGTTGATGTTGATTCTCTTCAGTTTATGTCATTATAATTTCACAATCTAAATTAGCTGTTACAGAAAATCCCAGAAGCTGAAAAAAAAACGATAGAAATAGTGGAAACTAAAATTCTTTTCAGAATGCAGCTGCTGTCTTTTTAAAAAAAATGTCATACCCTTTGCAGATGCTAGGAATTAAGAATATTTTAAAAGGCTGAGGGGGTAATATACCTTTCTTTATGTGTCTACTTTGCCTATAGTTGAGGAAGGCATTCTGAAAAACCTGTTTGCTCCTCTCTTTGCTCGAATAAAAAAATTGGCAGGAATAGTCAGGAATAAAAAAATTGCAACAGCTGCTGGACTAGGGAGGAGCATCCCTTCCACCTTACCTATGTTCCTGTCTAACTCCATTTTCAGCAGTTTGCTAAGAACTTCGTTGAGAACTTGTCTCACTTGTAATCTGTGGAATTTATAGGCAGCTCAACATTCTTTATTAGACACTTTGAAGCATCTTTCTAACATTTCTTGCATTCAGCTTCCAGCTGTGAGCTCCAGCAATGGAAGTAGAGGCTTTGATTGCAACTTGCATGCCATCAAGTACTGCTATTATGTGGGCCAAAACATGCAGGATCCACCATTTAGTCTTAACAAAAAGATGTTTGCATAAGCAAGTATAATGCAAATACACTTTTCGTCTACCTCTCCTTTCTCACTGTTGAACTGTTGTTGCTCTGGCATTGCTAGAAGCAGCAGACTGCCGTTGCTATTAGTGTCACCAGGGTGGGGTGTTATTATTTATTTTTATTTCTTTTATATTGTGCTTTTACGTCCTTGTAAGCCTTGAATCACCGTATGTGAGTAGGTGGCAATATAATTTTTCCTAATAAAATAAAATAAATACGTCATTTTTGTGACAAATGGAGCCAGTTTCCTGTTTTCCCTCCTATGACTCCCTATATATAAAGTTACTGCATGGGCATTTATTATGCCTCCAGAAGTTGTGAATGCTCCAACACTGGAAGTTTTTAAGAAGAGATTGGACAACCATTTGTCTGAAATGGTATAGGGTTTCCTGCTGAGCAGGGTATTAGATCTCCAAGGTCCCTTCCAACTCTGTTATTACTTCCTTTGTTAAGGGAATTCCTGAAGTCCTTATAACATCCTCTTAGCAATTATTTTTGTATGTCCCAGTTTTCAAGATTCTTTTCTCCAGTGTTGAAAATTGGAGCATTGGATTTGCCATGAAAGATCTTCTTTTTCGTGGCTAGAAGGCAGTCGTCCTTCCCTGATGAGATAATGGCTCTGCAGTGGACTTTTCATTCTTTCTGATCTTTTTCCCTAGAATTTACTTTGGTGTCCCTGTTGTTTTTCAGTGTTATTACTGGGAGGGAGGAAACGCTTTCCCTGGGGATTGTTGGAAATATTCCTACAAATACTGGAGCAAGTGGGAGGAGCAGCCCACTATTCCTGTGGAAAACCTTAATGTTCCACTCTAAACTCTTAGGGAGGAAATCATCTTTGAGCTACTGTACTACTAGCAGAGAATGTCAGTGCGAAGATGTTTGCTTTTATCAAGTTCTGTGATATTAATTGACAAGGGGCAAGGTTGCAACTTGATTCCATGACACTGAGTTTTTTAGAATTCTGTACAAGCAGTCCTCAACCCACGACCAAAATTGAGCCCGAAATTTCTACTGCTAAGTGAAACATTTGTTGCCCCATTTTATGACCTTTCTTCCCACCGTGAATCCCTGCAGTTGTTCAGTTAGTAACGGGGTTGTTAAGTGAATCTGGCTTCCCCGTTGACTTTGCTTGTCAGAAGGTTACAAAAAGTGAACCCAGGACACTGCAGCCGACAGAAATAGTTGCCAAAGCATCTGAATGTTGATGACATGAGCATGGAGATGCTGCAATGGTTGTAAGAGTGAAAAAGGGTCACAAATCACTTTTGTCAGCACCGTTGTAACTTTGAATGGTCACTAAATGAACTGCTGTAAGTGGAGAACTACCTGTAATTCAGACTGAGTAAAACCATTTTCCTCTTTCCAATCGGTATACAGATGACAAGACTATTTTCTGCTCAATTGCTTGATGAGGCTGGATGATAAAAGAAATGGGTATAGGTGAAACATTAAGTGATTTTTTTTTTGTAGTAGCTGTTAAGTAGATATTCACAGGTAACTCAGCCTAAAATATTTTGTGTGTCCTTGAAGCTCAGTAGCTACTGCTGTGAATTTTATAATTTCCAGAACCCTTATTTTCCTCATTGCTGGCCCACTGTTAACCAGCTTGCTCATTGTCCTTCCTGCTCTGCTCCTATTTTGTTGCTTTTATGATGATATTATCCCCTGAATTGTTGCTTACAAACGAGGATTAGGAAGCTTGGCAGCTTTCCAAGTCATAAACTTGTGTCCATATTTTTTTTCCCGAGAGCTAATTTTATTTTTTAACTGTTCAACGTTTGTTTAGCAATAATCAGAAACTGTGTGTGTGTATTTGTGTGTCTGTATAAAAGCTATCCTATTCCTATGCAGAAATAAAAGTGCAATTAAATGACATTAAATTTTCTAATGGTCTCTATGGGATTATTAATCCCTGAGTTTCATTGGAACCAGCCCAGAGATCAGCTCCAGAAGGTTGGAAAGGGATCCTGCAGGGTAGCAGGGTAATCAATAAATCAACAGGATTCTCAGCTCATGTAGGCACTCAGCCCATGTCTTCAGGGTACATTTCCTGGTTTTAGGTAAAGTATTTCTCATTATCAAAGTCATCCTGATTCCCAGCTTCAGGATATTTAAGCAGCTGATAAGGGCCGGGCAGATCTCCAAAAAGACTACAACATTGCCCTTGCTCAGCCATGTCTTAGTAATATGCCAGTTCTGCCAGATTCCATATAGAATTCATGCTTCATTGTCTAGGACAGGGGCGTCAAACTCAAGGCCCACAGGCCAGGTCCGGCTCACGAGGTGCTCAGAGTTGGCCTGTGGGGCTGCCCTGGAAATAGCGAAGGATCGGCCTGCATTGCCTCTGCCAGAAAAAACGGAGCTCAGGAGGGCCGCATGCCAGGGTGCGGCTCCCCCGGATTCCATTTTTGGCTGCGACGGCATCCTGCAGCCCTCTGCCAGCTCCATTTTCACTGGCAGAGGGCTGCAGGAGGCCATTGCAGCTAAAAATGGAGCCTGGGGGAGCCGCACCCTGACAGAGAGCTGTAGGAGTGATGATGAGCTGGCCATGCCCATCCCAGCCACACCCACCCAGCCCTCCGAGGTCAAACATAACCATGATGCGGCCCTCAATGAAATCTAGTTTGACGCTCCTGGCCTAGAACACCTTGCCTTCTTGAACTTGGTATTTTCCACTATTTCTATCAGCTTGGCCAAAATTGGCTATGGGTTATGGAAGATCCACTATTTTATAATACCAGATTGGGGAAGCTTAATTAATTTCAGATTTGGGAAGCTAAATTGTTGGCTGGCTTGCCGATATTCTAGCTATAGTTCATTCCAACCTCTGAACTTGATTTTAAGATACAGTGGTCACAATTTAGGAAAATATATGGTTGGCTCCCTGTATGCCAGACCCATATAAAAGGTACGGGAAAAAGAGCCACATTCATAAATTAGAAATAATTGCAAAGGGATATCTGGTGTACTTTTCAACTATTTAGTGGTTGGCAGAGTGACAGCAGTGATAGAACTGGCAGTCGTGCTTGGCAAATTAACTTTTAAAAATACCAGTGGTCCACACAGACTTTGTGTTGGGCCACATGTGTCCTGCGTGCCATATGTTATACAAGCCTGCTCTGTACTATTATAAATTAGTTTATGAAGCCATAATTGTGTGAACTATTTTTGAAATTGTGAAAACATCCTGGCAAATTGAATCTCGTGGGAAAGAATACTGCTTCCTTGTCAGACAAACAAGAACTGTGTGTCCTGTGTAGAGCTTAATTAATAAGCTGATCTTGAGATAAGGTTGCCATATAGCTCCTGCGTTTGTTACTTGAGGTTCAGATCCTCAATTTCCTTATTACAGAGAGTACCCTGATAGTGTAGATTAGATTAACAGAGTTGGAAGAGACTTTGTAGGTCATCTAGTCCAACACCCCCACTCCCGCCCAAGCAGGAGAGCCTACACCCATGATGGCGAGCCTATGGCACGTGTGCCACAGGTGCCACGCAGAGCCATTATCGGTGGGCACGCAAGCCAGCTGATTTTCGGGCCTTCTGGGCCCACTGGAAATCAGGAAAAAGGCTGTTTCTGGCCTCTGGGTGTGTGTGGAAGGCCCATTTTTTGCTCTCCCCAGGCTCCAGAGCCTTTCTAGGAGTCTGGAGAGGGCAAAAACAGCCTTCCCCACCCCTCTAGAGGGCCTCCGGAGGCTGGAAACGGCCCATTTGCTGACTTCCGGTGGGACCGGAAGGCCTGTTTTTCATGGCTCCAGAGCCTTTCTAAAAGTCTGGAGAGGGCGAAAAAGGGCTCCCCCCCCCCCCGAGGCCCTCTGGAGGCCAGAAATGGCCCATTTGCTGACTTCCTGTGTGACCGGAAGGCCAGTTTTTCACTTTCCATTTTTCAGGCTCCAGGGCCCACACCCATAATTCTATGCACCCCGCCCCCTGTGCATGCACACGCAACCCCCCCGCGCAACCCCCACTTTTGGCACACGGTGGCACGGTGGGCCTGGTCGGCCCATTTTTCACTCTCCCCAGGCTCCAGAGTCTTTCTAGGAGTCTGGGGACGGCAAAAATGGCCTTCCCCACCTCCTGGAGGCCCTCCAGAGTCTTGAAACGGCCAGTTTGCTGACTTACGGTGGGATCGGAAGTTGGCAAATGGGCCAATTTCAGCCTCCGGAGGGGCTGGGAAAGGCTGTTTTTGCTCTCCCCAGACTCTTAGAAAGGCTCTGGAGCCTGGGGAGAGCAAAAAATGGGCCTTCCCCCACCCCGGAGGCCAGAAACAGCCTTTTTCCTGATTTCCAGTGGGCCCAGAAGGCCCGAAAATCAGCTGGCTCGCATCCCCAGACTCCTAGAAAGGCTCTGGAGCCTGGGGAGAGCGAAAAACGAGCCTAACGGGCCCACCAGGCCATTGCGTGCCAAAAGCGGGGAGGAGGGGGGTTACGTGCGCATGTGCAGGGGGGCAGGGTGCATAGAATTATGGGTGTGGGCATGCATGCGCATGACCCCCCTGCACTCCACCCGCTTTTGGCACACGATGGCAAAAAGGTTAGCCATCACTGCCCTACACCATTTCTGACAAATGGCAGTCCAGTAGCAGTGAGAGGAAGTCCTGAAGTTTTCTGAAATGTACTTACTTTTGCAACAGTTTGAAAAAAAGCTAAAAGCGGGAAACATATAGTATTAACTGTTGACGAAGAACCTCCCTTTACTTCTACACCAGGTGTGGATGATTTTTGTAGTGTTTATATTTTCTGCAAACTATCTGAATTCTAATGGGAATATCAGTAATACTTGATTTTTCTTTTCTTTTGGTTTTGATTTTTAGCAGGTGGTGGAATCTCGGAGTTGTTATGAAAGCTTCCCTCCTCATTCTTTTTTCTTACTTTGACGTCATTACATGGAATAAGGACAAATGTTAAGTCAGATAAAGGACTGCCTTCATGTGGGAAACAAAATCTGACTGAACTGCCTGCATCTCCAGGGAACAATTTATGCAAATTATGGAAGAGGAACATTTTTGTCCCTAGACATTTATTTTTACTAATAGTAAATGGACAAGGAAAGATTGATATAAAATCTGATGGGAAAGAGCTGGTTTTTGCCCATAATCTTCTAGATTATTGTTGCCTAGAGTACAAAGTATGGAACAAGATAAGAAACATGTACATTGAGTCCTGGGTTACTTTATGTTACATGGCTTTATTCTTGAGAGAGAAAAATGCTGGAATCTCATTGAATTCCTCCAACAGGCTTGTGACCGGCTAAAGCAAATTACTCTTGAGCCTTGTTGTTTATTTCTCAACTACATTGAATTGTAAATGCAGTTAGTGCTTAGCTTACTATCCTACAGCTATGAGATATTGTAAATTGATCTAGTTTTCAAACGGGCTGTTGAAATCCAGATGTCTCTGATGTATAAGAACAAAAACTATTTTTCCGAGGGAGAAAAGAAGCATATAAAAAAACAAGCAGAGAGAGCAAAAAGCATGAGAGACTCTTGTTTCTTCTCACCATTTTTTAACCACATCCAGAGATGCCTGTTTCCCAAACCCTTCAGGTTTGTTCTAGGGAGAACAAACTTTCCTTAGACTCCATAGAGGAAGTGTGTAAAAATGGAAAACATGGACTTATATTAAATGGATGCGTTTTGTTCATATGCTCTGAAAACAATTTGGGGATGTGAATGTTGGTCCTGGGTCTATTTTACAAAACAGGCTTTTCATTCAGGAGATATTTAAAATGATGACAGTGATGTCTTCAAAGTACAACTAAAGGATATACAGGTGATTTACATACTTGTATCTATCTATAGCAGGGCTGTCAAACTCCCGGCCCATGGGCCGGATGCGTCATGCGCTGCTCACGCCCACGCCCGATTTAGTGAAGGGGGGGAAAGTCCCGATACGTCACGTGACGCCGCCGTGACGATGTGAGTTTGACACTCCTGATCTATAGAATGGATAAAGGTGTTTTAAATATGCCTTTTAGTTTGTTTTGTTTTCTGCATAATGTTCTGTGGTATGTTTCTTCTAAATATATCCTGAGTTGAAATCTCATATTTTGTATATTATTATTTATGCCATCCTAGAATTTTATGCAACATTCTCTTATATAATCTGGTCACCTACAGAGCTTTCCAGTGCATATGAAGAATAATAGAAAAGCTGGTTGGATAATGACTGTTGTATTGTTTATGTGGTATTGTGAATTCAAATCAGATCTGTTTTCTACAGTTTAGTGTGCTTTATTTTTCAGTTTTCTATTATTATTTTTTGTTACTATTGTAGTTTGTACATAACCTGAAAAATAATTGCTTTGTAGCTAGTGTAAAGTACTGTTGTGATGTTAGCGTCTCTATTTGTAAATAAAGAGGTACGTTTTATTTCTTAAATGTTGTAATCTGCTTTTTTTTTGTACTAGCTTTATTTAAACAAGTTGTAGAATATTTTCTTCAATCTAGCTCTTAATTGATAGATCGATCGATTGGATTATGTGCCATTAAGTCACGTTCAGCTTCTAACAAGTACATGCTATTATGGTAATTTGTGATGTACTCTGGTCATTTTAATTGAAGTGCAAACATTATTCTGAAGAAACCAGTGGATTGTAACTGTCCTCTTCAGAACAAACAGTAGGAATTATCATAAAAAGCTTATTATATAAGGCTATTGAATGTAATATAAAATTCTAATAAGAACAAAGAGGAGTAATGAAGGACAGCTTCCGTGATACATGTACTTTTATAACTTTTAATTTGAATAAGATGTTTGTCATGCACATGATGGGCCACTTCACGCCACATCAGAATCATGCAGTGATTAGTAAAACAGTTTTTTAACATCCAGGGATGACTCCCAATCCACAATTACTGTAGCAATCTTCTATCATGAGCTTCATTCTGAAGACCATTCACACAAAGCATCAATTATTATGGAGCAGTAATATGATCTAAAGTCTGGCAGTGTTCAAGCAGTGTTCCCTTGTTCCCAGCATTTTATAAAAGATCAGTCAGAAAAGCTAATCCTCTGTTTTCTGATATATTTTTTTCTAGCTTTGATGCCATAATTCAGTAACTCCCAAAAATGTTATGAGGAATTCAAGTGCACAGTCTCTATTTCTGTAACTTGGGTCTCTTCATGGTATTGCTCTATATATACACTGCCAGTATTTTCAGTATAATATGTAAGTCTTGTTTTAATGAGTTCATCTTATTACCATCATTTCTATTCATCTTACTGTATTTCTACTATCATTCCTTTTTATTTGGGTTTTAAGTATACACACACAATACCACACAATTGCCATTGCAGTCCAGATGTACTAAGTGTGCAACTAATTCCTAACTAGATATGTTGTTGAATTACAGTTAAAGCATTTCTACTTACCCATCCCCATCTCTTTTTTTAGATCCAGCCCACAGCAGTCACGCTGCTGAAATTCGGAAGAAAAAAGAATACAGTACTGCGACCAGCAGCAGGCTTGTTGGTCTTTTTAACAATTTTATAAAAGCTCCATGTACTCAAGAAAAAATAGGTTAAAATGACTTCCCTATACCATAACATTATTGCTTTGCTGCCATATTATTTGCAGCTATTGAAGGACAAAACTGTTGTTGAAATTGCCATTCCTGAGTGAGAGCACTGCTGTGATTGGGAAAACATGTCGGAAACTCATAAAATCCTCTTGATATTTTGGAGAACCAAGATGGGAAAGGGAACAATAAGACAAGATCCTAGAAAGGCCAATTCTGGGTTTAAACCATTCCAGGCATTCAATTCCTTGGATATCATGCTCCAAATCGCCTTGGAGAATCACAATGAATATTCAGTTTCTGCCTTGATAATTATGTAATTGTGATTCTTTTAATATATATTTTAGGTACACATCAGATAAGTTTTGATTACTCATAATACCTTTCTGTAATTACTGTTCAAACAATGACATGAGTGTAATGCTTTGGCTTTTCAGATGTGTACAGTTTTATTATAGAATGGTTCTTTGTGACATCACAATTTTAAAACTGATTGCATTCTGCAATGGCGTAAGTTGTTGAATGAGCACCGTGAAGAAAGGAGCCAGACAAATTTCTTTATTAATAAGTTTATGCTTGCCATAGAGAATAATAACAGCCCAATTTACATGTTTCTAATACCCTTAATATAGGGTCATCACAAATATTTACAAAGTTTTATGATTCCAAATGCTTGGAATTGGTTTAAATTGAATATATAATGTGGATTTCAGCTTTACGTAAGTATTGCTTCTGCTCTGCCCTTTGTTTGTATACAATATTTTCTAAATTAGCAGATTTTGGAATAAATTGCTTTTGTGGGAAGGGCGGCCATTTCTTCATGAAAGAATTGGGGTAAATGCATGACAGTTATCCAACCCCATCATTCTCTGAATGCCTTAAATTAGTAGTAGGTTTGTTTCCTTTTTCTCGCCTTTGCGAACTCGTACACTGCTGACTTGCTGTACTAAGCAGAACACTGCAGGTAGAGAATGTTAATTACATACCAAGGTTCCTAGTTTCAATCCCTCAATATTTTTTAAAATGCTTGAAATGGGAACTTTTATATCAATATTTAAATAAAATTATTCCCTTAGTAATATATAAGAGGAATGTAATAAGCTTCTACATAAATATTGGTATTTTTCAAAAAGATTTGACAAGCCATTGAAATGGTCTGTCTCAATTTAAGGCAACCTCATTTGTTCACCGAATTGAGAAAACACATAATTATAGCATAAATTGGCCTTATCGGTTTCATTATTTCTAGGCCAAATCAGAGAATTTTGAAGAAACAAAGGGTTTTGGCAGCCTATTGTTGGAACTCACTAGTTCATAGGGTACTGATGCTAAGACCGGTATTAGCATTAAAGCTGAGACATTGGTACAGAGCAGTGCTTTCATGGCAATTTTTTTTTATCATAACTAAAAACATGTTAAATGGTCCATTTATAAGCTGAGACAGAAAAGATATACTGTATTTTTTGGAGTATAAGACACCTTTTCCCCCCTGAAAGAGGGTGAAAATTTGGGTGCATCTTATACACCGAATGTAGCCCCGCCCAGCCTCTGAAACCTCCATTTGAGAGGCTGAAAAAAAAGCCTCTGAAACAGAGGTTTGAGAGGCTGGAAAAAAAGCAAGGCGCAGAGCTCACAGCAAACAAACCTGTTGCTAAAATTCACCTCTGGGAACAGCTGATTGGGGGTATTCTGGGAGGCCAATCCATCCCCAATCAGCCTTTTTCTTATTTTCTTCCCCAAAAACTAAAGTGTGTCTTATACTCCGGTGTGTCTTATAGTCTGAAAAATATAGTACTTGCTGATAAAGATGGTTGTAACTAATTTTCCTTGTTTGGCTGCTTCAGATATCACATCAATTAAGAACCAATATAAATGTTTGAAAATATGAAAAATGCCAATATTTATGTGGAAGCTTATTACATTTCTACATTTTACTAAGGGAATTATTCTATTCAAATATTTATATAAAACTTTCCATTTCAAGCATTTTTTAAAAATTCATAATAAATTGATTTTTAATATACAATAGCAGTTGTACTTTATCTGTATCACCTGCAGACTGGTTTGCACCTTTTACCATGTTAATAGGCTTCTTTCTTTTGGCAGTATGTCAAAGAGCAGTCTTTGTGGATTCCTCATGTCCAGGGACTTCATTGATATTTTAAACGAATGACAATTAGGTCATTTGATCAGACAATGGAATGGATCCTAAAAGGACTCTTTAGGTATCATGATTTTATTGTTAAATATCAATATCATTTTATTGTTAAATTGTTAGCATTTGCTTTCTGACTACCTGTTTCTATGGCTGCTATTGGAACAATTACCATTCCTGTCAAAATGAGAACTGCTACTGCCAGAGTTTCAGTCAGTTCCACCAGCTGCAGCGTGACCTGTGGCATGGGTTACAAGGTTGAAGAAACATGCCAGATTGGGCCTAATGGTGAAAAGAGGTACTGCGATATTCAGAAAGTGGAGTGCTTGACCAACTGGCTCTGTGGGATGCTCCATTTCACTATTCTTGTTGGTAAGCCTTTTGAATTCCAGTGCTTGTCTCCTACAGAAATTGGCCCAGAAAGCAAGAGCTTCAGTTATTCATGGAGGATAGCCAGAGGTATCATTACCACTGATGATGTTCTCTTTAAACCATTCAAGACTACTGGCTTTGTCATTAAGCTTTCCCCAGCCAAGGAATATGATGCAGGGACATACAGGTGTGATGTGCAGTTCATGAGAACCTATAAGATTGTCAAAAGAATCTACTTTGGAATTCGTGTGATCCCTGGTCACTTGGTGGATCTGAACTTTGACAAATCCTTGACTCTGGAACAGCACTTGGAAAGTGAGAAGGAAAAAAACCAGCAGAATGCCACCAGTGTCCCTGTCCAGAAGCAGCAGCACCTTTGGCGCCAAAGAACTGTGTTTGTATTTTTAATAGGCATTGGAAGTGGTGTGGTAGGAGGAATCTTATTGCACAACATTTTCTACTATTTAATAAAAGTTCCCAATAATTATGGATATGTGGAGGAATAAAAATGTTTGTTCTTGTAGTCTTGCTGTATGCTGATTGCTGTATTTAATCATTTTGCTGTATTGTTTATGGTTATTAAGATTAGGTTGTGAAATCACATGGTTTCACTTAATTTCTTTAGAAAGCAATAATATATTTTGTTCCTTAATTATATTTCATAAAACTATAAAGACAATACAAAACATGTAAATCAGTACATCTTTGGATGTGAGTTCAGTACATGCTTTCTATATAGAAAATCCTAAATTCAATTTTCAGGGCCAGAAAGAATTCCCTACAACAAGTCAACATAGATCAAGAATTTTTTAATAAACTGATACTCTCTCAATATCTTGAGACCACAAATCTCAGAATCCCAGCAGATTAGCCAACAACTAGGCTCAGTAGGAATGGTAATCTCATCCAGTTTAGGAGGAGCAATGTAAGCTAGAGATGAGCATTGAAGATGAGATTCAAACAACCCATTTTACATTCTAATGCAGCATTTCTCAGATTTGGCAACTGAAGACACGTGGACTTCAATTCCCAGAATTCTCCAGCAGATGAAGGGAGGAGAGGGGTACATCTACACAGGCAAGATTCTGTAACTTTAGTCGCATAATAAACATAGTACTCATAACTTTGGTTTCCGAACCTGATTTACCTCAAAGGCCTGACATCAATTTTACAAGTCCCTCCAGTTATTTTCTAGAGAGCTAGGAAGAGTCAAATCCAAAATCCTTTCTCTAATTACATTTGTCTTGAGCTCGTTTCATTAATTTGACCATTGTCATGGTTGTAGCTCTTCCTACTGTTCCTCAAGGTTATTCTTACTGTCCTCAATATTGCTTTCATTATTCAGTTACTGAATCCGTGCCTTTTCCTTGCCTGCCTGAATTTTCCTAATGACAGGAGAGCACCTGTGGTCTTCAAGCATAAAATACTGTTTAATGGTAATGTTATGTCTCAAACATCAATAAACGAGTCCAACTAACCTTAAACATATACATATATACATGCACATACATATATACATATATGTGTGTGTGGGCATATATGTATACATATATAAAATATTGAAAGTTTTAACTACAATAAGTAAAACTATGGTAGAACAAAAAGAGAAAAGAAAATGCAAAAAGAAAAAATAGAAAAGTAGAGAAAGAGAAATAAGATACAAAGATATAAAAAAGAGCTTCCAATCTTCTCAGCAGTTATAAGTACAATTATATTTTAACTTTACATCATGACTTTTCCTTCTATAAGCTGTAATGATTGAAAATTTTTCCAATGATTTCTTCATTTTTAAAAATGTCTTGACACTGCATCTTTTATTTGCAGTCATAAGAATGAAAACTGGGGAATGTGAACTAAGAGTTACTTGCCATCCAAAGTGAAACAAGCACTCTTTATTTTCCTGTCAATTTTTGGATTTGTAAGATGCACACAGCCAACCATGAGCTTCAAACTGAAGGCTTTTTAAAGGCTTGATTAAATAAGAATAGAATAGCAGAGTATTACTTTCAACCCCCCACATTAATGTATATATAAGTTCATATATCATTTCAAAATGGGCACAGAGATAGGAAACATCTGGCAATTTAAACCCTGAGATTAGAAAGAAGGAAGGGAAATAGGTAACTGCCCCATTTAATACTTGAGAAGGTGGGCAATTGGAGTCAAAGTTATTCCAGTTCCATCATCTATGCAAATTGTGCTTCTATTTCTTTAAAATAAAAATCATATTTGGAGAAATTTGCTAGACTGTTTGTAGAAATTTATTTAAGATTGGGTGAGAAATGAAACCATCCTGGAGGACATATATGAGATCCTCCTAACCAATTTGCTCAGACTGAAGAAGCTACTTAGATAAGCAATGAAACATTTCAAACCAAAAAATAAAAAATAAAAATCCAATTGCCATGATTCAACTTCCAGACAATTCTATCTAGATGACTGAGAATCTTCATTGAAATAAGTGTTGTGGTACATAAACATGACCAAAAGTAAAAAAAAAAAAAATCACACAAAACAATGCTTGATAAATTTAGTAACCTTAACCTGTTCATCAATTTCATACTGGTGACAAAAATGAAGTGGATGAGATTATAATGGAATGAGATTGCCACATTTTCTTCTTCTCTTAAATACACATTTCTGATATTCAAAATCAGTCTTATCTGATTAGAGTATGTTCATGTCTTTCAAAAAGGGATCTTAGCCTTGGCCATAATCATGTGGGGCGTCACTGTGGCTCAGTGATTAAGATGCTGGGCTTGTCAGCTGTAACGTTGGCAGCCCAGATTCGAAATCCAAACGCCATGCAATGGGGTGAGCTCCTGTCCTCATCCCAGCTCCTGCCAACCTAGCAGTTTGAAAGCATGCAAATGTGAGTTGATAAATAGGTACCACTTCTGTGGGAAGGTAATAGTGCTCTGTGATGTCATGTTGTCCACATGACCGCAGAAATGTCTTCGGACAGTGCTGACTCAATGGCCTTGAAACAGAGATGAATACCGCTCCCTATAATTAACAACTAGCAGAGTTAAATCCACAGGGACTCGTTTTCCTTTTACAATCATATAATTGAAGGTTACATTTAGGACCATGGTTAGGACAGTTTGGATCTTCTCCTGAGGATGGGAGAGAGGTCTCTCTTGTCTTATATAGTCCCATTCTTGAATTCCTTCTGATCATTCCTCTGGAAACCTTTTCCAACATGGCATATTTGAAAAGATGGAGAGCAGGATGAGATTTCAAGTGTAGCCTTATACCATGAATGGATATGTATATGCCAACCATCCTCAAGATTGGTGCCTTCTAGGTATGTAGTTGTTACTTTTAGAAACTGCCGAGTAACCATAGCCATTGCTGAGAATTACAGGAATCAAAGACCATACCTTTGGAGATGATCCATATTGGGAAAAATTGATATATTTATTTATTTAGTAAATATATATATATGAAACCCATCTCACTGCTGAAGTGCCTCAGGGTGGCTTACAAAATGATCTCCCCCCCATTCTTGCAATAGAATAAAAATTGTTCAAGTGGTATGGGATAGTGAGGTGCCAAGATAAGAATGGAGGAAAAATCATTCAAGATGCCTTTGAATAGAGAAATTTGTCTACCATTTTCTTGCTACTTATAGTCAATTTATAAGACAAAACAAAAGAAAAAAAACTAATGACCCTTATAAATCTGCTAATATCTAAAAATGTATGAAAGGCCTACTTGTCTTTGGCTTAAAATACTGATACAGCTTAAAATCTGAATACAAATTGCATTTTTATTTAAATGTGAAAAGCTGTGGTGTGGATGTAAATGAAACCGAACTAATGTATTTTAATGAATGAGGCAAAACAATACAAATTACAAAACAAATGTACATATAAATATATACAAACATACACACAAAGTAATTACATAGGGCCATAATAACACATACTATAACTTTATATTGCAAAATGCTGTTCATTTTTTAATTATATTAGACTGTATGAAATCGTGAGTGACACTCATGGAAAAATGTCAACTGAAATATGCTTTCCATTCAATGTGTCACTTAAATTTTGCCAGTACATGTAGTCCTTGACTTAAAACAGTTCATTTAATGACCGTTCGAAGTTACAAAGGCACTGGAAAAAATGACTTGTGACCGTTTTTCACACTGATGATTGTTGCAGTAGCCCCACGGGCAGTGGTGGGTTGCCCCCGGTTTGCATTAGTTCTATTGAACTGGTAGTAAAACCGGCGGGAGGCCCTGCCCACTGACCCTAATGTCATGAAAATGCTTCTGTACATGCGCAGAAGAGCACATGCACGTGAAAGAGAAGTGAGCACATGCGCGCGGCCTCGTTGCAAACCGGTAGTAAAGGTAAGTAGAACCCACCCCTGCCCATGGGTCATGTGAGCAAAATTCAGACGCCTGGCAATTGACTCGTATTTATGAAGGTTGCAGAGTCCTGGGGTCATATGATCACCTTTTGCGAACTTCTGACAAGCAAAATCAATGGGGAAGCCAGATTCACTTAATAACTATGTCACTAATTTAGCAACTGCAGAAATTCACCTAACAACGGTGGCAAGAAAGGTCATAAAATGGGGCAAAATTCATTTAGCAACTATGTCGCTCACCAACAGAAATTTTGCGTTCAATTGTGGTTGTAAATCAAGGACTACCTGTAGCATTCAATAGAAATAGTTGAGAGTTGGGGCAAGAAGTATGGGAAATATATAGATTTATTCGTCTTTCACCCCAAGGAAATGCTAACATTTGTAAGTGTTTTTTTAAAAAAGCGATGATTTTTGTTTATCCAATTTTTATCTCATCTGTATGTTGCTTAGGTGTTAACAATCTATTTTATGAATGTAGCCACGGTTATAAGCAAAGGGTTTGACGCAAAGTTGGTTTCTTTAAATCCAAGCACAAGCAAAATATTCTGGCTTGAATGTTAGAATACAAAAAAGACTGCTTTGCTACCTGGAGAAATTCTTTTGGAGCTGTTTACAACAGTCTTAAAATACATTCTACCATGACATATTTACACACCACACAACTGTCCATCTTCCACATGCTTTTAAATAAGAGCATGAAAGACCCCCACCCAAACTTTTCTAGGGATATAATTTGCCTTTCTCATTGTTATCTGAGCACCCCAGATAACCCATTTTTTCCAACTTTTCTTTTTACACTGATTCAGTTCTCTTCCTGCTATCCAAAATGTTTTTTCAGATCAACACAAATGGGAAAGTAAACTGCAGTAAAACAATATAAGTAAGTGGGAAATCTACCATGGCTTTATAGTACTTTTCAGACTTCAGGGCTCCTCAGACAATGTCTTGGAATTCATAAGTAACCCTATATTGTAAGTCAGCATTGTTATGATCTCCCTCATACAGGTGAGGCTCTGGAGTCAAGAGGCTGTGATTTGTCTAAAGCTACCTGCAATGTCTGTGTCATAGATAAGAATGCATGGTTCACAGGTCAAATCTCTGGGTCATTCATTATACTCCATTAGCTCTCAAGGAGGAAGCTTCTAAATGGAGAATACTATCTTATTTATATCAGAATAAGTTGATGTAAAAATTTTATTGATCTCTTATGTGGAAGAGAGAAGAGAGCATCCCATATATCCTCATAAGACAATAAGCGAAGGAACATGATACAAATATCTGAAAACTTAGCATTTTTAAAGCCAGGATTAGGGCACATATCTTCCTATTATTCATATATACATACATTCATATGTATCTCCTCTCCAAGCAAGGAAAAACTTTTTCATGTTTTTGAAAAGTGGCAACATGCTACTGCACCAAACACAATAGAGTTGGATGACAACAGGATTTCTTGAACAAAATACAAGTAGAAAAACATTGGGAAAATACTAATACACAACACTAGATACATTATTCTGCTTTTCTTTTTTAGTTTTCATGTTATCCAAAACAGAAAGAAAAATGAGATGAAAATAAACAATCATTAACAATATGCATTACTAGGAATTAGACTATTTTGCATTTCCCCTTTTTAAAAATTTAATGCCCAGGAAAGACAGATGTAAACTCCTTGCAATGAAGCATCTGCTTTCTTATAAAACAATGAATGGCCTATCATTTCACAGTGTTACACATTTTATTGTGAAGGGGGAGAACTTCTGAATTCTGCCACCTCTGCTTAATTTATGAGATTTGCCCCTTTTTTCTTTGCATTTATGCCTCCGGACTCCAATCTATAACTATATGGCAGAGATATTAATGCATTTCACAGGTTCAAGACATGACTGTTTGGTTAAAAACATTTAAATTCCCAGACTGAATTTTGTCTAAAGTCATTTTAATCTTGGTTTCTTAATCTGCAGGGCAGAGTTATTTGATGATGGCTCTGAAGGGATCATATTTTGTGCACCTGCATGAAATCTCAAATTAATTCTCAGATGTTTCGAATTTATAAAAACTTTTTAAATTGAAGGACTAGCAGAATGCTTCACATCACCAGTGAGTTGTTGCTAGTCAGAATAGACAATCTCCGTAAAGTGTGATGATGACAACTATTTTGGATCGCCTTTAAAAAGTATTGCATACATTCAAATGCCCCATCTGAAAGGTAACATTGAGGGTTTTTTTATAATTAAGAGCGATTGAAAGATCTGTCCATGAATTCTGGGGAAACAACTCTAGAAGGGCATCTCATATCTGCTATTTATGAGTAACTATTTTATAAGTATCTAGCTGGCCACCATGAAAACAAAATATTGAATTAAGATGGACCTTGACCTGAATCAACAAGCTGTTTCTTATATGTTAATACTATGGGTATGGAACAGTGAATTGAAGTGTTTCTTACATTTGGCAGTGTTTTACATAAATTGATAGCCTCATAATTACACCCTAACTATAACACCTGTATCATCTTATAATGCATGATTGATTGATTGATTTAGAATTTCTGAAGATTAATAGGCAGGAGAAGCAAATTCCAATTCTGGAAAATTTCTGAAATGTCAAAACAATATATGTATAAGTTACCATGTTGGCAAGTTAACCAGGGGCAAGGTTCTTTGCTAAACTCTCTTTCAGAGTTTCGTGTCAAAATAAATGATTTCTCTAACGTTTTTGAAAAAAGCTCAATATATGTGGGTGGGGTTATTTTAGATTTAACGATTTTTCCCCAAAATACGGTGAGTTTGTAGTAAAATGGGAATAACTCTTAATTTGTATAAAATGCACAAACTATAAGGTTGAAGAAAGTATAGCTATTGAAATGGTGTTCAAAGGAGCATTAGGTATCAAATTGGTACTCTCGTCAATGTGCTATTAATGTTGGGCTTGTCATTATGGGACCTAGTACTATACTTTGGAAGGCACCAGCCTGGAGGCGAAACAAAGGATATATCTTTAGAGGTTAGATTGCTGGCAAAAACTAAGAATCTGAATAAATATGAGGCCAGTGAGCCATGATCAATATTTTTCCCTTCCTTTCTTGAAGTGCTTGTATCTTTTTTCTCTCCCTCAAACAGAAGGAAATATTTCCTAAATTCTTAGGTACTGGAAATGCACATGCAGGCACATATGAAGCATCTCATTCTAGGTATGAAGAACTGCACACCACCACTTCATATCTTATAACTTTTTAAAGGAAGCAAGCCTACGTTGAAAAAATAGGTGTCCCACATTCATGGTTCAGTAACAGTAGCTGAATGATTGTAGTTTTAGCTAGCAGGGCCAAAGTCAATATTTTAGAAAGTGGGGCATGAGTAGGCTTTCTAATGGAGCTAAATGTTCTCCTTGAAATTGAAAGCCAGAACTTGGCAAAATAGCACAAGCTATTATAATTATGTTTAAGATATTCCTAATTGAATGAGTTGCTGCCCTCACGTTGCCAGCACAATGCATAAGATAACAAGATATATAATGGCATAGATATGTAATACTCCCCAAGCACATCAAAATCCAAAACTAAGGCAGGATTTTCACCAACTGCCCTTTAAACCCTCAGTTTAGCGAGGTATTAGAATATTATTAGAAACAAGGAAATAATAGTTTGCTGCTTTATAATCTGAACAATATCAGTTTTGGTCATGAGGAATTCTACTTGGATTGCCCTTTGGGTATCTTATGAATTCTAGTTTTTAATAACAGAAAACAAAAGATGCTCCCAGGGAAAGAAGAGGGGAATGGAAAATGTGTATCTGGAAAACTACTGAACATGGCCAAAAGGTCCATTTGCATTCCAATACCATACAAGGGAGATTTAACAAAGAGTGCATACTATCATACAATATCTTTAATTTCACATGCTAATAAAATAGTGCTTAGGATCATTCATTGCAGATTCGAGCCCTACACTGAAAAAGATGTCCAAGCTTGTTTTAGAAAAGACCAAGGAACATTATTGCTGATTCATGCTGCAGAAGTGAGAAAGCCAAAGAATACAAAAAAGAAGTCACAATGTGCTTCATAGAAAATCTTTGATGGTGTTGATCACAGCAAGTTGTAGTAAGTGCTAAGAAAAATGGGACCCTCAGAACATCTTATTCTCATGAGAAACCTATGGAAAGATCAGGAAACCACAATACAGCCAGAATATAGTGGAACAGACTGGCTCCAGGTTGACAACTAAATGCAACAAGGCTGTATATATCTCCTTCTTTACTCAACCTATAAGCCAAGTATATATTAAGCAGCTAGATAGGAAGAAGATTAACATTCAAAACTGGAGGAAGAAACATCAATAACCAGTGCTATGCTGATAATATTGCCCTAATAGCCAAAATGCAAAGGATTTGCAAGCCCTAGTAATAAAAGTCAAGGAGAACAGTGAAAAATGAGACTACAATAAAATATAAATGAACCCAATCAAATGCAATAAATAAACCAGTTAGTCTTATAATTGACAATGAAGATATCAAAGTGGTAGATAATTTCTGCTTTTTAAGATCAACCATCAAAATAAAGAAACAGTCCAGAAATATGCCACAGACTAGCACTTTGCAGAGCATTCATAGCAGATTTGAAAAGGTATTCAAATGCTTGATATGTCTATATCTACAAAGATCAAAATCATGCAAGCTATGATTCTCTGAAGAAGGCTCTAATACTGGGAAAGGAGGAAGGAAAGAGAAGAAGAAAATGAGGAGAGCAAGGTGGAGTGCACTGTTGGAAAAGCTGAAGGACCAGGTTAGGACAAGTTCCTCCTGGAGAAAATTGTTGTAAGAATTGATAATGGCCAGATCCGTAGAATGCATGTTTTATGTTAATGCTGGGTAATTTTCTAGTGACAAGAAGCTGCATAGGGGAAGAGATGAAAGTGCAGAAGGGATGTGCTCAAAGTTCAAACTTCTACTTTTTCTCGATCTTTCTCTGCATAAAATTTTCTGCATATAATTTAGAGAATTATATTTTAAAAATCTTTTCTAAGGTTGCCCCTACATTTTCCATTGCTCCACATTTAAAAATGATAGGCAACACCTCACTGAGCCTTGGCTATTATTAATTATGGGTGTTCTGAGGGCCAAACAGTCCTTGGAAATGTATATGAATATATAATAGGACCTTATCCTAAATATAAATGTGGAAAATTAAGCCTTCAGTTCGTTTTCTACATGCAAGATTTGATAAGAGAAAAGACAAAGGAAGCTTCTTTGTACAGTAAAACCTCGATTTAATGGATTTAACAAACTTTAAATCTGCATCCAAACATCTCTCCAAAGCAGGAGATTAAATCCATTGTATCTGAAGTAGTCTGCTAAATTCACTTACATTTATAACTACTGTCAGTTTATGTCATTCTATCAATTTATTCCCGTTACTTAACACATACCATATTTTTCAGAGTATAAGACGCACCGGAGCATAAGATGCAGCTTAGTTTTTGGGGAGGAAAATAGGAAAAAAAAAATCTGCCTACCTATTCATCTGGCTAGCATCCTTAGTCTGGTCAGCTTCAGCAGATTATTTTGCTGGTTTTTTATCCCCTGCTTGGCACAGGCAAAGCACAGGGGGAGATTGCTTCACTCGGCGCCTAGTTAGGGCTGGAAAAAAAAGCTTCTAAAGAACAGCTGAGAGTCGGAGCAAAGCATGGAGATTGCGTCACTCGCTAGCACCTTGTTAAAGCACAGGGAGAGTCGAGGGAGCAAAGCTGGTAAGATCGTTCGCTAGTGCCTCGTTAGTGCCTCATTAGGGCTGAAAAAAAGCTTCGAAAAAGCTACATTTGGAGTATAAGACACACCCAAATTTTCAGCCTCTTTTTTTTGGGGGGGGGGGGGAAAGGTGAGCCTTATACTCTGAAAAATATGGTAATTATGAAATATTATAAACTGTCATAAATTGATTCAAATAATGTACATTCAGATTTAACAAACATTCATGGGTAAAGGACACCCCTGCCTTGCCAAATGGTTTGCTACATCAAGGTTTTGCTGTAGTTGGAAAATTTCCATTCAGAAAAAAATTCCATTCAGCAGTCTATTCTGCTGAGTTCAGGAAAGCAGGATGGTGTTTTAGAAAAGTGTAGCAGTATTTCAATACTGATATTGGGAAGCTCCCCTTCCTTATTGTTTATATAAAAACAGCTAAGCAAATAAATACGTTGCTAGCAAAATTAAATTTTCGAAGAACAATCTGAAAAATTAATACTGTTGTTTGGCAAAATTGAACACAAGTTAAAATGTTAATTATTGTTTTTAACTATCATGTCAACTCAATTTTTTTTTACCTTCAAATTGGGTTGAGGAACTTTGGATAAATGATACCGTGTATCTCCTGACAAGGGGGAGTAAGAGTTCTGTAGTAACTTTCTTGTTCAAATGTCTTTATGACCCATTTCCAAAGCTTTCCTTCCTGCCATAAAACTCCCACTACTGAGGAACCATAAGAAAATGCAATAACCAATAAACTATTTTTGAGTTTGAATGCATAAATAATGTACCTCTTCAAGAAACACAGATGAATGATCACAGGAGATGCAAAGTAAAAGCCAAAGTACAAGGCAAATTATGATTACTTTTTGGTTTCACCAGCGAGCCGTCAATATCCCACTTTCAGCAAACTATATTTAACATTGTTTTGTTCATCAAATGTCTGTGCAGTGTGAGATATCTGACAGATTCTATTGGCTTGTCTCCTCCAGCCAGATGCCTTGAAAAAAGTTGATTGGAACAATATTGCCCTTCAATAAGTTCCATTTTAACATTAAATATCGGAGTCCTTGGCACGATACTGACTGCAGTTGGGAATGATACAGAACATGCTCATCCTTTGAGACAACTTCTCTTGGAAGATATGCATTTATTCTCGTTTGTCTTTTGTTTCTTGTACTTTAAAAAAAGATCAAGTTTTAAGTGTCATTACTTTTGCACATGGCTTTGTAAGGCAGAAAAATCTACTGAATACAGTAATATGAAAGACACATCCAGTTTCCAGAAATCACCTCTTGTTTTGTCAGTTTTAAAAAATCTGATTGATCAAAGACTCATGTCTTGTATGAAATGTTATACATTCTTTAAAAAAGAAAGAAAAAGGTATATTTTCTTCTCAAGTTCTTTTCCACTAAGTACTGTCTATAATTAGATAGTTGTGGTAGAAATTTGTAGTCCAAATGGTGAACTGTGGATTTGCTAGATTACGAAAAATCTTATCTAATAGCTTTCCATTTTAGTGGTTAATATCAGAGCTCTGAGGAACCAATCAGGGCAAGCATTATTAATGCATGAGTTAGGGCAACCATTGTATGAAGCACTCGGTGACCTGAAGAATTTTCCACCATCATACTTGTGCCTGCAAAAAAAAAGTAGTTGTGCAGTTTTATTTTTTTAAAAAAATCAATAACACCCTTTTCTAACAAACAGGAGATTTTTCAAATGTGGTATTGAATTCATATTTTACATTTTCTGGTAGATGTATTAAATTCATAAACTAGTTATATTTATCTCAAATATTAGCTGAAAACTGCAACCCCATAATTCTTCTCCATCTTAAATTTTAATTTAAAGAGAGAAGAATTCAACCCTACCATTATTTAGTTCCAAGGAACAAGAAATTCTTGATACATAACCAGATGTTCATGAGATGGTTTCTCTATCTAATTTCCCTGAATGTACAATGACCTCAACACTTTTTCCTACCAACCATGATATTCTTGAGATGCAGACATGTACAGTAAATTGGATTATGTTCAGACATCATGGAAGTGTGGAAATTGTGCTATTATTGATTCTTCAATATAGAAGGGGGAAAAACTGGGATTAGTCATCCCTGAAATGTTATTTTTTTCTGAATCATTTATTCTTAGTTTTCCTAATATCATACCAGGTAGGAAATTAAGGAAAATAGAATCAAGAAAGGGAAAATGAATGTGCTTGCCCTGGAAGACAACAACTTGAGTTTTTAGAAATCTGGTGAAATGCTGACTCTACTGGAAAAACAAAATAATGCAAGCAGTTCAAGATATTTTTTTCCTATGGAAAGCAGTATGCAAATGTTCTAAACAAATAAATAAAATACAAAATTGTATTCAGGAAAGGGCAGACGCACCACTGTGTCTCAGAATGCGTACATCTGCTGGATCACCATCTCCACCTGGGCCTGTTGTCCTAATTTGCACCAACGCGTGAGTTGAATCTTCTCGGATTGGGATCTCAATCCAATTATTGTTGGCTATGTATAGAACAGGAGCTGAGTGTGTATCAGGACGATACAGCATCTGTGGATGAAAGCACTTTGAGTTTACTGTTGGCCTCTCCTATGCTTTCAATTTTTTCCTCTTCCTTTAGAAATCAGAATCCAGAAAATCTGCACATATTCTTCAATGAAATATGCCCATCTTCATCCTATGCAAATTTAAGAGTACTTACAATATATAATCTTAGGTCTATAGACAGTAGCCTGAAGGTCGAAAACACATTCTAAGGAACTGCAAAATTGCCAAAAAAGAACCAAGACTTTGGTTGCAGGACCTGATTTTCAGTGATTAATGCAGCAATCCCACTATTCCATGAGCTATTTGTAATGCTAACATGCTGCACTGATTTGTTATACTGCTCTTTAAAAATTAAGAACCACTCGCTCATGGGGAAAATGCTACAGATTATAAATACCTTGTAGCCAGTGACAACAGATTCATCTGCTTTGGAAATCACAGGATCCCACTTAATGTTTACGCTGGAGCTGGAAAATGTCCAAGTAATGTTGCCAGGTAGCATTTTTGGTGCTAGAAAATGTAAAAAGTAGATATTTAAAGGGAGTGAACAGAAGGCAAGCTGTAGCCTGAGTAACGCAGCCAACCATTTCATCTCTCTAAAAACTATTAATGTTTTATTTTAGTGACTCACAGATGCACCAAGTTTCTTTTCCTGGTTCATTTGGAAAATGGAAGAATTTAAACATCTCCATTGTATTGTCTTAAGGGACTCCTTATGCACGGTCACTCATGCCCTCGTCACCTCCCATCTGGACTACTGTAACGCTCTCTACATGGGGCTCCCCTTGAGCAACACTCGGAGGCTCCAACTGGCGCAGAGTGCGGCCACGTGGGTGGTGGCGGGAGCGACGTGGCGCTCCCATGTAACACCTCTCCTGCGCGAGCTGCACTGGGTCCCGGTGGTCTTCCGAGTGCGCTTCAAGGTTTTGGTTATCACCTTTAGAGCGCTCCATGGCTTAGGACCTGGTTATTTACAGGACTGCCTGCTACCACCAATAGCCTCCCACCGACCAGTACGCTCCCATAGAGAGGGGCTCCTCCGGGTGCCGTCAGCCAAACAATGTCGACTGGCGGCCCCCAGGGGGAGAGCCTACTCTGTGGGGGCACCTACTATATGGAACGAGCTCCCCCCGGAGATACGGAGGATCCCGGATCTGCGTACCTTCCGTTGCGCGCTCAAGACTTTCTTATTTCATCAAGCTGGCCTGACCTAAGTCTTTCCCCTTTTTAAATGGAAATTTTAAATTTGGTTTTAAATTATTGGGGTTTTAAATTTGTTCAGCCAAATTATTTAATTTGTTTTATTCTATTTTAAATTTTGTATTTATGTGTTTTATTCTACGGCTGTTCACCGCCCTGAGTCCTTCGGGAATAGGGCAGTATACAAATTCAATAAAATAAAATAAAATAAATAAATTTATTCCTAGATATTTCACAAATGAGTTTTTTTTTTTCAGAAAAGCTTTTACACCTGAGTATAAATTGTGATTTTTCACACTGAAAACAGCCACTGCCATACCAGATCTTCACCTCTCCTTTTCCTTTGGAAATATCAAAAAGGCTAAATTCCACATATTTACTGAGACTTTTGTAAACAGCAAAAACGTAGTGGGTAACCTGCAATGGACTTGGGCTGCCATACATTCTATTTTATCCTTCTTTTCTCAGAAGGCAAAATGCCATATTTTCTATAGAGCCGATAAAAACAATGGCTGTATAATTCGTGATTTTGACATTTCTGCCTGGCATGCATTACCCTCTCTTTGAATAGATTCATCTTCTTCTTGACATCCTTTCCTGAGGATGTTCTTGCCATGTGTTTCTGGTTCCAAATGCTCCCTTGTTTTACATTCAAGGGAAGGACCCTGATATTGTTTGCATGCTCTAAGAGGCACTCAAAAGTAGCCCCACCAACATGAAACAACAGAGAAATAATATATATTAAAAACAAATCTCCACTGCAAAATGATAGGTCTAGAAAATAATACCCATGAATATTACTTGCAGCCAAAGTACATGAAAAACAGAGAAGTAATTGCTATTTAATCAAATGTTCACTTACGTGGCTTTTTTGTCCAGAAACTCGTGGGGGAGCTTGCTGGCCCAGTTCCTGCCCCATTGTATGCTCTGACTGACACATGGTAATTTGTGGTGGGATGGAGATCAGTCACATGTGCCAAGTTGACAAGACCTGCTGTTCTTACTCTGTCAGCAGCTTCTTCTTTGTCACCATGTTTCCAGTATCGGATCTGAAAACAGTAATATACATTTCTGTACAGAGGAAGGTTCAGTTGATCCTAAGCAACAATCCTGGCTTCTTAGGCACTGAATAATTTGTTGATTTAGCATTACATGAATATAACTGAATAGCCCATGTGTTGTGGCCCGCCAGCAGCCAGCAGAGCTGGCAACAGAGTCAGACAGTGAGGAGATTGGGGAGGAACATGGGCCAGTCCTGGGGGCTGGGGAAAGCTCAGACAAGGGCTCTGTGTCAGAGGAAGAGAGGGAGATAGACATCAGTGAGGCAGAGGAACATCTGGAGCCCATTCCCAGTGTGCGCATGTGCAGAGCTGCCGGAAGACAAGAACAACTCAGAAAGCAGGGTCGACTTGGGAGTAAAGCCACACCTTGGGTTCTTGATTGGCTTCTCCAATAGGAAACAAAAGAGGAGCAAATGGGGAGGAGCTTTTGCAGGAAACAATTCGTTCGTTCGGTAGTTTCAAGAGTGGAAAGTTCTGTTCGTGACTCTAAGAGATTCTGTGCCAAGTTTTGCCTTTCTCTACGTTTGGAAACAAGTTATGTGGCAGCTTGCCAGAGAGATAAGGTGTGTTGAGAAATATTCCTTTGAAAAACTGGACAAACCTTGCTGACTGTGAATGAAAGTAATTCACAGTCGTGTAAATAAAAGAGGTTTTGCCGGGACCAATTCCTGCTTCCTGCTTCTTAAGGGAGCCTAGGTCAGAACACCATGTTACCATTCCATAAGACAATTCATATTTGCTGATTCAGTGGAGTGGCTTCATCAGGAGTTGAGACTTCAAAGCACATGATCTGTTTCTTATTCTTATGGGTAATATTTTACAAGGTTCTGTCTTGTTCTAGATTCAGTCCCATCTCTTACCTCATAACCCAAGAGGACTCCATTCATATCATGATGTTCCACAGAATTCCAGGAAACATCCATTTCTGTGGCCATTACTGCCTTGACTGTAACATTAGAGGGAGCCACTCTTGGTTCTGTCAAAGTAAAACAATTCAGTAGGAAAAATTCCTTTACATGTGTGGCAAATCTAATCCAGTTTTAAAGATCAAGATCAGAAGCCAGATGCTTGACCAAAATGTAAAAGACCAAGCAGTAGACATCTCATAAAAAATGCTATTGATTAATTTTGTTAATGTGCTTTTAGGAGAAAGAGAAGAAAATTAAACTGATTCTAAGCTAGAATCTGTAGAAGAAATTATAGCTGGCTATATATTATTACTTAGAATTTTACTTTTATAACTATTAGAGGAAATTCATATACTTTCCCAGACTCTTTAGCTTGTGGTATCTAGGAAACTGCCAAATAGCAGTATATCTGGAAATCAAGAACTTCTGCTACAGATCTTTTAAAATATTTTTAATCCCAGTTTACCTTCTTCTGCAGAATGCACAATAGATACTAGGCTCTCTGGCCCTTCTCCTTTCCTGTTGAAGGCCTTGATCTTCACTTCAAATGGTGTATAGGGAGCAATGCTCTCATTGCGGTAAACATAATGTAGAGATTCTGCATGAGACACATTTGCAATCTTCCAGGACTGGGTACCTTCTTTCCGGAAATAAAGCCTATATCCAAAGTCATCTCCATTTTGGTATTCTCGTTGCATTGGCTGAGATAAAAGTTGTGACATGAAAAAAGGAGGGGGTAGGTCAGCAAGAAACAACCAGTGAACTAAACAGAAATACTGAAAAATACTTATGCAGTTAAGGTTTTATAATGCCATTATATTACAGGCTAATGTATGTAATAATAATAATAATAATAATAATAATAATAATAATAATAATAATAATAATAATACAAAACATCCAAATGAGCAAAAAAAACCCAAAACAAAACCATAGCAGGTAAAAATCTGTACCCAGTAACAGTATGTGAAATTATGTTTCATGTATATACAGCATATACAGTACATATGTATTCCTTTGTTCATTTTATGAATTGACTACTACAATATTTTCAACATATATCTCTCAATCTAGATAGACTCCATTGTACTATTTTCTGAGATAATCTAGTCCACTGTTGAATAACTCTCTGGGAATTGTACTGGGAATTATCTTTTATTTTTAATATCCAACTATTCTATTTTCTTGTAATTTAAATCCATTTTTTTCTTGTTCAGTCTTCTGGGACAGCTCTGAAAAATTTTCCTCTTCCCTTTCATGACACCTTTCAGATTGTTGAAGACTGCTATCACGTGTCCCTCCAGTTTTCCCTTTTTCTCGTTAGGTATATTCAGTACTTCAAATCATGCCTCAAATAACTGGGGTCATTCTTCTAGGCCCTTAATAAATTTGGTTTTTGTCTTCTTGACATGTTTATCTTTGTCCTCTCTAAAATTTGATGCTCAAATCTGGCCCCCATATTTTTAGAATGGTCTCACCAATGTCAATCAGGAAGGAATTATTTTATTTATTTATATTTCATGTTTCTAGACCTCCCACCTCCCATAGGAATTATTCTCTAAGTATAGTATTGACATTGACATTATATTGCAGCTCCTTCACATTGTTGTCTCACACTCAATTTGGAATCCACCAAGACAATCATAGCACATTATCCTATCCAGTATGATCTGCCACATCCTAGATTTTAATGGAATTTAATGCATCCATGTATTTTAATCCCATTTCTATAAAGTTTTACAGGTGGATGAAAGCCTATTGTGCACAGTAGCTTTAATGTAATAGTCAATATCCATTAAACAATGTTTGCATTTTTATAAAGTTATTCATGCAAAGTTTATAAAGAAAAGGTTGGCACACAAAAAATGATTTCTCCATGACAACACAAGAAAATACAGGAAATATAATACCAGGTAATATATTTTTTACTGCTTGACTATTTCACTACCACATAGGAGTCAAACCTACTTGAAGCAATACCAACATCCATGTGTTTTGAATAGCTGCTTTACTTCCATGTTCCTAAACATTCCTGCTAAACAGAAATTGTACTACATTAATTATGAAAATGTATGCTTGTGTGGCCAACTTACTGTCCAATTGATAATGAGTTCCCCTGGCGCTCCTCCTCCTCCACTGAGTCCTGATGGTGCAACAGTAGGGGCTGTTCCCAGTAAAGAAGACAGTGTACAAGTCAAATTAGGGGGGGGGAAGCCAAATAACAGTGAAAATACCCCATAATTTAATAAAGATATAGCAATATAGACATCTGATCTGCACTGAATCAGATCACTTGTTCGGTATCATGTTGTATGTTGTGGCTCAATACTATAAATACTGATTGGTAATTGATAGCCATGGTTTTAGAGACCGTTTCGATTGTTCAGATCTCTGGTTGGAACTTTCTATATTCAAAATATCTGCCCTATCACTGAACCATTTCCTCTTCCTTTCACTCTACCAAGTGAAAGATAAAATAGCATAAATGAGATTTGGATTGACTGGTCTTTTGCTTTATGACTTGTTTAACATGATTATTATTTTTGAATACTTCAAGAAGAGATTCTCAAACTATAGACGGGGAACTCCTGGGGCTCATGAGCAACTTAGATGAAGGTCCCCTCTTTTTAATGACACCCAAGGCATGGCATTTGAGCTTAGACTTCTCAACGTTGCTAAGCTTACTGCAATAATTAGTTAACGAATGGGCTCACACAAAGTGTGATTCATAATTTTAGGCTGTTGTGGAGTCACAATTTGTGAACCACTCTTTTAAAGATCTAGGCAAGGAAGCCAAAATACCATGCACTAAAAAAGATTTTAACTAATATGCATTTTTCAAAAAGAGAGTTTTAGTCCCCAGAAAGTATGAAAACCATACAAATTATGATTATAAAACTTAACACAAGGTGGCTGCCGAATCCAATGGAAGAAGATAATGCATATGGGCCATTACTTTGCTATGACAATGCTAATAACATTATGCAGCTGAATGAGCTGATCCCACATTTCATTATTTTATGTTTTATATATACGCACCAGCTTCTTTGGTTCGAATTTTAATAGATGGCACACTGGGCTCTCCACTACCAAGGATGTTGCTAGCCTGGACACGGAATTCATAATCCATCCATGGTATAAGGTTGACAACTTGGGCTGTTTCCGCATTGCCTTCGATATTTGTGGGATCTATAACCCAAAAGCACAAAGACAGAATAAATAGAACAACCAGCACTAAAAGGGAGAAAAGGTTAACTCTATATTGAAACCTACTTAGTGCAGGCCACTGCTCTCAAGAAACTTACTGGTACGCATTTGCTTCCATTGTGGAAAGAGTGGGGTGCGAGCCTGGATGACATATTTAGCTATGGGGCTATGGTTAGCAGAACCTTGACTCCAATTTAGCTGTATTGTGGTGTCCTTGATATCCCTCACCACCAATCCCCCGGGAGGGCCTGGAGGACCTACGAAAAAGAAACAACAGAAATTGCATTTAAAAAATCCGGCTCAAGAAATCCATAGGCTTGCTGGAAGAAGGAGAAAATGGGAAGATCACTAGTACATTGTCTTTTCCTACCATAATGGCAATCCTACTCTGAATTCAAATGATAATGTTCAAATCGTCCTTTAGCATACAATTTTCAAAGCTACAACAACAACAACAACAACAACAACAGCAAGAGAACACAATACATGTTATACTTTGACCAGAGTGGATAGGTGCAGATTTCATAGAAAAATAAATAATCACAGATGGAAAATAGCACCTATGACTTTGTATATGATGGATTATAATTAGTGCATGACTTAGACTACACAAATACAAACTGACCATCAACCATACCTGCCAAAAATTAGAATAAATCTTATAACCAGAGCATGTAACAATGTAAACTGCAGCCATCGAAAAAAGGATAAAAACAAGGTAAAAAGAAAAGAGAAAATAAACACCAACATATGGAAACTGATAGCAACAAAGAAGCATGAAACTGAACTAGAATGGGTAACATGCCAGCTACCTCTGATTTGCTACACAATGTAATGCCCCCCCAAAAAAGTGTATCGCAATTCTCTGCATGCACTAAATGTATGAAATAAATTAAAAAGTAGGAAGATATATCATAGATTTATAACTTATAAGCACAGACAATATGATTTTAACAGGAAAAAAGCAAAGGGCATAGGTTGTCACAATCCATCAATGTCCTCCCAATTGACAAAACAAACACAGCACAGAGTATCCAAAAAGCAAAATAAATACTCAGTAATAGCAAAACAATCTTATAAACTTAAACCAGGGGTGAAATGCTCCCGGTTCGGACCGGCTCGGGCAAGTAGGTAGCGATGGTGGCGGACAGTTCGGAGAACCCGTAGCAAAAATCCCTGCCCCCGTCCCCCATGCCCAGCTGAGCCGCGCGATCATCAGAGCCTTTTTTTTCTTTTAAATGGCTCTGACCAGCCAAGCTCTGACGATCCCAGCTGAGTTGCCTGCTAATCAGGCAACTCAGCTTGGATCGCCAGAGCCATGTAAAAGAAAAAAACTTTTTTCCTTTTAAATGGCTCTGCCTGCTAATCTGTAGCAAAAATCCCTCCTCCTCCCCCCCTCAGCTTGCTTACTTTAGCTGCTGGTCGCAACGCCTTGCTGTAATCCCGCAATCAATTGCATCAGCAAGCAACTGAATCTCCCTGCCTGCAATCAAGCAGGCAGGGAGTTGTGGACTTCAACTCTCAGAATTCCTCAGCCAGCAAAGCAAAGCTGGCTGAGGAATTCTGGGAGTTGAAGTCTACAAGTCTTAAAGTTGCCAAGATTGGAGACCCCTGTTCAATTGGGTAAGTTTTTTTCCCCTTTGGGAGCTTTAAAAATTGGGGTTTTTTTAAATTGTTCTTTTTTTAGACCTAGCCATTTAAAGTTTAGGAAGTTTTAAATTTAGCTGCTTTTATATAAAAATAAAAATTGAAATAAAATAATATTTGTGCAGCTTTCTGAGATTTAGTGTGTTTCTGTAGTGTTTCACTCTAACTACACAAACACACAAAATCTCACAAAGCTGTATGTGGAATTTTGTGTGTGTAAAGTGTAAAAGTTGTTTTTTGGGCCTTTTTGTGGCTGTGTGAGGTTCCTGCTTGTTGCAGAGGCCATTTTGGGTCTAGCACAGCTGCTTTTACACTGTGGGTGAGCCAATTGTGTTGTGTTATGTTGTGTGTGTGTAAAGTGTGAAAGTTGGTTTTTTGGGCTTTTTGTGGCTGTGTGAGGTTCCTGCTTGTTGCAGAGGCCATTTTGGGTCTAGCACAGCTGCTTTTACATTGTGGGTGAGCCAGTTGTGTTGTGTTTTGTTTTGTAGGTTAAAAAAGGGCAAAGAAGTGACATTGACTTGGCCACGCCCACCTGACCAACAAGCCACGCCCTCCCAGTCACCTTACCACCAAGCCCCACCACTAATTAAGCCACGCCCACAGAACCGGTAGCAAAAATTTTTAGATTTCACCCCTGACTTAAACTCTATTAAAAGCCCAACATTAGTACACCAGTTCCACGTAAATTTCATTTACCAGCTCTTCACAGATTTGAGGTAGAGCAAAACTATTTCAAAACTTACGATTGTAGATAATATTCATAGGAATTAAAAAAAAACCATTCACATTGTAAGAAAGAATCTCCACATGCCTCTCATTTTACGTACATTTAAATGACTATATTTACTTCAAGTGCTGTGCTCATAAGACTAAAGCCTTTAATACTAAAGCATTGTAATTTATATTATGTTGGGTGAATTTGTATACATGTAACAAAATATATTTCTATCTCTTGTACTGATGCATGCAGAAATAAGAGGCACTTTCAAATAACAGAAGTCAGCTATCTCTCAGGCAGACAAAGCAAAAGCAATTAAAAATGGAAACCGTTATTTCAAGAAAAAGGAATCAAGAGAAGAAAATACCTCTTACAACTAGCACAGCTGATTCAGAGGCACTGTCCACCACTGTCTGGGCAGTACAAGTATATCGGCCAGCATGTTTCAGTTGAGCATTCAAGACTACAAGATCTCCAATATTCTCTTTCTGTCCATGGGAGAAGCAAACCATCAGCAACAGTGTCAGAATCAAAAAGGAAGTTTGCAATGCATACATTTAAAAGGATGTTTTAAAAAACAGCGCATTATCTGGGAAATAGACATAACTGACAAAAAGACTTAAGACCATCCCCTTACAATCTATTTGCTGGGAGGGGGGAAGGAGAAGTAGCATAAAGGTACTCACTCTACTAGCTCGTTTATAATGGCCTTCAGACTTGCCGAAGTCAATTAAAGTCTCATCCAGGGACCAAGTAAAAGTGAGGTCCATTGTTGGGTCATGGGAGGCATGGCATTGGAGGGTAATATTTTCACCTAAGTTGATGTCAGCACTGGATGGTGCAAGAGTGATTTTAGTAGCATCTGCAAAAGGGTAAGCAAAACAATGATTCACAATGGAAAGCCATTTGTATGCATATGAAGATTTAAAAAAACACTTTGGGAACATGCATAGGAGCTGAGGTTTCTGATACCACCTTCTGCTCTTAGAGGGGAAAAGGAATTTTAAAAATCCCATGACTCCTGGGAGGTCTTTATAGGTTCCACAGGACTGTGTGAATAGTAAATTAATGACGTGTTCTTCTCTTCTAGGGAAGAATTTTTATTGACAAAATGAACTACTATCCTTTCCATTGTTGTTGCATTTGTCCCCGTAGAAATAAACATTTATCCTTACCACGGACTGACAGAATTCCTGTGCTGTTTGCTTTGCCCATGAAATTCTCAGCAAAGCAAGTGTATTTCCCTTCATCAGGTTTGCTAATATTTCGAATGATCAAGGTGCCATCTGGAGTAATAATTATGCTGCAACGAAAAGAGACCAACAGTAAACACATAGATATGACAGTCACAGAAGCCTGGGTTAAAGAACTGGAGACAAAACATCAAGACATGGATGAGTTTTGCCCTGTAGAATAAGGAAGGTGTCAACAAAAATATTCCATATAAAATAGAACTTCGATGAAATGGATGGAGTCACTGATGGCTTGCATCTTCTCGTCAGTAAGACTGCAATACTATTGTGGTTAGGATGTCATTTTTAAGAGACAAAAAGAAAGAAAAGAGGATAACTAGAGGATGGCAGGCCAATTAAACTAAATCCTTAAAATATCCTCTGCTCAATGGCTTACTTTAAAGTGATCTGGAAGGGTAGAGCCAGTATACATTTCAGTTACAGTGCTATATTAAGTCTCAGGGGACTCAAGTCCACCCAACCACAGAGCTGACTTTCTCTCCCTGTCTTTCTGTCTCTGTCTCTTTCTCCCTCTCCTTCCCTCCGTGTGTGTGTGTGTGTGTGTGTGCGTGTGTGTGTGTGTGTGTGCGTGCGTGTGTGTGTATGTCTTTGTCACAAAAAGGTGTGAACTTAGTTCAAACAGTCTGGCACAGCCAACCAAAAACAAACCATCAGTATCCTATCCTATCCTATCCTATCCTATCCTATCCTATCCTATCCTATCCTATCCTACTCTACTCTATTCGCTATTCTATTATAATAGAACATGCTGCCATCTGGATATCACTGCACATTTGAATCAATTAATGGGCTTTAAGCAAAGCCACACAGACTATATGTCTTTTCACAATCATCCTTAACTGGAAGTAAGGCCAACAGAAGACAATTTCAAGGAAGCATGAATGGGATCAGACCAAACTTGCATTAAAACCAGTCCCACATTTAGAGTAACTACTAGAGCTTGAATTAACTAGAATATTTGTAAAGCTATTGACACTAAGCTAAAAAAAGAAATGGGTTTCTCCTACCTGGAACTGTTTCTCAGAAGTTCAGTGCCTTTGGTCCAAAGTATTAGAGCCTTTGGGGCAGCTCTGGGCTGACAGTGAATAATAATTTCTCCACCTCGAGCTGCTGGTATCAATTGTCTGACAGGGTTTAATCGAAAATCTGGAGCAAAGGCTAAAGAGAAAAGGCAATTAATGAGCTTCTACCAAAAAAGAGTCACAAAAGCAATTATTTCTTGGTCATTAAAAATAATTTGTAGTAAGATGGCCTAATGTACCATGCAAGAACAACCACTTTAAATTCATTGCTTCTGGTTAATTGAATAATTGTAAATATTATAATAGTGTAAAAGTCAATGTGGTTAGCATGAAGATCCTGAAAAGCTGCCCAATTCTTCCCAAACTTTCACCAATACTTTTCTGCCTTTTGCAAGTGATTTCTAAACATGCTTTTCTATATAAAAATCTACAGCATCTATTAAGCAATTTAGCTAAGTGCTAAGGCACTACTCTATCCAGCTTTTTAAGCAGAACAACCTGCAGTTTTCAAAACCATACTGTTGACTAGGAATCTAATGTTTCTATTGACAGTCTTGAGGAAGCATATGTGCTGATGTCACCATTTCCACTGCAGGCCTTCAAGGTCATGGAAAGTTCCTCAGGAAACACCTGAGGTGAGGTGACACCCAATGTCCTTGGAGAACCTCCAAGGGAGGTAGATGGCTATTTCTGTACCTCTTTATCTTATCTAGAGTGTGCCAACTTGTCTGGGTGGGGTGTGCTGGTCCAGTCCTTCTGGATGAAGAAGTGGACAATGTAGCAAACATATAAATCTGAGTGTAAACATGTGTTCAGGGTTCCCTCTTGCTATGAGGGCCCATCTTTATTTAGCTGAATAAACACGTAAAGCTTATCAACGCAAACACCTGAACTCTGTTTTTATTTACACCAAGCCACACGTGAAACCAGCAAAACAAAACAATACTATGTTCAATTCAGAACAACCGATTAAACAGACTTAGTACTGAGGGCTGGGAAAATTAACTTCCCTACCTTATTGATATAGCAACTCTCATTTAATTCTTGGAAAGCCAGAAATTACCTTGGACATACAATTCCGCACTTGCATAGATTTTGCCATGTTTGTTCTCTCCTATACACTGGTACATCCCTGAGTCTTCCACTGTTAACTTTGATATCTTTAAATTCCCACCATTCACTTCAATACGATTCTGTTTAGACAAGGGAATATCAAAAATAACATTATTATCAAGAATAATGTTATTAAAAAGTTTTGAATAGAGCAATAAAAGAATGCAAACTATAAGAAAAAATTGAAGAATTGCAAGAATTTTTTTTAAAAAAGATAAAAATTATCCCTAGTCCCCCAAAAGCCATTTCTCACCCTCATCATGGCAATGAAAAACAATTTCAGAATCTCTTTACCTTTTTTTATGTAACAAATATACAACTTTTTATCCCATAAGCCATCTGTTAATAATGAGCAAATCAAATAAGTAATGTCATTCTTCAATCCAGTTATCAGCAAAAGATCCAAACAAATCTCTAAGATTTTAACATGAATGTTACATATATGAATGTATACAAACTCAAAATTCCATACCTCAACTTAAGTACAAAAAACCCCCCATATAAATATCCTCAATATCCTAATGTAAATGGACTAAAAGAATACTTCACTTTAATGTGACAGACTCTTTCACCTTTACAAAAGACAAGCTGGAAAACAGAATTCTGAATAGCAACTTATTTCTTTCAAATATGCATTTCATGTCTCCACTGTAACCCATTAGTAAAGTCACATTTCAGAAATATATAGTAATCCCAGTATTCCAATATAAACCAGAAACTAAAATTTAACATAAAAAAAGAGAAATAATTCCTCCTTTAAAAAAACAAGTTCTCTAAGTAAGGAGTTGAACTTGAAATTCCTGACTTCGAAGAAATAAAAAGAAACAGTTAAATGCAAAACCATTTTAAATACTCTAAAGTTATAATTAAGGAAAGTAATTATAGAAGAAAAGACTTTTGTATCATATTAAATGTAAGCAACTCCACTACATCACTGAAGAGGAAAGTTGAAATAAAATTGTAAGCAGACACAGTCATGTGATTTTCCATTTAGTAACCAAGTTGTTGGTCCCAATAGTGGTCACTATATGAGGATTACTTGTACAGATAAAAAAAAACTACTACTTTTTTTTTGTTGAATGGAGGAAAAAATCTAAGACACCCAGATATATTAAATAGTCTTCATATGTAACATAAAATTACATGTTACATAGTCTTCAGGATGTTGACACCAAGATCAATGATATAGATAGAACTTGTTCATTGGTCATATGTACCTGGGAAGTTAATGGTTGCCCATTCCGTAGCCACTTTAATGTAGGCCTTGGCTTGCCAGCTGCAGCACAGCTCCAGTGGATATTTGATCCAATATCAGCTTCTTTGTCTGTGATGACTTTTAGCCATTCTGGCTGAGCTAAAAAAAAGAGTAAAAAAGGAGCGGGTTTCATGCATTTCAAGCAGTGCAAGATGATAATGGTGATGATGATCTAGTGAAGATTTGCTACAACTCCATTGTTCTACCTTTCATTTTTAAAAACCCGAATGACAGCACCTGTGCATAAACATGTGTCCCTCCACTGAGAAAGGATAGATTTCTTCTCCACATGATTCACTTACCAAGCAAACAGCTTAGGTGTTATCACAACAATAAAATGGCTGTTTTTACCAATACAATAAAAGGGGAGGGGGACCCTTCACCAATGTGAAAATCAGATGGATTATTTTCTCAATTCATTACTGGGATTGAGAGTACATTCCAAAACTCAGATTATGTTCACAGGCATACTGTCATTCCTTTAAGTAAAGTCGATCTGAAACAAGCCAGAAAATGTTTTTTTCTATTTCATGATGCAGTTTCTGTTAAAGCTAGACAAATATGGATGTTATGAATGTTTTAATAAATAAATATAAGGGAGCTCCAATAAGTTCAAAAAATATAATAAACTAAAAGTTGTGACTTGTAAATGAATCTGCTCGGGTTCTTTACCTTGGATAATGAGGCGGCCCTTGAAAGTATCTTTTCCTTGGCTATTCTCAGCTTCACACTCATAAGTGCCTTCATCGTCAAAGCCAGCCTCTTGAAACTGCAGGACAGGTTCAGTTGAGATCCATCTGGAAGACTGGCTACCATCCACCTTTCGCCATTTTATTTGAGGGACAGGGCTAGATTGTGAAAAAAAACATCTGTCAAAGGGCACTCAAGCAGGGTCCCATTCTGCTCAAGCATCAGGGGCAATGCAATATGTGGCACATTGATATTTTTTCCTTTCCTTGTTATGTGTAGCATTTTGTACGTTACTTTTATATAGGGCTATCCTATGTGTGACAAAGAGATGCACTTACTGTATAGAAGGAAATCACATGATGCTAGGAAAATATAACACTTGTTTAAGGAATCACTAACAGTACTATGTAAGTGTCCCTGCACTTTCTGAAGTATATTCCAAACCACTGCATGATGTACTTTCAATCTTCTCAACCTTCATTCCTTCTCTTATTAATACATAAAAATATACAGCAGACTGGCTGGCAAATTGTCACATCTTCTGCTATTCCCACTCTTGTTTGTGTGGATTTTGTATTTGCTTCAAAAACATCCTTATTACATCACACAGTCCAGGGCCAAATGAGTACCATTAATAGAATAAAACAAACCTTTGTGAGCTCTAACTCAATCCAGTTGACATTTATTGTTTTAATAGCCAAATGATAAAAATAGAGTAAATAGTATTCAAATTATTAAAACTCTAGTTTGTTAAATAGGCAAACAGAGCACAAAACTCTGCATTAATCAGGTGCTCTATGCCAAAAAGAGAATGGGCTCCATTAAATGTGGCATTGTTCAGAAGAGTTAATAGCTTCAGCTCTACGTACTTTACCTATGATAGGTTATCTGTTCCTTAAAAGTGATAGCTCATACTTCCCTTCCCTTCTATAAACCTATACATTCTTTTAAATAGGCACCATAATATGTAACCAGTGACAATGGGGGTTGGCAATTTTTATATTGTAAACAACATGGAATTAAATGCACTGATACAGCTACTCACTTCCCAAAGGCAAAACACTCCAAAGCCACCACTTGCCCAGTCAAAGCGTAGGTATCAGAAGGAAACTTGGCTTTAATGATTGGAGCATGAGGTCTGGAATCTGAGGAGAGAAAGAGAGGTGACTGCAAAGATGTTAATCATGAAAAAGAGGTCACTATAAAGCAGAGATTAATAGTTATTCATCTTCAACTTCAAACTCAAAGGAGTACAATAATTGCAAAACTTTGCATGGCTGTTGCAGCACTCAATATGTTACTGGAGCTACTGTATTGTCCGAGCCCCCTCTTCTGGTTTGAAAAATGTTTTAAATCTCAAATTTTTTCAACCAAAAAGTCTTGATTCAGCCGTGCTATCAAGTTGCTCACAATATAGCAATCTACTTTCAGCCGAACCAACCCCTGGTATTCTAGTTCAACATTATCTACACTGTGTAAGCACAAACTCTCTAAAATTTCTAAAGCAAGCTTTTGCCAGCCTTATTGGAAGATACCAAGGACTGAATTAGGCTTTTTGGTGTGCCCAACAGGTAAACTGCAGTCCTTTCCTAATCTCAGCTCTACTGCCATCTTCAGTAAAAAGGTAATAAGACAAACATAGGTAATGGGAATTTTGTAAAATTTAAGCTAATTGATGTTAAGCTGACATAAGCTGAAGAAGTGAAGAACCTAAAGTTAGGCTGACAGACATTTAGTTTCATGTTTCTGTAGAAGTATGGTTTTTACTTGATGATTTTAGAGTAGACTCTAATGTCTTATAAGAAGAATGCTTTGAGAAACAATGAGATATAAATATAATAATAATAAATAAAAGCAAATCAATTCTACATTCTTAATTACTTGCTCTTATAGTCTGCTAAACAAAATATTTGCTGGTTGGATTGGTCTGTCATTCTTGGGCTGGGCCCAACAGGTGGCAATTGAGAGGTATCCATCTAAAGCAGCCATGAGTCTTGACTGATCTCAGAAAGATAAGCAGAATTGGATCTTGTCAATATTTGGATGGAAGACCAACAGAAATGCCAGACCTGTAGACTACTCTGTCTCCTTGCAAAAACATTCCAGAAGCAAATGAGAAGCCATTTCCATACTGCTGTCAAATAAACTACAGCAATGTGTTCATATGAATAACAAGAGTCAAGTACCACTCAACGAAGTTATGACCTTGACAATAGTGATGGGTATTCTCTTTTGAATTTGAAGGTACTAGGTTATGTGATGTGCAGTTCAGTCTTATTGAGCTAGAGCAGGGTTGTCAAACTTGCAGCCCGAGGGCTGAATGCGTTATGTGCTGGCCCTGCCCAACCCTATTTTAGCGAAGGGGAAAAAGTCATGATATGTCACATGACAACATGACACTGCAAGTTTGATACTCCTGAGCTAGGAAGACTAGTAGTGATCTGACTTAGTACAAGATAATTTCCAATGTTCCTATCTTTATCAAATAATAATGGCCTCTGTGAATATTTTTTTCTTTTTAAACAAAGGTCAAAAGTAGAAGTGATACATATCTTATTCTTTTGTCTAGGGTATTCACATATGAAGTAGAGAAATCATGGAATCAGACTTATTGGTAAGGGAAGTGAAACCAGAAGGATATTGTCTTATTAGAATAGGTTCAAGGCAATGGAATAAAGAAAATACAGCGATATAAAGACAGGATAAAAGAATTTGAGCTGTTGAATCTGAAGGGGGGGGAAAAAACTGAGGAAAAACATGGTGTCAGTGTTCAGATACATAAAAAGGCACCATAAAAAACATGGTGAGGAACAGTTTTCCATTGCCCCAGAAACTAGGAACAGAAACAATGGGTATAATTTTTGTTTAAATATAAAGAAAATCATCCTGATGGTAAGATCTGTAGAACAATGGATCAATCTATCGATGAGGGTTGTCGGTTGTTGTTAAAGGGTTTTAAGAACCCGGAGAACCATTTCTCTTGGCTGGACTAGATGTTCCTTATGATCCCTTAGAATTCCACAATTCTATGTTGCTATGATTCTTTCAAATATAAGCACTGAATCAAATTATCAAACAGAGCAATAAAAAGTACAATGGAGCAAACTTTGCCCGCTTATCCATGGGCCTCATTTAATGTTCCTTTCCTGCCAGTCACAGAAATAACAGCCCCCCACCCAGCCTCAGGGTGAATGGTGCAAAGAGACAAAAACAAAAACAGACATCCCCTCAGCAAACCTATTAATCAAGCACATTAAACTTGTGTAGGTGCTTGACTAGCAAATTATATTTGATTAAGTGGGACATACTTTGTATAATAACGATAACTTTAGAAATACACACAGTTAGAGAAAAAATGCCTTGCAAACCCCTGAAAAGGATTTCCTTAGTGGATATCCATTTTAGACAGAGAGACAGATAGATAAGAGCCTTTAAATGCTGACCTTCTCTCACAAGAATGAGTTGAGAAGATGTGCTAAAAACATTCCTTTTAACAGAGCCAATATGGCTGGTAGCGAAACAGGAATAGCTGCCAAGATCAGAAGAGTCAGTCTTAGCAATGTAAAGGTTTCCAGTTGTCTGAGAGACGAAGTGCCTACCATCTGCTGGAATGAAGTTTGGGAATTCATTCACAAACCAGCGATATTCAAGTTCTGTATATACAGAGAGAGAGAGAGAGAAAAAAAACAGAGGGAGGGGGAAAATTCTTTTTTATATCATATGATAGTTACAGTAGAAGCTTGACCTCAGCCCAGTGCTGGGTTTCAACTTTTTTTACTATTGGTTCTGTGGGTGTGGCTTGGTGGGCATGGCATGGCTTGGTGGGTGTGACTTGGTGGGTGTGATAGGGGAAGGATACTGTAAAATCTCCATTCCCTCCCCACTCTAGGGGAAGGTTACTGCAAAATCTCCATTTCCTCCCGATCAGGTGGGATTCAGGAGGCAGAGAATAGATTGGGGCCGGGCCAGTCAGAGGTGGTATTTACCGGTTCTCCGAACTACTCAAAATTTCCACTACCGGTTCTCCAGAACTGGTCAGAACCTGCTGAAACCCAGCTCTGCCTCAGCTGTTTATTTTCTAGACAGACCTATTACTAAATCCAGTTGCTATGAATTCATTCTGCATGCGTCTGTCTATCCATCTGTCTGTCCCTCTATCTATCTCTTTATCTATCTCAATGCCTGGTATAAGTCAGTGATATATATTGGTGTCTTATGGAGAATGAAATGAGCATATTAGTCCTTTTAGAAAGGATGTGTAATTGTCCCACAATATTCTTTAAAAAGAGCTGAATCCAATATATTAAATTAGAAACTCCTTTATTTCTTGATGGAAACATTTACTGCAATCTCTTTTTATGAAATGCAATAGAGTATCTTACTATTCGAAATCTGTAGGACAGTCAGAGAAATATGCACACATAGATTTGTCTTACTGAACAGCGATAATAAATGCAATTTCTATTTATACCATAATTCTCAGTTTTGACATGGAACTTGCAGCAGCAAGTAGTATCCAATTCCTGATTTCCAGGAAGAATTTCAAACTTCACTGAAGAACTAGAAACTATGGGGATGAGGTCTATAATAATTTGAATTTTTTGTAACTTCTCAAAGCCTTTCTCACTGTAATTGTCTGTACTTAACCGAAAGGGTGGCAACTTCTATTAAGATTTGGCAACACTGTTCTACACTGCTAATTAGGTCCAAATTATTCTGAAACAAGAACAAATTCTAAAGAATAAGTATTAAATGTTGCTGGTGTATAATTACAAAGTAGGTTCAATACCAAAGTAGGTTCAATATCAAACAATTATTTATTTTTTGGACTTTATTGTCATTCAATAAGAAGCAATAATAATGTAAATAAAAACAACAGCAAGGGAATAACAATAATCAAATATTAACACTCTAGCAGGCCAAATGTTATGGTCTAACACCAATTTCTGATATATCATTCCTCAAATATGAATGCTACATACACTTTAACTGAAAGCCTCACTTTTAATGCATTGCTGTTTCCTCACCTGGATAGTGTGGTGGTGGGCTGCAGGTCAACATCACCCCCCAGCCCTCTGTAGCCCTCACTGGATCTCTTTCTTCTGTAGAGAATTCCTGCAGATCTAAGACATACAAACAGTCAAGTGTTTCAGATGTGAGTTAGGATGGCTAGCACTTTTAACAAATTGGTTCTTAGGGGAAATATTGCTTGCTACAGGTAATCATGTTCCCATCCTATCAAAAGGAAATTGTGGAAGCAACAGCAGGTGTCTTTAAGAGCAGTCTTTAGAGAGTCTGCTATTTTGGATTAGAGAAGTCAATGCTATCTTTCTATCCTTTTTTTTATTAGTAATTCCAATTCTAAGCACCTCTTTAAAATGAGTCACATCTGTTTGTAATCAATACAGATATAATCCCAATGTTGATCAGTAAAATATAAAAACAGCAGCAAGCTTTCCATGCAGAGGAAAGTAAATGAGTAACCTGGACTTGGAAACTCTGTGATATGATTAATAATTTTGCAACTCTTCTTGAGCTTTCAGTAGTTTAATCTGAAAAATTAGCTTTCAGTAGTTTAATCTGATTAAATTAGTTTAATCTGAAAAAGTTTTGGATCAGAAATATTAAGCAGCAAAGATAAGCATTAAATAGGGCCTACTCTCATGCATAGTTAGCATTCATGTACAGTATCATCTCATGATTTTATGGAAGAAGGAAATCAGTGTGGAAGAAGACAGTCCTTAGATCTAACTTTTATTTACCCTGTTTATAGAAAAAGGCAGCAACTGCCATTATGTAGTCTCCTAGTCCCCCATCATTTTTACAGGCTGGTATTCAGAATCATGTACCCCAAAAGAAAGTTATTTATTTACATCTACATCTTCTTTAAAATAGCTGAGGTCTCCAGCATCTTGACTAAAAATTTAATATCATGATTGTAAGAGTAAAATAAAGTGGCAGAGTTCTTGACACTGCTGTCCTTTTTGCACAGCTAATGTATTCAAAATGGGACAAATTACTTACAGCTGAAGTGAACATAAGCTTCTCTACTTATTACTTTTCCCATGGTGTTGGATGCTATGCACTGGTAGGATCCAGCATCTTTAGCTTTCACTGGATTTCTTATTACCAAGTTGCCACCATTTAACCTGTATCGTGAATCTGGCTCTATTTTGATCTCTGTTCCATTCATCTTCCACCTGCCGAAAACAATAAGATTGGGATGGAGTGAGAACACAGTAGAAGACTCACAGCTGCAGATTAGCACTATCCTGAATGGTCAATAGAGCCTATTGTTGGATAGTCATTGAATGGGAAATATTGTTTGTCTATTTCTATCAAACCCCAGTCAAAAACTGGACAAGTTATGTTTGCATTTTCTTAATATGAAAGACCGCCAACTCAGTGCTTAAATATTATTTAAGCATAACCAGAAGTATATTTTGCACCAAGATTAGGATTGTGATCCATCACTGTTCCTAAATAGCAAAGCTAGAATATCTGAAAATTCACTCTGGTTACAATTTTTTTTTGCTAGCTAGGTTTTTCTGCTTTCTACTGATTTGATATTGATGTTGATTCTTTCCTTGTTTGCTGTAATCTTATGGAAGCTGCTCAAACTTGCAATTTGTGAGCTGAAATTGAGCAAATAAATATGGAAGCATATATACTGTATACAGTATATACACACATACATTTATTCCAAAATATCATATAATCATTTATATATCGTCTCTGTGTATGTGTGTACACACACGCACACCAAAAAATCAGAGAACCATCATTTCAAATAGTGTGTTTGCAGACCTTGGTAAATTATCCATATGCTTAAAATGCTTTATGATTATTGCATACAGTATATTATGTATAAAAATAAAATCAAACATATTAGCTCAGAGATTGATACTTTTGCAAAACATGACGAGATATTTGGGGTTATCTCTAATACTTAATAGGCAATTTCTGAAAGTGATTTGAAAGTGAGGTTTGCTAACATAGTGTCCTTTAAAAGAGATTTATCTGATAAGATACAGAAAATATAGAATCTGAAATTACAAATGACAGACCAAGAGAAAAAGGGCAATTTACTGGATTTACAAAAAAAAATTAAGTTAGTTTTTAGTATTGTAATGAAAGTTCTTAAGCAAAATTATATTTTAAAAAAATTAAGCCAGGACTAAATTAAATTAAACAGGCAGCATCAGATTCAGTTACTTGGAAATAAGCACAATTAATCTACATTTGGTGATTTATTTCTAAAGAGGAATGAACAGGCTTGCACTACTTATATGTTAAATGTACAGTAATAAAATTCCCCTGGGTATGAACTAAAAAGAATTAACTATATGCTTTACCGATATATTCAGCTCTTCATTTAACTGAATGGAATATGAAATGTTTGCCTTTGTCCACATTATTGGCAGTCTAGGCAAAGATAAAGTGCCATTTGACATAAAATGTGCCCTCTGACTTTGCAATTATGCTTTCCATTAAACAAAGCAGCTGCTGGAAGTGACATCACCTATAATTTGCTGGAGGACTCGCTCTTGCTCGACACACCAACAAAATTTGCTCCTCTGTTGACCGTTCTGGAAAAAGGATATTGTGTGGCTGCTCTTCGAAGACAGGCCCATAGTTTCTCATCATAGTCTCAGCTGACTTCCAGACTATATAGGAAGATAGGGGGGAAAAAACCCTTTAAAATGTACATTGTTTAATAAAATACAGAAGATAATAATTAGCACTTCATACAAAGGCTGCCTGCATTTGTTAATAATCCACTTTTCTTTCATGAAAAAGGAAAAGTTATGAGGAAGCATAAGCCCTTGCATAATTGTATCTCATCAGATAGCTGTTCTTCGTTTTTTGTATTTTCTGTCCTTTGGAATTAACAACTGCAAGCAATTTCTGTTAAACTTTCATGTGTTCCACATGGGACTTCCTGATTCACACAGAACAGAAGACATCAGAGAAACGAAGTTTTAAAAAGTTTAAAATTCCATTCTCCAATGGTTGTTTTCGCCTTCTTACTTCCAACAGTAAACCATAGTATCTTATGCAAGAATGACTTCCAGCTGGGGAAAATACAGAAGGATAAAGGTACTTATTTCATTCTGAGCTCCTACTCTTCCACTTACATCCATGAAGAATATAGGAAAAAATCTCATGCATTTATATTTATGTGTAAATGAAAGTGGTTTGACATTGTGGAATACATCAGATGTACATCTCACTAAGTGGGGCCTTCTGCATATCAACCTGAACAATCTGTCTTCTCATAAGCTAGCAAGATATACACATCCACATGCTGATAATAAAGCATTGCTGGGTTAATTAAAATAATTGCAGGACCCTTTGCTCCCTCTTAAGCATATTTATCCTATCTCAGCTGGAAATGGTCTTGTCCTTGACACTGATGGAACAAAGGATGGAATATTGGCTTAGGAAGATTGTCATCTTCTAATGACATTTCAATAGCTAAAAGCTGATGTACTCAAGTTTTTTGGTTGGGGCGGGGAGGACTGGCTAAGAGTACTCAGAATTCAATAAATAATTCATGATAATTGCACATTCAAAAGCCATTTTTGTTAAACCTCAGATTTCTGCCTGTAAATATCAATGGTATATTTGTTAAGCAAGAAAAGCCAAGCTCTACTTTCCCTCCCTGTTTTTTTCATTTTGTTTTGTTGTTGTTGCCCTCATCTTTTCCTATAATTTCTATGAATTGGAGTTGTGAAAAGGGCAAAAAGACTTGGATTTGTACCTGAGATTTCAAGGCATCAGATAAAAGGCCAAAATAACATGCATTTGGTTAAGAACGTAATGCTTGTTATCTTTATGAAGCACTTGTGATGTTATTACGTTCTTATAGAGCAAGACTGTCAAACTCCTGCCCACGGGCCAAATGTGTCATGTGCTGGCCACGCCCACACCCAGTTTAGCAAAGGGGGAAAATCCTGATATGTCATGTGATGCTGTGACATGAGTTTGACACCCTGTTATAAAGTAAATATTGAGATGGTATGGCAGAAATCTCTCATGGTCATGTCTTGTTTTTTCTAGTTATATCTATTGTATCATTAAAGCATAAACTCAGGATCTGTGGCACTCCTAAAGGCTAACATGTGCTATGAATGAGGAAGATTACGTCGAGTACTTCTAAGTACAGAAGATGAAATAGTTTTGCTGGTGCGCTTCAGATGTTTGCTGAATTGCAGTTTTCAGCAGCTCCAGCTGCGAAATTGGAATGTTAGAAATTGTTCAGTAACATCTGGAGGGATAGAAATTTTTCAGCCCTGTTTTAGTAGTATCTCAATTAAAAAAAAACAATTAGCAAGTAACATAAAACTTAGAACTAAATGAGTTAATAATTATTTGTTAATGCCTTCCTACATGGTGAAAAACTTCAGGAATCTCATACATAGGGGATGAAGGCTCTATCTATCTCCATGAAACAATTCTATCAACAATTCTCCTGGTTGCTTAAAAATAAAGGAGCTGCGGACAAAGCATATTTTCTTTATCAAACTGAATTATTCAAGCATATGTAAAGTTTCTAATAAGTATTAATATACAAAATAAGTGCTGCCACTAACTATGTTCTTTTAAATCGGTATTAGCAGAAATCCTAGCACAAAAACCAGGAAAGTACATTCAGTAGTTAAGACTATAATGCTGTGCAGTTTAAATAAGAATAGGTCCTGCTGAAATCAGAGGTCTCTACAGCTGAGGAAGCTTCATTATGATTGTGCTGTATTGCTGCAGGATACTTCTTTGGAAACAAATCCTATACTACACATAATTCCAAGTGATCAAAGATAGGATGGCCTACACCCGGATGGCAAAGAAAGCAGAAAATCAGAATAGAGCATATTGAGTTTCAATAGAGTACACAAGGATGGGCAGAACTTAAATTAGCTTTGCCTTCAACATTTTTCTGACACACTTATTCAGATCTATTTATGAGGTCTTTTAACAATTATTTCACATGATGTTTATTAGATAGTGTTTTCAATGGTCCTATTGCTGCAGTTTTTTACCATTATATAGCACTGCAGAGAAGTTTTGGTTAGACAGATCTGAGCAACAATCCCTTTAGTTCCAGATGCTGCCAAGCAAGTGATGAAGAGAGTCAGCACCCATTTTAGAACAATTCACCTTTTATTTTCTGCAGCTGTAATAGCCTTGTATATGTGCTTAGGATAGGGAAGGAGGGAGGCTTCTGGAGCAGCTCAACTTTGTAGAGCTGAAGACCTGGGCTCATGTATTGAAAATAATATTGACATTGATGAAAATATCTAGGTATTTTTACAAATCCATATTTTTATTCTCAAAAAGGTTGATCTCCCAATGGGATCAATTGGTGGATTTTCTTCTGTCTGGCTCCTTTTCATGCTCCCCATGAGGTATTTCCAGCCTTCTGGCCATCATTATACTAATCTTTTATGTCATATGTTATCAACCATTAGAAAGTGCTCCTGTAGGGCTTTGTAAATGATTTAATCCTTATGGTCTCTGCTTGAATGCAAAAAAGGAAGTCTCCTAAATTCAGCTGGTTAACAGAGAAGCCTCCTAGCATTGCCTTGATGTCATTGACATATGTGGGCCAGACTAGTTTCTACGCAAGCTAATTGCCTCCTGATCTAGGCCAAATACCTTCCCAAGAGAGCCCCCAAAACATTAAAATGTAATCAGATATTTATAAGGGACATAGAAGTTGCCTCTCCCAAAATGACGAATTAGCACCAAAGCATTATCTAATTCTCAGCCATCTGAAATGAAATGCCTTCCCATTGAGAGATCAACCTTTTAAAGCATAGCGTGAAACTTCTATCAGGAATACCATAGTTTGAATTCAATGAAAAGCAGAGGTTTGTGCATTAGGTGAAGGACAGAAAATGCAAAAGGATTCTGATATTTAGAATATCATAAATAGATAAATAATGACATTTTAAGAAAATTTCTATGTAACCCCCCCCAAAAAATAAAGCCATTTTTTCTAGTAAGATTGATATACAGTACAATGTAGTAAAAAAACAATATGTATGATTCTTTAATTTTGGTTTTTCCTACTTAGTAAAAACAAATCATTCTAAATAGTTTTATAAATTCTGCATGCAGACATATCTAAGCTACATTATAACTTATAAGTACATGATTTAAAAGGTAAACATGTGAAAGTTCTTATTAGCTGAGTTGTCCTTCTTATATACGGTAATTTAATATCCTGAATGCTACTGTAGATGAAAGTACAAATAATTTTGTTACTTAACTAGCATTAATTAGATCAGTTCTTATGCTTATCTAAATTTGAATGATCCCTTCAAAGAAACTCTTACCTGTAGAACAGATAGTTACTAATGAAAATAAGAGAAGTTCTGCAGACTTTCCCATTTGTAGACTTCAGTAGATGAAAGACAATTCAGCAAACAGAAGAACAGAGTCTGTAAGAAAATATGTGTGCAGTTGTTGATAATTCAACTGACTACCAAGCCATTGAAGCTATATTTTCAAAATTTCTTACTAGTCAGTAGCATAATCTCTTATCTCTGTTAAGTGGAATAGCTTAAACAATAGTTTACAATTAGTAAAACTTTAATAATGCTGTGCTTTGCTCTTTAAATATGCTCTAAGCCAATTCTAGGATCTCCCTTCCATTTCTCTGTAAAATATCTATTAAGAACATTAAAATATCAGATAGCCTATTTCCACAAATCAAGCTAGGCTATCAAAATATTCATATACAGGACAATGAGAAAGAAAATGATAGTTTCAGTCTTGCTTTTTACAATTCCATATCCTATTAATTTATATTAGCAGGCACTGCTAGTTTTTCTCAGAAAACTGGAAAATGTTTGACCTCATCTCCTGCCCATATCTGTATCTCCCATTTTCTAATGAAATCACATAGAAAACACAATAAGCATCCTCATATCTGTTGTCTGACTATTACTTTAGTCTGTAGGTAAAAAGATGCATTTTAATGTTTTCTCACAGAAAAAAAGAAAAAAAAAATGAAACACACACACACACAGTTCCTTGCATAACCGAAAAAGTATATTACAGTGATGCAGTTTAGCAAGAGATGAGGTGCATGATGTTGCTGATCAGATAACTCAGCTCCTAAAATAGTCTTCAGGAAGAGATTTTTTAAAGAAATTACAGATGCTTCTGGAGCTAAATAAAGTGATTCCAAAAACTGCTCTGAATGTGCTTATGGATCACAATTTTTTTTAAGAGAAAATAAAAATAGCCCTATTCAAATTATGATCTGGGATAGTTGTTAAAAATATCTAAATAGTTAAAGTCCACAACAAAATGCTATCCATGAATAGCATGGATATAACAAATGCTTACAATAAGACATATATTCAAGACTTGCAGCTTTTGTTTCTGTTGCTAAATGCTTATATATTTCCAAAACACAAACCATATTTTTATTAAGAGAACAATTTATTCTTGTAAGCAAAACAATATATAAAGACAAAAAAAAGTTAAATTCAATAATATACTGACAATGAGCTGATAATAAAAAGGAATGGGAAGTTTTTATAAAGGGAAAATGCACAAAACAAAGTAAAATAATTAATTGATATAATTTAATTGGAACAAAGACATACATGTATATATGTATATAGCCATGTATCTCAAGCAAATACAAATACTCAGGGAATATAGTCAACAAAAGGCAATAATTGGTACTATTTGAGATTGTTTTCCTTCCTTTGTTCTAATATCTTAATATAGCCCAGGAACAGAAGAAAAGCTAATTGACAAGAAACTATTCTAGTCTAGATGGACCTTTTCATGTTTCATGTTTGCATCCTTGACAGTCATCATTGATCTTCAACAGCTACTGTATACTTTCCGATATATTCCTTTGCAGACTGATTTCAATTGTCTCCCCTTATAGGATCACTCTTTGCACACAGCTGAAAAGATTCTTCTAAATTACAAAGGGAGACTTGTTGCCGCATAATAGAGAATTCTCTAAAATAGAAAATTTTAGAATCCTTTCAAACATGCAATTTTTTCTGTTATGGATGCATCTTCACTGGATCCAGAATAAAGATGAACAGTTTGATATAAGCAAGTTAATGATACCATATTCTGAACCAACAAAATACCTTCTGCAATGACTTTATTTAGAAGTTAAATAGGATTGAGAAAGGATTGAGTTCTGGGCCACAGGGCTAAAGTCCATAGCAGAATGCCAGACAGTTAGATCCCTAGCTGACTGCCTTAATAACTGTAGCCACCCACTCAAGTAGAAATGGAACAAATGTAATGTGCTAATTCCACTTGCCATTTTTTTTGCAGGATGTCCAGAAGAATGCTGTAGTTGACAATAACTATAGCTACTAGGAAGTGTAAAAGGACAAGGATGGTCATGTGCCATACATGCAAGTCCAACCACAAGTCATCATTGAGAAAAGCCACTAAATATCTCTGTCTTTATCCCATGGCTCATCTGAAATCAGATTCCTATCTGTAGGTAATACTGTCTAGAACCCTCTGTTGTTGCAGCCTTAGCCCTTTCTCAGCAATCTTCCCTAGAAAGGGGAGTTGGTGATAAGATGAAAGTTATCCAGGCTATGGAATCCAGGCCTGGCTTCTTATGAAGTCGAAAGATCAGGTGCTTTTTCAGGTTCCTGGAATCTCCCCTTCCAGCAAGATGGGCAGCCAAAACAACGGAGTTGATCTTTGAAAGCTAAGCAGGGCTAGATTGAATACTTGGACTGGAGACCATATGGAAATAACAGGTGATAGGAGAAACTAAAAGTTGCAAAAAAATTGCAGGGCAACTTCTGCATTATTATTACCAAGTAAACTAGATGGATATATCCATAAAGCCATTTCCTGGTTTCTCCCAAGCACAATGGACTATAAACATTTAATAGGCATACAAGAATCCAGATGTCAACATCCAGACATTTCCCATGCATCTGGGAAAGTTCAAGGAAGAAGAATTACATACACTTCAGCAACATATCTTTAATGTGAGTCTGGGGTAAATACCAAATCTTGAAAAACTGTAAGAGGAAATTCACAACTCAATTACAGTGAGTTAATTAGAGCAGAGTGATTTAACATTCAGTCTCCCAGATTTGTCTCCTCCTGGGCTAAGATGCCTTTTGTGAGATATACTATCAATTGGTGTGCCCACTATCTCTTGACTGTTTATGTTTACGTCTGTCTTCTCTTCCATGGATTTCCTAGCTTCCTAACAATCTCTCACACCAGGCTCTGAGAAGAAATGTTATTGTAGAAGAGCTAAAAAGCTATTACAAAGAATTCCAGTGATTATTATGAATCGAAACCAAGTTCAATATATAGTAAACTTGTGGTTTAGCTTTAGAATTTCTTCTTTCCACCCATGCTAGGCAATGATAGGTAAGACTGTCTCTTTTGGCCATGAGATCTGGCTTTGACCATGTTCAGATAGGATATAAGATTGTTTTCTGTGTTAAGAACAATCTCTCACAATCACCAGGAGAATGCTACAACAAACAGTAATGACATCAAACAACATGTATACATCAAGCAAATGGTACAATTACAAATGTGTGTCATACTGATGGGAGTATGGAAAATATTTATTTATTTATTTATTAGTTCAATTTATATGCCGCCCTTCTCCGGAGACTCAGGGCGGCTTACAATGCATTAAGCAATAGCCTTCATACCTTTGTATATACCTGCTTAGGAGGGCTTTCGGCCCTAAGCGGTATTCTTTTTTATACAAAGTCAGTTTATTGCATAAATATGGCATTTATGACATGATGTCATCTCACATAGGCCAACAATCATTCCCCTTGCCTACCTCATGGCTTGCCTGCCTCATGGCTGCCACACCCAGAGATGAGTTCAATTTGGAGACCATCTTAACCAGGGGTGAAATCCAGCAGGTTCTGACAGGTTCTGGAGAACTGGTAGCGGAAATTTTGAGCAGTTTGGAGAACCGATAGAGGAAATTTTGAGTAGCTCGGAAAACTGGCAAATACCACCTCTGGCTGGCCCCAGAGTGGGGTGGAAATGGGGATTTTGCAGTATCCTTCCCCTGCCACACCCACCAAGCCACGCCCACAGAACTGGTAGTAAAAAATTTGGATTTCACCACTGATCTTAACCATTTAATTATTATATATTAGAATTATATTCTACCTTTTGTTTCAGAGATTCAGTTAGACATACTGTACATGTTATAGTATAGTACATTTTTCTGTTGGTTTTTAGAACTGAAGCTTTCTGACAGCTCAAACAATGGTTAACTTATGCTGTCTGGAAATTGAAAGATGTTTTCCCACATGAACTACAATAACTTGACCTTTCTTATAATGTAAAGTTGCCAATGCAAGATGGAAAGAGGCATGACAATTCTAAAAAAGCAGGTGCATTTTAATTTCCATAAATCTGCTATCTGGATTTAGGATGTGCAGATATAATAACACCCAATCCAGCTATTTGAAGAAGCTCTCCGAATTTTAATTTTTTTAATTTAAATGTTATTCTATATTTACATCATTATTTGCTTTCCTCTGTGTATACCACGCAAGAAAGGCTTGCTGAATCCACAATGTCCAGGGCTACACTTACCACCTGCTTAGCATTTTCACACTCAGCTCTTTCTTATAAAAGAAAAGCAAGCAAAAACAATTTCAAGGCAAGCAAATTTGAAGTGGAAATCAGGAGAGAGGAGAAAGAAAGGGCAATTTAAAATGTTCTTGCTTTTTGCACATCAATGGGTTAATTCAGAGAAGTTTTGCTTTAACTCTTTAGCACATTATTTTAAACTCTAATGTAGAAATTATACTTAGCCATGTGAACAATCCTATAATAAGCCCTGTAAAAGAAAGTAAGCATTGTCTATGCAATGAGCCACAAATGAAAGAAGGAATACAGTTTGTTTACTTCTATTGCGTTGTCATGCTCAATATACTTGGTTTACATTGTGGAAAGACAATATTACAGAGTGACTGTTGTGGGATTAGCAGAATCAGCCACCTGAGCCCTACTGCCTTACCTCCACCGTAGCAACAAAATCTTTACTCCCACTCTCTCTATCTCTGTTTGTGCATGTGTGTGCACTTAAAATGTGATCTGATTAGAAATTCTTCTCCTAACATTACCTTACCTTACCTTCAGTTTGTGAACAGCTATGAATTGAATAAAACAGAGCTAAGATGTTCAAAAGGTAGGGTATCTGTGAATAGACAATATTTCAGTGTGCATCTTTCCACATTTTTTATTTAAAAGAATATATACATACATACATACATACATACATACACACACACACACACACACACACACACACACACACACACACACTTCTTTCTAGCCAGGTTTTACCTACGTAAGCTATGATGTTATGCAGTCCTGGTTCTGTGAAATCTCATTCACAAGTTTCTGGGCTTTTTGTTTCTTGCTGACAGACAGCAAA